GACCGGTATGCTCGGCACTAGGTCGAGTCGTAGGCCCGCTCGCAGCCTCTCTCATGTTTGCCTTGAATGGCAGTCTTGGTAGACTCAAATTTTCAGCTCGGACTGGTGTGTGCTGCGATACAGCGTTTCGTTCCATGTCCATTACATGAGCGAGCATGGTCCACTCATCGACTATACCAGACACTCATGGAGGCATTTGCTGCGCCATGGGACACTGCACTGCCAGTCCTTTCACTATGTGGGCCTTCTCATACCACACGTTAGTGCTGCATTGACAACTTGAGGATGTCCGCGGCTTTGATGAATCAAACTTCCAACAAAGGAACTTGGTGACATGTGGTCCGCCTCAGATGCTGGCACGAGCGCATCATTGGTGCATGCATCACCTGTTACTCGCGTCCAACAGGCTCGCACAAGAAGCTTGCAGTATCCTTTGGTTGCTGGGTCAAAGCTTCTGTCAACTGCGCGAATTGGTGGTTTGATTAGAACCCATATCAGTGATTACCTCCTTAACGGATTAGACGTGCCTGCTTTCTGGCCTCGCTATTATGCTTAGCATGCCTTTGCGTATACTGGTAGCGACGACATAATTGCAACTTACAAAACGGACACGCATGAGCCTTAGCAGTGATCGACCACAACCATGTGGCAATGGCCGCTTCCAAGGGGTCAGAACACAAGTACGTTCGACTAAAACCGCTTTGTGCATTCTTAACGGTGCAAACTGGTAGCGAGACGTTGGCGTTGTACGGAGCGGCCGATGGCATACCGGGGACTGACAGTTTGTGGATGTCGGTTCGTCGCGCAATCCAAATTTCGGTCAACCAATAGACAGTGACAGCCTTCGAAACTCAAGTCTGGTACACTAGGCTTGCTGACAGCTCAAAGGTCGATACTGCGCGCCTTCGTAAGGTACATTGCCTTCCTGCCTTTCACGGTGTTCACACATAGCAAAAGGTGTGGAATCGACCCTTTACCTGCCCTGTTGTCTTGAGTCCTCAGGATCCTCCGACTTTTTGACCGTTCGGCTGAGAACAGGGTCCTTCGTATCTACGGGCGACTCTTGAATGGCATTTCGAAGACGGCTTCGTAGTCACGCACTTCGGTCGGTTTCCAGGAAGAGTACACAGAAAGCCATGGTGACACCTGGGGACGGTTCGCGAACGATTGGTCTGTGCGCCTGCAAAGAAAGCAATCAGCTTCAAGTCAGGAGCGAAGATCTCAAGTGTTCGTCAACAGTAATCTGTAGCCTAATCTGCAGCTCGTGCGTCTATGCCCAGGCTCAAGATGTGCAGTAGCGGGTGTACAGCACGAGCATCACCACAATACAAGCCTATCATTTAGTTACGCGTCACAAGTTTTAACGTTATGATCCCAGGGCAGACAAGCAAACAGCGCCACAGTATCGCGACATGTTGTTGCCGCGACGATCTGATAGCATATACCCCCGCTTCAACGAATTGCTTGGTTGCATCTGGACAACCGGTTCTCAACTGTTTCTCACCTCATCGGGCGCGACTGCTCATACGACCGTTAATGCATTCATTAAGACGCCAAAATTGAAGAGTCCGGCACCCAATCACTACAGCTAGTAGTGTTCTACAAGTTTTCAACGGATAGGACCCCAATGGCTATAGCCCCTGGGAGCTGCAGGTTCCCTGTGTTCTGTGTCAGCTGGGCACGACATCCGGCGCGAATAAGCATGTAGGCTAGTCGTCGTAATCCCCTCCTGCTGTGTGCTGGCCGAGCAGTCAGTCTCGCGTTTCTAAGGCGACAGTATTGCTTTTACAGCAAGCGCGCTAACTTCACACAGCCACTTGCTCATTCTCCTCCCGCATAGAGCTTCCAGAACAAGACATCAGTCACTGTAATGGACATCAAGTGACTCGCTCAGACTATACTAGCTGGGCTCAACATACTTTGGGGGCTGGATCGCCAGACCCAAAGGTTCTTCCGAGCAGTGGTTCAATCTGACTTACTCTCGACGTATAATCCATCCGGGTTTAGCTCTCGGCATGTGACCGTCGCCGTATGAGTCGGTTTCGATCTCCATCAGGATTAAAGACCTCAACCCAACTGGGCATGGTCGAAGCGATGCCACTGTTCTTGCCATGTCCCCGCGGATCTCGTCACACAAGCAAGTATTACCCTACAGCATCAAACTCAAACATCATATCGTCTATCTACACCCAAAACCTATCAAGCCAGTCTCAGGACTCCAATCATTACATATTGATGACCGCATAAACCTGATTGTCGTGCTATGGAAACTTCCATAGCCCAGATCAACCAAGTCACCATATCACCATATCTAAGAAGCTGCCGGCGGCTGCTATGATGACCATATGGCGCAGACCTACTCGAGCAAACTACAGGGTCGGAAGATTCGACATGAGCACAGCCCCTGACCATCGGAGAATTCTGACGGGCAGGTGGCAGGCGTAGTGCAATCAGGCTACCGATCGTCAGCGGGCGCCCCCGTTCTTGTGTACGGACAGGGGACAGGCTCCGTGGATCGTGCTTTCAGGGTCTCGGGCCTGCCTCTGCTGTTTGACTGTGCTGGGGGTCTTTGACTTCCTCGTCTTCTCTCATGACTGTGTAGTCATTGTCGACGATGGTATCCAAAGGTAAGGTGGTCGACTGTCGTCGAGGCTAACGGCCACAACCTCCTGAGGCACTTCTTGCGCAATCGTGACGCTGCCGCTCTGCAGCACATCGCCAATCTCTGTAAGCTTTGCGTCTCATCAGTGCAATGTTGGACACACGCTACGGTCCGCCTCTTGGTGGTGATTAAGTGACTTGTGAGTGCCCTCACATGCTCAGGTATGGAGATGTACATCATTGTCTCTACTTCAGTCCTCCTCCCTCTTTATTAGACCACACATCTTTCGCTTCAGCATTGTGTTAGCTTCAACATATTCCACACATCTTGTCCCAGTATAGTTTCCGGCCTTTGACACCTCGAGTCCTCCTTGTATGCAACCAGTACGGCACGTTCTTACAAAGAGTCAAACCTCTCTTCATAGGATGGTGGCGGCTCGCGGTGCGGCAGCGGCTAGTCTGAGTCAGTGAACGAGTTTGCCGTGTCAAAGAAGGGCATCAAACGGGTGGAAGCTCGTCCTCTTCTCCATCATTGTCCTCATCGCGAGTGACATCGTAGTAAGCCTTGACTGTAAAGGCAAGCCAAGGAACCGTCAAGATAGGCCAGACTTGCTGCACCCAGACACCACCGGTAGCGGCCGCGAACTACAGCACAGCGCAGAGCGGACCGAAGACGAGGTGTGGGAAGATGGCGTGGGTACTCATGACGACGTGTTGTCGCAGATGTCGAGGGTAGGATGGACTTCAAAGTTGCTGTATAAATGGAACTCGTTATTCCAAGGTTTTGAAAGGTATATGTGTGCCGAGGGTTTGAGCTTTACGTTCACCTTCACCTAGGCCATTCAATCTCAACGGCTTCCGTGAAGCTCGGTTCAACAACAGGATGTGCGTTTCCACTTACCGCAAAATTGCTAGCATAGAGATTGCCCACAAAAACTTGCATCCACACACCTCAATGCCTTCCCAGCTCATCTAGAAGCCGTGAGCCGATCTCGCCTTCCAAACTTTCTGATCTCAACAACCTCGAAACGTCCACAGGCCACAACGTGGCTTCGGTGGGCCTTGAGTTTCAGCTCTCGAGTCTTAAGAGATAACCTGGGGGCGCGACAGTATCTTAAACACTGCTCGCAAGCATCTTCACGCACAAGGTCAGGATTGTAAAGAGGCGATGGCTGGGGACAGTCGTACCGTCAGGTCAAGTACACGCTTAGAAATGATCAAAAATACTCCAAGTCACGTCTTGATTGCTGTGATGTTACTTTGCCGTTCGGCAAAAGCCTGGAACTCAAAAAGATAGCATATCTAGGCATCTCCACGCGCACAACAGAGTGCTTGACCACCTTCACGCTCGACCACATGGTCAACAGATTTGGACTATCGCGCTACTTAGCCCTTCAATATCTATCCTTCTGATTAGAGTTGCGCATTGAAAGCCCTACGGAGATTACAACGCTGTAGTCAGAGGCATGACCTGGCGCTTAAGTACTCAGTAAACGAATCTTTCATCAGATGAGAGAGCGTCACTGCCGTTCCAATCTGATTTCTTCCTTCGCAGTTTTGGCATGTCTCAATCACACAAAGCACCTCACGACCCGCACGCCTTCACTGACAATCATTTGACTCCCTCCAAGCTTGACCATGAGCATACAATCGCCCAACAAGCACTTACTGACTTACTCCAACCACCAATTCTAATCAATTATAGCAGATGTATCATACACCTTGAGGGCTTCAAATATTCAAGTGCAGCACTTTGACACATAATACCATCTCCTGGGTACTACGGTGCTTGGTGACTTTGTAAAATCAGTGTAGTTAGTTCTAGTCTGTCCGCAGACCAAATTCTCATCTGATGAGAGCGTGTCGCTGCCTTTTCACCTTCACACCCTCCCTCGGAATTTCAACATACCCCTACCGCGACTAGCACCTCACTGCCTGTACCTCTTCACCAACACGCACCTGACTCTCTTCAAGTTCCTCTGTGCCCGCACTATCTCATCGCAGGATACCGCCGAATACCTCCAGCACCCATCTTAAGAGGACCGGCGCACTTTCATGACACAGTTTAATGGTTACAACTCCGTGAGCACAATTATTCAGTTCTCAACAGTGCTTCCCGAACACTCTGATGTCAGGACAGGCCACCGCTTATCACTGCGTCCATGTAGGTGAAAGCAAACCTCCATCTTCCATCTTCCATCTCCCATCTCCCATCTACCGTCTTCCATCTCCCTTCTCGTTCCTTCTCTTCCCTTCCCTTCCCTTCCCTTCTCTTCCTTTCCCTTCTCTTCCTTTCCCTTCCCTTCCCTTCCCTTCCCATCCCCAACAACTGCAACCATGCACCTTCACCTTCATCTAGATCTTGGCGCGCATACTCCCTCTCAAAACCTCAATTTCTGTCTGACACGCTCGAGCCCACCTCCATACCACACTGCTCACTCACCACAACACCACGACATCCTCCCGCCCTCCTTTTCCACATGTACAACAACACGCTCACCACCATGAGTACCTCCACGCGCTTCCTCGACACCGTCGAACAGTTCATGGACCGCTTCAAAGACCTCCAAGATGCGCACCAGGCCAGCGTCTCGTCCCTGGCGCAATGTCGTGCCGACTATAAGGCCGCCAAGACGCACATCATGCGCTTCAATGTGGCCATCTGGCTGCTAGACATCCTTCTATTCATCATCCTGGTGCAGACCGTCTCGTCCAACCGGGAGACCAAGACCAAGCACGTCTGTCGGAGGAAGCTTGAGGATGAGGAGTATGAGAAGATCGAGAGGGAAGACTAAACAGTATGTTTCTTGTTGACTGATTTGATCGCTATGCATTCGCTAACACCACCACAGCTCACTACCTACTTGGAAATCCCGAGCTCCTTGTAGAACGCCTCGGTGCTCGGTTTCCTGCCCAAGAACTCTTCAAGGATATCCATCTCCTCCTTCGATCCGCCACGCTCGAGCACGGTGTGCCTGTATCTGCGGCCTTCCTTGGGGTTCATGGGGTCGTTCTTGAAGACGGAGTAGAACATGTCGGTGGAGTATACTTGGGAGGAGAGGTAGCCGTAGTAGCTGCTTGTAGTCAATACGAAAAGTTTCACGTCCATGTTTCGAGGTGAAGTTGTGACTTACCCAGCATCGTATCCGCCGATCAAGTGACCAAATGTAGCTTGCCCGTTGCCCCAGTGCCAGTCGCCCTTCTTGTCGCCGCTGAGGGCCTCGGGACCGTCAAGCTGCGAGATCTCCTGGCGGAGGCTGTTGTACAACTGCGTGATATCAAGCTTCTCAACCTCCTCGTGACTGCTGGGCTCGTGGATGGTCATGTCGAAGGTGCCGAAGTGCAACTGCCTCAAGTTGAACAGAGCGTCGTTGACGTGCTTGGTGTTGATAAGCTTGCTGATGAGAGAGTTGGGGATGCGCTCATCAGAGGGCTTCTTGTCAGCACCAGACGACTCGAGGTACGCCTGCTCGTATTCAGGTGAGAGGTGAGAGTAGTGGTGCGACAGAGAGCGGAGTTGCGAGGGTGTCCAGCACCAGTTCTCGAGCATCTGAGATGGGGCCTCGACAAAGTCGCGGACTGTATTGGTGCCGTGGAAACGAGAGTAGGTTGTGCGAGAGACAAGATCGTGGATTCCGTGACCAAGCTCGTGGAAGAGGGTGACGACCTCATCATGCTTCAGGAGCGAAGGCTTCTTCGGTGTCGGTTTCGAGAAGTTGCAGACCAAAGCGGTGGCAGGGTAGCGTCGCTTGCCGTTCTCATCTATATAACCAGGCTGCAAGTTGAAGTTGGCAGCGTGTCCGTACTTGCCATCACGGGGAAAGAGATCGAGGTAAAGGTAACCAACGAAGCCAGCGCCCTCGCCCTCATCATCCCAAACACTGAAAACCTGGACCTCTGGGTGCCAGACAATATCCTCGGCCTTGCCACCATCTGCCAGAGCAGTCCTCTCTTCGCCCACAATCTCGATGAAAGCCAGGCCAAAGAGCTCCTCGAAGATCTTCAGCATGCCCTGGATGGTAGTCTGAAGAGGGAAGTATTCAGCGATGACCTGGTGGTCAAGCTGGAAATCCTTCTCTAACATCAGGCGGTCGTAGTACCTATGGTCCCAAAGGTAGTACTTCTCGGCCAGCTCACCAGTCAGGCCCTGCTCCTTGACGTCCTTCTTCTTGAACTCCATCAAGGCCTCAATCTCCTTCTTGCCACCTGGTGCAAGGCGTGTGCGCAGGTCGCCGAGGAAGTCATCAACTGTCTTGGGTGTCTTGGCCATCTTGTCTTCTATCCTGAACTCGGCGTGGTTCTTGTATCCGAGGATGCGAGCGGCCTCGTCGCGGAGGAGAATCGCCTCGCGGAAGAGATCGACGTTCTGGTTGCACTTGTTCTCGTTCTCGACAAAGACCTTCTTTCGTGTCTCGGCGTTTGTAGCGTATTTGAGGGTCGGGAACAGGTCGGGGTACTTGAAAGTGAGCCAGAGCTTGCCCTCATTCTCACCTTCGCCCTTCTTCAAGCCAGTCAAGACGTCCTCTGGCACGCCGTGCAGCTCCTCAGGTGTGAACCAAAGCCCTCCATTCTCCTCATTCAGATTCTTCGAGAATTGAATGCCGATGGTGCTGAGACGCTGCTTGATCGCCTTGAACCTGTCGCGCTTCTCGCCTGCAGGAATGTTCAGACCATTGCGAATGAAAGACTTGTGGTCCTTCTCCAGCAGGCGCTGGGACTCAGGGTCCAACGGCTCCTTCGCCTTCAGCACCTTGTCGGTCAGCTGAAAGACATCCTCGCGCATAGATGACTCGATGCCGAAGTCATCAAGCAGCTGCTCTGCCTCGCTCGACGCATCGCGGAGCTCCTTGCTTGTAGAGACGGCGTTGTAGAAGCCAATGATGTGCGACTCAATGGCCATCTTGTTGTCATCCCGGGCGATGGGAAGGAGAGCCTTCGCAAAGGTCGCTTCGCCAGACTTGACAACAGCATCCTGCACAGCTCGCGACCTCTCAATCAGCCTCTTTGTGTCCGCTAGCAGGCTCTCCTTGGTAGCAGTGAACTTGGGTGGCAGCTGTGGCGGCTTCTTGTACTGTGTGGGCGCCATTGTGGAATTGGTGAGCGGGCGGTAGGGTTGCGTGTAGAGCGGATTGCGGAGGGGTCCTGGCTTAATGTGGCTCAGGATGGAGGGTGTGCGCCCGGCAAGTCGAAGTGAAGACAGGATGGCGGTTAGAGAGATGAAGAGGGCGACGGACGCGAGGAAGAGCCTGGTTAAGCGTGAGGTAGCCACTGTGGAACTTGAGTTGCTACTTCCTAGTTTGCTATATCATGTGCGGGGCAGCGACGGGCGGTGAACGGAAGGCAAGCGCGGTGGATAACGTCAGTTGAAGGCGCATTGAATGTGAGTGATGGCGAGCGTGACCACCTGTCGCTGATGCTCACTCGAAGCTCCGCAATCGCCGAGGCTAATGCTCATTGTGGTAAGGCGGGATCTGCCCGAGATCTGCGGTTGTGGTGCAACACCACGCGTTTGAACAGCTGGACCCTGAACTTTGTCGACATCTTCGTCGAATAGAGAGCATGGTGAGAGTTGAGTCATTGCGATACACTTGCTTAGGCAAGAGAGCCATCGTGTCAAGCAGGACCTAGCAGGTATCCAAGGAAACCGGTCACCAGCTGACTAGGCGATTTCCAGAGAATGGTATCGTATACCGCCATGACTTCGCTCATGAGCCGTGTCGGACGGTAGAAAGGATTGCAGACACTCATTGTCCAGAGTAGGAGGGCGTCAGACTGGAAAGTCGGGGCCTCCGGTGTTGAAGAAGTCCCCATGGAGACTAAGGGTGGCCCTTCAACACCAAGCTTTCCTAAACGAGTAACAACAATACATCACATGGCCATCACCCGCATGGCACAGAGTACACATGTCTCTCATCTCATCTGTCAAATTGCTTTGTATCTCCTTGCTTGCGCTTACGCCAAGCACCCATCGACATAAGCCCATGATCCAATCCGTATCTTCGTGAAGAACGTGGACCAACCAGCCTATGCACTCAACAATCCAGATATCAATAGTCAGAATACCCGAAACCGACAAATGGGAATCATGCAGCCGCAACGCCTAAGTACTCCGCTGAACGCCTTTCCGTGATGTGCAAGCAACGCCCAAAGCAGAGAGGTATCGATCGTGAAGCCTGTAAAGAAGTAAAAGGTACCACCGAAGTAGCGGCACCCAAAAGAAGCGAAAGAAGTCGTCCCCTCCAAAGATCTCATAGCTATCACCTCGCCGTTGTGACGCTCAGGGTCAACTTTGGATTCCTCTCGACCGCAATTTGCAGGTCCTCATCGTTCTCAATAGGGAAGAATGTTCCCTCCATCTCGTCTCTGTATTCGACAATCAAGTCCTCGTCCCGCTCGTCAGGCCTCTCTAGTCGTCTTCTCTCCCTCAGCTTGTTGTAGAGGTCGGGGAAGCGAAGGGATGTTGGCATCCGAATGACAACGCAGTTGTCCTCCTCAAACCAGACCTTGATCTTAAGTGCCGATGATGTGCCAGTGTTCGTTGCGGTCGAAGCGGAGGAGTGCTGGTGGTTCATTGGTGGAGGGTTGAGTGAGGACGAGTATACTTGCGAGGCTGATGACTGGCCGCGCTGGTGAGCGCCGTACGACCCTGTCGAGTAAGGAGTGACTGGTGTGGTGGCCTGGAGTTGATCAGCAGACGACTGTCTGCTTGTGGACCCTCCATGTGAATGGTTCGAAGATTGTCCAGATTGCTGTGACAACCTGTAATCGTCCTGAGCCTGGATATCGGGATCAATTTCGTAATCGCCCTGTCTTGGTGCAAAGAACCCCTTTACAAGCTGGCCATGTGTAATGTGCGGGCCCAACTTGAGCAGGTTCTTGATGTACTCGTCAAGGTTCGCGCGGCGGCCGTTCGAGATGTTATCGGTGACGTAGGTGACAGGCCCGGGCATGAACGGTAATGTACGCTCTCCTTGACCACTAGTGCCAGCTTCCACTGGGTATGTAGCAATAAGCTGAATCTGCAAGTCGTAGAAGTCCTGGTACAAGCGCTGTAGTTCCCAATGTCTACCATCTTCCATTTGGCATTCGATGATGAACCAAAAGATGTCGTCGGCGAAGCAGTATCGTGGTACACAGGCCTTGGTAGGTGCAAACAGCTGTTCAGAGCGATCTTGGCCTCCTTGCATGGCAACGGATCCGGAGCGTGAGTAAGATACCTGTAAAACTGTTAGACTCGTATGAGCATGGTGTAGCACGCCAACTTACTGAGCCATTTCTGCCTTGTATCTGGCTTCTTCCACCAAGACTCATGCGCTCCATACCAGCCTGCAATGACTGCTGCGTGTTGTCCTGCAGCTTGCCGAGCGGTATGCTGCCGTTCTTGTAGTCTGCCGCCATCTTCTTCCATTCCTCAACCTTGGGAACGCCTGCTGCTGCCACTGCATGCTGGGCGTCCGGTACTGCTTGCCCTGTCGTCATATCGCGGATCTCGATGAAAGATACGGGGATCAGGCCTGGTCCTCCTAGTCGTGTGATGGGCTTCGCGACGAACCACTCCGGGTTCGACTGTGCTATGACGATGATAGCCTCGCCCTCCTTTGCGTCCAGCTCGTCAGGCCTCTCCGCCTTGAAGTCGTACATCACAATGCCGTAGACCATAGCCCCTGTCTTCCCTGACTGCGACATGCGCATCTGCTGGCTCATCATGTTCTGCATCATGCCTGCGGTGTTCGGTGGGTTGGGGCTGCCAATCCCTCGCAGGGGCTCCTGGTAGCCAGAGTCGTGTGGTTGAGTTTGCGCGGACTGGCGAGGTGGAAAGCCGGCACTGTCGCGCACTGTCTTCCCTACGCCCTCGAAGTACGAGACGGGGACAAGTCCGCGGGAGCCGTGCAGTGGATTGCAGGCTTCAAACCAGTCGGCGTCGTTCTCGCGGTTGACGACGTGCAGGAAGTCGCCCTGGGAGAAGCTGAGCTGGTTCGGGTCGGTGGCCTTGTAGTCGTAGAGGGCTTTTATGACCTGTGAAATTGGATCGCCGGTTAGCTTCGCGCGCGTGCTGCCTGTTTGGGAAACTGGGGTGGGGTGTAGATGGGCGTGCAAGGTCGCTGAGTCGCCGTAAAGTGAAAGGAATGGCAAAGGTGGTTACCCACCTTCTTAGGCGGCACGATGGCTATCGCATCCTTGGCTGGGATGGAAATGTGCTGCGGGCGGTAGGCGTCCTTCTCCCCCTTCATCGACCGGCGGAACTGCGCACATCATATTAGCGCATGCGCACACATACACAGGACAAGCAAGGCTTCGCTGGAGTGGATGCGCGGTGACGAGGCAGCGTACCTTCATGGTGGGCAGGTAGTATGGAGAGCACAACGGCGATAGACGTTAGACGTTCACTGTCTGCGCGCACTGCACCGCGAGCGTATGTCGAAAGGCGGCACTTGGGGCAGCAACAAAGGACGGTGGGCGATCAAAGGCACCGGCAGGCTGGCGTGTGTGGGGACGGGGGTGGTGAAATGAGCAGCGGCTCGTGAAGAACGTCTGAACAGTCGTGCGCTTGCTGTGCGGCGGCGGCGTGGTCGTTGGCGATGTGTTAGAGTCTATCTAGCCCAACGGCGGCCAAGGCGAGATGTCGTCGTTTGGTAATTACAGAAGCCAGCAGCAGAAGCAAGGAATGAGCAGGCGCTGCGGGCGCTCCACTGCGACGGCAAGGCAATGGGGCCCTGGCTGTCACCGCACTTGGCAGCCAGGAGTTTTGGGCAGTGCTCTGGCAGTGCAAAGGGGGGCGAATGGGCGTATCCGCTGCTCTACGGCATGAAGCAACCCGGCAAGTGCACGTTTGTGTTGTCGCAGGCCCTGGAGATCACCGCGGGACTCCGTAGGTGTGAGTCGTTTTGTGACGACACTGGCCGTGCGCTGCGGAATGTGTTCACTGCAAAATACCCAGCATCTCGTCCAGACCGTGGGGATGTCCTCCTTTCCAACGACTACTGCAAGGCTACGCCGTCTTGACAGAGCCGGAAGACGGACCTGCATCCGGTGCCATCAGCATGCAGCTAGACTGCGCTAAGAGCCTATCATCGTTTGGTAAAGCACGGCAATAAGAACACTCGCTGTGTGCTTCTTTCAACACTCTTCAACATCGGTACAACATGCTTGTCATGTTGTCATCACACGTCGACTCATCTGTCACAGGTGGACCCCCTCCAGAACATTCCCAATTCACAACAGCTCCACATGTCTGCTGTTTCATTCCCTCGTGAGCGGGGGGATGCTGACAAGGTCCGATTGTGACACATCGGTGCCGCATTGATGGCCGATACCCAACACTTGCGCGTACAGCAATGTTACCGTCGCCGTTGCTAAGCGCGGTGCCAATTCGACAGAAGAAGTGTAATCCAATGTATTGCAGACTATCGTGAACGCCCTCGAGCCTCATGGTAGGTATGCCAGCGCCAAACGCCGTTCCTGAACCCTTGCATGCCAATCACGTTCCCAAGATCCACTCTGCCCAATCCATTGGTCCTGCCCCAGCGCCTCTGACGGATCCACAACGCCACGGCCATCGCAGACACGTTGCGGCGCAGACATCGAAATGATGCTGTTCGGGTGACCTTCGACGATGCCGCTCGACAACCCTAACAATATCTTTCGATAATATCGCCGAAGCGGAACAGGCCGTCAGAAGCAACAATGCCGACCTCCGCAAACCCACGTGGTGGTGCCGGACAATTCGAGACTGAAGCAGGCATTAGAGTAGTGCCGCTCAGCCCTGTTTCGTAACATCTCAATGCTTCCCATCTTTGCACCACCGTAAACCCTCTGATATGCCACTCTTTCCAAATCCGCTTCTTGTTCCGCTCTTGCACTGAGAACGAACAAGATGGATGATACCAAAAACGAAAAACGTAGCTTGGTGATCGCGAACCACTTTTGAGACGTCCAACGTATGGGAAATGACTAGAAAATTCGCTGCATCCAACGCATGAGCGGATACCCCGCGTTCCGGTCAAATGACGCCGGGAAACATTTCATGCCGAGACATGGGTGTTGGAGACGACCTTCTTGGCGGGCAGATCCATAGTGACGTGCGAGTGAGGCGCAGGAATTTGAAAAGAAATCTAGGATGACGAATGCGCAACTCGAGAAAGCTGGGACGCTGGAATGGGAAGGATTGGGGCCGCCATCGTCGATACTGGAACTCATATCTGGCCCTTGATGTCTACTTTGCTGAATGCAGCGGCACGCAGTTGCTCGAAATGCGCTGCAGCCTCGCGAATCTTCACCCGGTACTGCTTGCCGGTCTTTTCGTCGAACTTCTCTTCGATGATGTTTTGCGCGCCATGCGACTCGAGGAATTCACGGCATACTTCATCGTTGTCGAAACCGAGCTCATCAGTCAGGAAGCGCAATGTGATACTAATGTAACTGGTGCGTGTCAGTATGTGCATGTAGCAGAAGAGAAGGAGGAACGTACGCTCTAGACATGTTAGCGAGAGCAACGAGTCGCTCACGCTCGATGAACATGTCCATCAAGTAACCGCCCATGTTCTGTGCCTGAAGGTACAGTCGGAAGAACTTGTGGTAGTTGCCGAGTGCCAATGCTGAGCGAACGTCGAGGGCATGCTTGATCCATTCGTGGGTCTTGTCTGCGGGGGTTAATTCTGCCAACATGTCGTTCATGTCGGTCTTGTTGCACGTATATACAAAGTAGAGGATGCGGTAGGCCTTGAACTCAGCCGGATTACCGCCAAGGTTCTGCGCGTACAGCGCCTTCAGTTGCGTTTGGCACTGATTATACTCACCCGTGTCCCCCTTTTCTAAAGATATCCGGGCATGGATCTCGTAGACCTTTACAGTGAAGGCGTTCTTGATGTGCTGAACGGTCAGATCCTGACGGAGTGACTTGAACTGATTGCAAATATAGTTATAGTTCTTCTCGGCCCTCCACTTCTTGGTAAGCATGGCCAAAGTCTTCTCGAGTACAGGCAGAGGTCGGACGGTCTCAGCCTTTGGCGGTGCAGTCAGACGGAAGTAGCTCTTCTCGAGAGCCGTGTTGGTTCCGACAACAGGGCCAGTAGGCATCTCGTCCTCGTCCCTTGCTGAAGCTCCCCATGGTGGTGTCTTGTTGTTGCCGGCTTTGCCAAGGTTGAATCGTTGTCGTCGCTTCTCCAGTTCGGCCTGTTCTAACTTACTTGAGGCGTCAGAGGCGGCGTTCTTCTTTTGGCGCTTCTCGTTGTGTCCCTCGGCGAAAGTCATACGTGATTCTAGGTTAGTTCTACGCCAAGGCGGAAGGATTGCCTGAGTCTGCTGGGCAAGCTCTTCTGAGTCTTGTGATTTGCGCTTCTTCAGTGTCGATGGGGATGAGTTAGCTTGGGCGTTTGCACCGTTGAGATGAAGAGAAGAGAGGCCGTTCGCGAAGCCGTTATTAGTAGGCGACATCAGTGCGGCTTTCCTGCGCTCTTCTTGGATAAGCTCTTGAGGCAGGGGGTATGTGGTCCAGTCGATCGAGTCTTGCATGTTCCGTTCAGCGTAATAGCTGATGGTCTCTTTCAATTTTGTTTGCATCTCTAGGCTTGAAACGCCGGCGATGGCGCTTTCGGGATCGAAGGCACGGCGGACATAATCGCGCACCGCAGGGGGCCACTCGACCTTCTTCGGTTTGCTGGCGGCAGCCGGCGTGTTTGACTGCGACAGCATGTTAGCCCGAGGTATGTCTTTCTGGTCGACGTCGAGACATACTGAGGCAGACGCAGGCTGGAGTGTGGTTCGCGGTTGGACCGCATTGTAGGCGGGTGGCTGCATGGGCTGGCCCCACGCAGAGGTGGCGGTGGGCATCATGATAGAGCAACTTCGCGGGCAAGACGTGACAAGGTGAGTGTGACTATGGGGTGAGTAGTTTACAGTAGTGGTGAACGTCGTGAAGACTGTGCGAAGGTGGGTGAGATGTCCAGTCCTCGAGGGTGTGTGGAGGTGATTGAAGCGACAAAGCGGATCAGTGTCCACCCTTGGCAGGCGCTAGTCTGTACTCGCCCTAGCGCTTTCTATGACGATAGCCGGCCTCGGTGAATGCGAGCAAGTGTACATCCCTCCAGGTTGCCATGGCCGGTCTACCCCTCCATGAATGGCCTGAATGTTCCTGCACCAGCTCGATCTGACCACCGCTTTGCGCCCGTCGCTCTTGCCAGAGGAGACGCTTCTGTTCGTGCAAGATGCCGTGGGACTGTATGAGGGGTATGTTCATACCGTGTGCCCTGCAGCTTGCGCTATGCGACTGACGCCTCACGCGCAGCAAGTTCAAGATCCCACAGTACCAGAACGGCCAGGCGTACTTGACCTCACATCGCACATGTTATGTCGACCATGCTGAACCGCGCAAAAATTCGGTGGCCATCTTCCTGAAGGATATAGAGAAGCCAGACTTCTATGTAGGTTTCGTCGGTCTCGGTGCGCGCATAGAGCACGCGACAGCAGTGACTGACGTTGCATACAGGCTGGCTTCCTCAAGTCCTCTCCTAAGATCACCCTCTACCCCAAGCCCGCCAATCAGCTATCACGTGGGCTATCAGCACCCGTTGCTGCACGGAGCCCCTCATCTGGTTCACCAGAGCGACGAAACAGCCCTGCACCGGCCCCGTCCATGACCGCGTCTTGGATCTGCCCTATATGCTCTTTCTCGAATCCAGTACCGTCAAACTTCGATCCCGCACTTGCGTCACGTACACCGATACCACCATGTCTGGCTTGCGGCATCAAGCCGCCTACAATGCATGTCGTGAAAGCAGCCATAGCAGCCATCTCAAACAGACCAGCCCCTGGTCCACCGCCGAAGGACAACAAGGATGGCACCACAGCTTCGACATCTTCTTCTGGGGGAATAGTGTCGTGCCCACGCTGTACATACCAGAACCATCCCTCGCTATTGAACTGCGAGATATGCGGTGCATCCTTGACTACTGTGGTAGACAGGCGGCTGGAGCACGTTGCGGAGATTCGCAGAGCAGATTCTCCCGGCCCATCCTTGACCACGCCTATACAGACTACCAACATCGAGTGCATCAAGCTATCGTTCCGCAGTGGTGGTGAGAAGATCTTCTACGAGCGTCTCAAGAACGCGTTAGTGCAGCGCAAGTGGCTGCTTCAGAGTGCTCCTCCCATCCCTAAGCCTCGACCAAATTCTGGCGCGTTCGACGACAGCTACTCATCCAAGTCTGGCAAGTCATCGGCGGAGATCGAGCGACCCCGAGTAGTGGGTATCGCCGGTCTCGAGCGTCGTGGGCTTGAGCAGAGGCAGAACAATGAAGCTATGATCGGCAACGCTTTCGAAGATCTCGAGGCACTGATGACTTCTGCAAAGGAGATAATTGCACTTGCTGAGCAATTTGCGCAACAGGCAAATCTGGGGACAAATGGCAGTTCAGAAGACAACGCTCTAGCGTCGCAGTCAGCATCTGCACTTGGTCTGATCACTACAAAAGATATGCTTGGATCGGGTTCAGAATCACTATACGTATCTGAGCTGTCACGAAACCTTGCGGAATGGCTTACTGATGACACAAGAGGTGTTTTGCGAAGGGGAGGCGGGATCATGACGCTTGTTGACTTATGGGCCATGTTCAATCGCGCAAGAGGTGGCGTGGAATTAGTCAGTCCGGCGGACTTCGAGAAGGCAGCGCGGATGTGGGATACGCTCAAGCTCCCTATTCGATTACGACAATTCAAGAGTGGCCTGCTTGTGGTCCAAGGTCGTGACCGAACAGACGAGAAAACCATTGCCAGTCTGCTCACCTGGCTGAAGAGCTTACACAACGAGGTGCCAAGTTCAGATGTGTCATGGGACTGGCAACTATATGGTAGAGGTATTACTGCGCAAGAGACTGCCGAGAAGTTCGGATGGAGCGTGGGAGTTGCGATCGAAGAGCTTGAAATGGCTGAGGAAGCTGGTGTATTGTGTCGTGAGCAGAGTCTTGACGGCTTCAGGTTCTGGGAGAACTGGCTCGTCAAAATGCCTCATTCTTCTGTCACTGTTTAGCGCCAACCGTATCATACCCCAAATATCACTCAGCACATCACACTCTCATCATCACGTTGCCCTTCAAGCCCAGGTTATAGTCTGGTGGAACGTTGTGATCATTCCTTGCAGATGACAAGGAAAGTAGGTCAGAATTCCCTAGGAGAAGCACAGGAGATTCAGTTCCGCATTGTAAGAAAGCGACTGCCTACTGCTTTGAGACCATACTAACCCTTGCACAAACTAGCGTTCTCCACCACTCCAAAAATCTTCCTCTGGTTTTGACGTTATTCTCAGCTGCTCTATAACGATCACACAGTTCCTTTGTTCTGTTACTCACCGCCTACAACTCATACCCACCACGCAACTCGAAACCGAAATGCAACTCCTCAACGCTACGGCATCTACCCTCCAGTAGACGTTGCTTGCTACGCAGCACGCGAGGCTGAACAAGCATTCGCTCTGGACACGTGAGAACCAAATGCAGTTTCGACGCATGAGTTGCTTACGTCACCATACACCACAAAATACGGCGCGAATGAGTTGGCAGAACCTGTAAGTCATTCACAACATTTCCAACACGCGGATTTTTATGCTAATACTCCACAGACCGGTGCGTCAAACGAGAGTTCACAGCTCACCCAGCAGTACGAATAGATCGCCAAAGCACTTCCGTTGCTGTGGGCTAGCAAGCTTTCCAACCGTGTGAACGACTACATCAAGTACGATCCGAGCTTCGTCGAGACGAAAGTCAACAAGCAAAGCAGCGTCAAGGAGCGGCTCGCAATCGAGGAAGCCGCGGTCAAGAATGTTGCCTATGATGTTGTCGGCATCAGTCACGACAACGATGGCTCCCGCCAGCGACCTTGGAACGAGGAGCTCGATGGCACCATACTCTTCTTGTAAAACTTTGCCTAGAGATCTGATGACCTCCAGGCCTAGGTCATCTCTCCCTCTGTCTGGCAGGCGCTGATGTCCTGATCGTTGCCTCTTCTTTTTTCTACCTTATTCTTGCGACCTCTGCTTTTCGTCCACGGTCTTCCTCCTCGTCCTCTCTTTTAGATCATCCATAGATCTCCTCGTTTTTTTTCTCAATTTTCCCGCTCTCACACTGTTTTATCATAGAGGCCTGGTCATCGTTTTGGCCAACTCTTGAGACATGCGTTACTCACATGGCTACTCCGTTCACGCCATCTATCATGTGTTTCTGTTCTTGCAATTGGTCATTCGTTCTATTTAAATGTGCTCGCGTTCTATTCGGTTTTACTCTGCGCTGCTTTCTAGCTTTGGTCTCGCGTTCTACATTGTTTTCTAGATTCCTCCCTTTCGTAGTTTCGCTTTGCTTCCTGCTTTTAGTCTTGCGTTCTGCATGTCTTGCGTTGCTTTTAGATAGAACCCCACTCAATACACTCATTTGAAAATTTACATACCCAAGCTTCTTCGGACACCAGCTGCGATACTGATCTGTAATCTCAAAGTGATACAAGGCTGGCACCTGCGTTGCAAATAGTCGGCTGCAAGGCTCTAACAGCAATACTTCGAAGCAGACCTCTGGAGGTCTTTAAGGGAAATATGGAGTTTAGGAGTTACCCACGAAATTCGGTGTAGTTCTGTAAGACGCTGTATGACGACACACATGTTTTTCGAATCTGCATCAACATGAAGTCTATTTACGACCAGAAGTCAGCCAACCAGTACAGCTTCGACAGCACGGAGTTGGTGGAGCTGGTCAACTGGGTTGGCTGTCAGCCAGAGGACAGGACCTTCAGTGGCGAGGGATGGCCGTGAGTAGTACGCTCATAAACACGGTTCACGGCAGGTGAGGAAGGAGCGAGCTGCACCATAGACGACTGAGGAGCTAGTTAGTAGCGATAGGAGAATGACAGGCTTAGCACGAAAGCTCCCTCGTGAATGATGACTTTGAAGAGCAAGTGATGATCAAGGAGAGCGCCGCGGACCATTGGAGTTGACCAGGGCCACAGTGCTGGTAGGGCTGAAGAACAACAAGGTAGCCGCGGCTGAACAGCGGGGCCTTGGTGGGGCGCTTAGTTGCGGTTTACCTAACTGACGAGCAGTTTCTTTGCGACAACTGCAAAAAGAACACGACATCGTATTTTCTTGAGTGTGGCGAGACATCCTTTTGTTTCTCACCTTTCCGTCTGTCCTTTTCGCGACACTTTCAGGCTTACAACATTCTCTTTTGGAGTCTACGTACTGAAACACCAACACCATGTCTACGACAACGCGCCCCAAGATCCCGCCAGTCGTGATGGACAACATTACGCAGCAGATTGGCAACACGCCACTTGTGCGTCTGAACAAGATCCCACAGTCTCTCGGCATCGAAGCCACCGTCTACGTCAAGGTTGAGGCCTTCAACGCCGGCGGCTCCGTCAAGGACCGCATTGCCCTGCGCATGATTGAAGCCGCTGAGAAGTCAGGACGCATAAAACCTGGCGACACACTCATTGAGCCCACCTCCGGCAACACTGGTATTGGTCTTGCCCTGGTGGCCGCCGTCAAGGGCTACAAGACCATCATTACTCTGCCCGAGAAGATGAGCCCGGAAAAGGTCGCGGTCCTGAGGGCGCTGGGCGCTGAGATCATCCGTACACCTACCAGCGCAGCTTGGGACAGTCCTGAGAGCCACATTGGTGTTGCAAGGAAGCTCGTCAAGGAGCTACCCAATGCGCACATCCTCGACCAGTACACGAACGCTGACAACCCGCTCGCCCACGAGTTTGGCACCGCTGAGGAGGTCTGGGAGCAGACACAGGGCAAGGTCACAGCACTTGTCGCTGGCGCTGGTACTGGTGGCACTATCACTGGTCTGGCGAGGGGTCTGAGGAAGCACAACAAGGACGTCAAGATCATTGCTGCCGATCCCCAGGGCAGTATTCTTGCGCTGCCTGAGACGCTGAATCAGGATCACATCAACGAGGGATACAAGGTTGAGGGTATTGGTTATGACTTCATTCCTGAGGTTTTGGAGCAGCAGATCGTTGACAAGTGGTACAAGACCGACGACCGCACAGCCTTCCAGTACGCAAGGAGATTGATCTCTGAGGAGGGTATTCTCTGTGGTGGTTCGTCTGGCAGCGCTATGGACGCCGCAGTCAAGGCTATCAAGGAGCTCGGTCTAGGCAAGGACGATGTCGTAGTCGTTATCCTGCCCGACAGCATCAGGAGCTACCTCAGCAAGGTTTGTACCCCTCTTCTCCCACCACCCTTACATACTGACATCCCACAGTTCGTCGACGACGACTGGCTTGCCGCCAACGACTTGCTTCCCGAGACGGCTGCTGACACACCCGAAGCCGCAAACGTCACGCGTCGCCTCTCGCTCAGCAAGAACAACAAGAACGACGCTTTCCACAGCGCCACGATCGCCTCGTTACGCCTCAAGCCTGTCACAACCGTTCCTGCCAATTCTCCCTGCAGCGAAGCCATCGAGACCATGCGCGAGAAGGGCTTCGACCAGCTCCCCGTCTCCACATACTCCAGCGCCGGCAAGCAGAGACTTGTCGGCCTCGTCACTTTGGGCAACTTGCTCTCCTACATCGCATCTGGACGCGCAACCCCGAAGTCGAAGGTCGAGGATGTCATGTTCGACTTCCGCAAGCTCAACGAAGTTGTCAAGGATCTCGGCAGACTACACTTGGACGGCGAGGGTACCAAGGTCGGCAGCAGGAGGGAGTTCGTCGAGATCACAAGGGATACTAAGCTCAGTGATCTGAACAAGTTCTTCGAGTGGAACTCGGCAGCCATTGTCACCGAGAAGGTTGATGGTGAGACAAGGGCAGCGGCTGTTGTCACCAAGGTCGACCTTTTGACATGGATGATCACTCAGAAGAGCACTGACGGCCACTAGACGAGGAAGAGATAGAAGTAGATGGTCTCTATGGGAGCTACATTACACGGAGCATGAAGAGGTGGATCTGCATTTTGCCATAGCACGGAGTTTTAGGTTGATACCATTCATCTGACTTCATTAAGTTAGCAGATGAAAGTTGCAGATTTTAACATCTGCAACACAACATAATTCAAAACAGTTCATCACATCATGCCAAGCTTGAGCGATGACTGAACACCTCCAGACTTCTTCAGGCACGGGCCGGGTCACGAGGCGGTTCGCGTACAAACTCTTCTTCACCCAGTTGTTCACCACACAGTCACGTCTGCGCTTCGGACTATCAAAACTGGTTCTCGAGGTATCCATGTTCTTTGCTCCCCTTGAAAGTCAATCTAAACATTCAAACACCAGGTCCCTCTGCGCATGAGTTTGTGCGCGTGTCCGCCAACAAACCCATCGAATATCATTTGCGCCTCAGTAAATCAAAACTGGGAATATAACCCTCTATGTTCTACAAGCCCTGCCGCCAGAGTCTCCATAATGAAGACTGGTTTACCAGCGGTACATGATTCCTTCCTCAGCGCAACTGCAACGGTCAACATGTGTGAATGATGCATGGGTATTTTTCTTGATACACTACCCAACGATGCTTCGACCCTGCGCCAAAGCCTTGCAACATACGCATACGTACAACCTCACTTGCGCCAAACCTCAATGCTCCTGAACAACGCCGCACGCTGGAAAAATGCCTAAATTGTTTTCCTTTTGCAAACACCATGTATATCCCCGAACCATCTCATCGCGCAGCTTCTTCGACCAGATCCCTCACATCCCTCGCTCTTTGCAGCCACTGCTGATCATCTGCGTCTCGACCTAGTGTCTCGCTACCCAATACGACTCGAAGATACTCTGCGAGTCCGATGGCGTTTTCGGTGCCGCCGAACAGCGCGCCCGATCGACGGCTTATGATTCCCCACTGCTCGACTGTGTAAATGCTCCATTTCATGAGGAGTTTCTTGTTGCGGCCGGCAAAGGGAGCTTCCTGCGCGTACCACAGCGCTTCGAATGTCGCGACGAGGTACTCGAAGGGTGCGTTCAGGCGGACGAGGATGTCGATGGGCCATGTGATGTTCGAGTTGAGGATGAGGTCCCGTGAGTTCGAATTGGCGTCGTGTGTGTAGTACTCGAGGTCGTACTGAAGGAGGAGCTGGAGGACGATGTTGACGGGGAAGACATTCTCGTTCATGTTTACGCGACGGCCGATTTCTTCGACCTTGAGCGCAAGCGACTCCCAGGGCTGTGCTGCTCTATCCGCGAGAGCCTGCTTGTGGACTTGCTCAACGAGGTTGGACCAGGTATTGCGGATGTCGGGGATGTTGCGATGGTCTGCGGCGTGGTAGATGAGCAGGCATACATCGTAGTAGCCGGCCTGATCGGCATAGTTGTGATACAGCTAGGTGTGTGTTAGCCACTGATGTAGAGCGGTTGAATGAACTGACTTACCTCGTCTAGCGGCTGGATTTGACCGTTCAGGAGTCCCAGCACTTGCTCTTTACGAGCTGGGTCGCGGGCGAGTCGTTCATCGTTCTTCAGCTTTCCTAGGATGTCGTCTTGAATGTTTGCGATGTCGAGATGATCAGCAATGTTTCGCAGAAGCTCTTGTCTTGATTGCCTGTTTCGTACCCCGGTCTCAGAGAAGCCGGTCATACGTGTCGATGCGTTCGCTTTAGCGAACGAGAGGTATTCGATCCGCTTCTCCAACGGCAGGTCTAGCGAGCTTTTGGCAAGCTGGTACTGTGTCTCTGCGGCACTCAAGTAGTCGTTGTAATGGGCGTAGTAGCGCCACAGAAGGTCTGCATGAGCGACATCTTTCTCCGAGCTCTGTCGCAAATACTCGATAACGAACGGCGAATTGATCTCGAGCAATCGCTCCGCCCAGCCCTTCTGCATATACCAGTCGTACAGGTAGTTTTGGAATACCTCATCGTCTGAGTTGTTGATCTGTTCGTATGCTTCAAACTTGCGCCGTGTTACTTGCGATACAACGCCATCTGGTACTGGCCCTTGGCTGTTGTATGCTTGATCGACCGCTTCAATGACTCTCAGGACGAGGTCATAGCATGCGGTACGCTTCTCGTAGAAGTCTCGTCGTACATCGTTCGGGTCAGTGCTGGGGTCATCTCGGTCTCGAATCCACGACAGAGCCTTGTTCCCACGATCCCACTCTTGAGCGACCTTTAGCAATAGTCGAATAGCACCTGAGACGTATATTAGCGGGATTCAGAAGATGACTACTGATAATGACGTACCAGCATAGAACTCGAGCTGAATGTACTGATTGACTGTTGAAGCCAGGTTGTCGAAAGTCAAGCTCTTTGCAACCTGCTCGAACAATCCTAAGCTGTCGTTGAGCAGAATGCGTCCGCGTTCGGCATTCGCACCCATGTCTGCTGCCTTCTTCGCAGCTTCTTGGCCGCGGAAGATCATGACGTCGTCTGCACTACAGAAGCTGCCGCATTTCCTTCTTAAAGCTTCTGCAACCGTTTCGACATTCGAGCCCTTGGTGATGTTGCGGTTGACGATTGCCTTGACCAATTCCTTGGCGAGGTCTCTACCTTCCTTGACGGAGAAGAGAGCCTGGAAGGTCATGCGTCGAACCATAGCTTGTGAGTTGGGGTCGAGCAGCGCCATAATATCCTCCAGTCGCTCCTCGAACAGAACAAGGACAAAGGAGATGCCTTCCACCATGTCGTTCACGAGCGTGACCAGGCTCGTCAGCGCCCTGTGCTCGCCCTGCAGCTCGACCTCTTCTTGTCGCGATGATACACGGCCCAATGCCTCGGGCCCTGCAAGACCTTCAATGAATGACTTGTTGTCGTCAAGGAACTTTTGCAAGTCCATCAGCGCACGCTGGATATCCTGCAACTTGCTGACCTTCACAGCTGACGCGAGAAGAGGGCCTGTTGGTGTGACGTCCTCCCTGATCACTGGAGCATGCCAGATAGATCGCACGAGACGAGCCACATACATTGCAATACCATCGTGTCGCGGCGATGCTCGAACGTTCTCGACGCTGGGTCCCTCAACTGTCGCGCTCTCTGTCAGATGCGCCTTACCACCAAACTCGATGAAGACCTTGCGAGCAAACTCAGTCACCTCAGGGTCCGTGATCCTAGCAATTCGGGAATCGGGCCCAACGTCAGAGCCCTGGTTGCAAGCTACAGCCAAAGCAGTAGCCGCTGTCTCGGCAAGACCGTACTGCTTAGCAAGCTTTCTGATATCGGCTTCAGTACCTTCTTGCCCACCTCCATACTTGACGAGGGCTGCGAAGATGTCAACGAGTCGCTTCCGTCGTACCGTCTCGATACCGAAAGATGTGATAATGGCGTATTCATTGAGAGGCTTGTCGAACTGTGTCGCGAGTTCATTACCGAATCCTAGAGGTTCGCTCCTTGCCGAGAAAGGCTCAGACACCTGTCCCATATCCTGAATCCTGCCCACGAGCTCTAACGTCAAACCGGTCTCGGTATACCGCGGAGGCTCCGAGCTTTCGCGCTGACCGAGCAATCCTGAGTGAGGAGCGGAGATGAAGAGGGTTTGGTTCCGTTCGTTTTCTGACTTGAGAACGAAGGAGAAGAAAGAACCAGGTGCGAACCTGTTGCCGTACTTGGTCTCCTTCAAGAATTTGGAGTTGAACCCTAGTGGCGCGCCGCCCTGGTACGGCTGTAGTTGGGTCGAATTGCTCTGCTGAGGGGTCTGGCCGTCATCAGGAGGGAATCGAATGTGGCGCAACTGCATGCTGTTTGGTGCGCTTGTGCTGTCACTGTTCCAGCCACCAGATGTTGTGCTCAGATATAGCCTGCATCCTGTAGATGTTGTTGCCATAAGCGAAAGGTGGTCTGCCTCTGTGCTCGCAATGGGACTCAAAGCAACAATCTCCATTTTGTTGAGAACCTCGGACTGGCGAACAATATGGCTGCACATAGTCTGGAGATTCGAGACGGTTCGAGTAATTACGCATTCGAGAGTCGCCGGAGCGCGCATGTGGTACACCTTGACGGTGCTGTTCGTAGAGAGCGTGTAGAGGAGGCTTCGTGTATCGTCGACGACCATCTGCGCGATCCCTGCCTGTTGTGTGGTCCCGTAGAACGGCAATGCAGGAAGGCCTACAGCTTTGGAGACATGGTTTGTCTTGCTGCACTTGCTGGAGAACCACCGATCCTCCTGCTGGTAATTGAGCTCGTATACGTCTTCTGTGCTCCCGTCTCCGAAGAAAATGCGCCCTGTCTTGGCCGAACCCTCGATCGTCGTCACTGTGATTCTCCTGACAGAAGTTGACAGCCCTGTGCGGTACAATGTGATGCCGTGAACTCCCTCAGGGCCCCTCTGACACTCGACGGCGATCAGAAAAATGTCGGTAACGGTTGCGACTACCAGCAGATATTCGATTGTGTCGACGAAAACCTTCGCACGCGGCTTCACCAGCTTTACGCAGGTGATGTTGCTCGGCTGCTCCTCAAAGCCGACAAGCTCAGGATTCGGGTGCGTGTAGTCCCAAAGATAGACCTGGTTGTCCACCACCACCCAAGCATGGTTGATCTCCGCGAACAGGCCCATCTTTGTCGACATTTGCGTGTGATCCACCTGCTCGAAGACGGCCTCTGGAAGTCGGTATGTTCGCAGCTTCTGGAAGGGTGCCCACGCTGGGTTTGTCGGTAGTTCGTACTCTCCAGATACGCCCTCTGTGGGTTCGTTAGCATCCTGCCGTGCGCCCACTCCTTTGTTTTGCGCTACTTACGTCCAACATAGGCCTCTAATGGAGGATAGCGGTTGTCCCTGTCCAACATGTTGTTGACTGTGCGCGCAGCACGCTCGATGGCGCTCTCGACTGGCGGTGCAGGAAGCGCCTGTGCTGGCTGTTGCGGCTGCTGCTGAGGCTGCGCAATGGATTGTTGTCGTTGTTGCGACATGGATGGTTGCCGTACCAGCCCGCCTCGATTCGGCGCAGGAGTGTTGATGAACATGCCCGGCGTGGGACGCTGAGGCGTCGTAGGTACCGAAAAGTTCATGATGTGCGTGGGCGATGTGGTGAATGGGCGCGGTGGCCTGGGTGAGAGCGAGCTTTAGGTGGTGGTTGGGGACACGCGCTGACGTTCAGGCGTAGACATTAATCGCGCGCAAATGCTGAGATGCTCCAGAAAAAGAAAAGCGCGCCACGCTTCGTATCGAATTAGACGCGGGACTGCAATTGCGGGTGGACAATGTGCTGGAGTTGAAAGTTGACGGACAACAAAAGAGCTTGCTTGGCGCGAATGACAGGGATCTGAAGCTCTGGCGCGTCTGAGCTTCAGCTTTTTGGTGGATCAACATCTACTCGAGCATTGACTTCCACCACAACTAGACGGGAGTGTTTCAGCATACTCGAGACTTCAACACTATAGCTTCACTCTACTCTAATCAACCATTGCTATCGCTACTTCGACATTCGCAAGCTAGACAGCCCACCATGGCACTCTTCACACCTACGATGCTGCGCACAGCTTTCTCTATGTCCCGGTCAGCCTGCATTCGCCATGCTACCCTGCGCTACTCGTCCACATCGACTTCTGAGTCTGTTGTTCTCCCACGTTTACAATCCGACCTCAAGACCGCGATGCGCTCGAAGAACAAGCCTGCGCTCAACGTCATCCGTGCCCTCCAAGCCGAGATCATCAACGCTTCCAAGACCGCAAAACCAATCGAGAACGACGGCACATTCTACGCTTTAGTCCAGAAGCAAATCAAGGCTTCCAACGCCGCGATAGAGGAGTGCACCGCCGCAAAGCGTCTGGACCTGGTGGAGAAGGAGCAAGCGCAGCTGGATGTGCTGAAGAAGTATGCAGAGGATATCCCCAAGCTGTCGGAGACCGAGTTGAACGGCATCATTGACCAGGCGGTTGCTGGGTTTGAGGAGGCTAAGAAGGCGTATGGGCCTGTCATGGGCAAGGTCATGGGCGCCATCAAGGGGAGGCCGCATGATGTTGAGTATGTGCAGAAGAAGATCGAGGAGCTTGTCGGAAAGAAATAGATGTGGTTAGGATCTGGGAGGAATACGACTGGACAATGACTGTATATCACGTATCAAAGATGTACCTAGGTACCTTGTAAACTATAATGTATAGAAGAACATTAGCTGTAACGTTTCAGTGCCTCCAAGACGGCAGTGGTCAGTTTGAATTTCTGCAATTGTTGATGTCCTCTGCAGAATAATGTCGGCCAACAGCAGTCAATCTGAAGATGCCAATGACCCTGGCTTGGGCTAGTGTACCGCAGTAAGGTGTATCGAAGCCTATCGTGAGCACAAAGACAGCGACGCCGGGCCGTTCCCGTGGATAAAGAACATCGCAGGAGCTGGAGGTGTTAGGGCGCATGCGACATGTCAATTATGCAGCCGTTCACGCATGTGGTTGACGCTGAGAGTCTGGCTTAGATTCGTACTCCACCAGACCTTGGAACGCTCCTTCCAAAGGCGGGGTGACGTCACGTTTTTGAACTTCACTATGCACCCCCTCGGTTTTGTTCGGTGACGATACGAGAGTAGGGATAGCCTTATGGCAACCAAAACCCTGGAGATTGGGCACAGTCGTGTCTTGTGATTTTGTAGCCTGAATGGCTCCAGGGCCTACTGCTTTGTTCCATTGTTCAGGTAGCAATACACAAGTTGGTCGCAATGCCCAACTTCAAAATATGCTCGAACTTTATGCGTCAGGCACTTGATTTCCCCGTCTGAAACAGCCCGCAGAGAAAGAGTCAGCGGCTATCAAGGCCTGGCCGCAAATCACAGCGCAAGCCTATGCAGGGTACAGGCGCAGAATGCGCCGGCGATGACGTCCGTATTTGACCAAGGTCGTACTACACCTACACACCATCAGCACTCCTAGCCTGCGGCAATATATTCGCAGCCGTGCGACTTACTCCTTTATTCAACTCTCGACTCGACTGGCGCTTCTCCCACAACACCTACATATTGCGCCTACAGTCTGTACACAACTTTCCGGACGGATAGCCGGCAACACCCCGCATCCCGAGTTATTGCATCAACAGGGCTGGGATAGCAATTCACTTCAGAGATTATAGCCATGTATCGCTCTTCGACCGGCAATCTCGCCAGCTATGACGACGAGCCACCTCGCGGAGGCCAGCGTTGGGATCGCGACAGGTTCGAGCGCATGAGGGGCGGCAGGGGTCCTCCTAGCCGCGACGACGAACACGACCACTTCCGCTTCCAAGAGCACGATCGCTTCCCAGGAGGCCGCCGCGACATCGACATCCATGAGGACTACGACCGCCGTGGCCCACCTAGCAGGCAACCCACCCGCGTTCAGGAGAGGGACCGCTTCTTCGAAGAGGACCGTTTCGAACGCCGCGCTCCTCCACGCCGAAATGATGTCTTTGAAGAGCGCACGCCTTCTGAGATAGCCAATCAGGCGCTCGCACCCTATCGCAGGAAGTCTGTCATTGACGAGGACATCAACATCGACCTCAGGAGTCAAGTTTCGAGGCCACGAAAGCCAGCGCGACCACAGTACATCCGCAGACAGTCATCTCTCGACACATTCGATCGTCGACCCCTACCTCGCTACGGAGATATTGAACGAGTGGAGAGGAACGAGTACCACGAGTACCGCCCGCCTGCCAATGTGCCTATTCCATTGCCTGTCCGCGAACGTCGCAGGTCACCGGAACGTCGACGATTCAGAGAGTCTGACGACGACCTTGCTTACGGTGATTTTGGCGGAGGCAGAGGCAGGGAGCGTGAAGAGTACCGCGAGATTGAAGTGTCAAGGAACAAGAGCAGAGTCCGAAGAAGCAAGAGTGTCGCAGGCTCCAGGCGCAGCTCCTCTTCCGACAGTGTGTCAGAGATCCAGCTACCGCGCGCGAACTACGGCAAGAAGGGCAAGACAAGACTGCCAAAGCGATTGGTGAAGAAGCAAGCGGTCATTGAGCTTGGCTATCCTTTCGAGGAAGAGGTAGGTTGCTTGTGAAGAATCATGAGAACCTCACTGACTGAGACAGGATGACTTCATCATCATCACTCGTGCTCTTGAGAAGGAACACATCGATGAGTGCATCAAGGTCAGCGAGAACTACAAAGAGGGTACGACGACCTAAATTTACTTCAGTACGTAGCTAATTGTGCAGCAGAGAAAACAACGTATGTCTACGAAGAGCGAATTGAAGAGACAGCCACACCTCCTCCGCCGCCGCCTCCGCCAGAGTTTGTGGCGGCTCCTCCACCACCTCCGTCCGTCTATGCTGCACCTCCACCTCCGCCATCTGTGTATGCTGCACCACCTCCGCCACCGCCGCAAGTCTATCACGCACCGCCACCTCCACCAGCATCGGTCTACGCAGCGCCGCCGCCTCAGCACGCGCCAACAGTGTACGAGCCATCAGTCCGCAGCGTGTCACCTCCAAGGCACGAGCACGAGAGGTATGTTGAGATCGAGCGCTCAGCTGCTATGCACGGGCCAGCAACGGCATTCCTGCCAGAGGGGCGCCATCTTGTACGCCAGTCAAGAGACACTCGAACAGAGCGCGATATCCGAGACGAGATCCGGTCGCTAGAGGAGGAACGCCAGTTGCTCAAGTACGAGCGTGGCGAGGACTACGAGGTCTATGAGCGAAGAGACCCCAAGCGGGAGGTTGTTCGTGTTGACAGGGACAGAAAGGGTAGGTTAGCCCTTGTCCGCTCGGCCCACTAGAAACGGCAAATTGATACCCTGGGTAGGACGACGCGACAGGCCGAACCCGAAGATCGTTGCGGCTATGATGTCGACTCTGACTTGATTGACTTGACGAAATGCATACTTCTATGGAGCTAAACTGGTCAGGATAGGCGCAGATGGCGAAAATTGCATGGCGGCGCTAGGGAAGGTTTCTCTTAACGATTTCCATCGGCTGAATGTCTGAAGATATACTTTCGATCTGCTATATTATGAGAAATCCGTTTAGGTTGGCGTGCTTTAAGAGGCAGGGGTTTCATGTTATATACACAAGATGTACGATCACGAATTATGAATGATATGCAAGACATGGTAGCAATTTCCAATTCTCATCAATGGATCGTCTGGTGGTGACGGACTTAACGTGCTATAAAGCTCTAAACTCCAGACAAGCTCCCAACACCACGCCCGCATCCCACACCACCTCGCTCCACAACCCCACCTCCACACCCGCAGAGCCTCACCCAATGGCTGCGGCGCTATGCCCATCTGCATAGAGTGCCGCTACCCCGTCAAAACACTGTACACCGAGTACTCGAAAGCCGATGACCGCGCGCTGGGCAAGGGCGTGCGCTTGACACAATGTCCGCGCTGCAAGAAGTTCGCCGACAAGTATGTCGAGCATGACTTTGTGGTGCTGTTCATCGACTTGGTCTTGATCAAACCGCAAGCAAGTTAATCTTATGGTGTGCCGGGGGATAGGTGCTAACTTCACAGGTGTATCGCCATTTACTGTTCAACCGGCTCGGTCGCGATGACGATAAGTTCGACGTACAGACCCCTATCCCCATCCCACACACAAGATAGTGGTATGCTAACGCATACAGCGCTCCATCCTCCGCCTCGGCATCCTGCTCCTCCTCTTCGACGTCTATCTAACATGGGCGCGCATCGAGAAGCTTCCTCTACCGTCCCACTCACCCTACCACAACCAACTCTCCTCCGCCTCGCCCGAGCAAACCAACGCAGCAATCCTCCAAGCCCAACCCCTGATCTTGCAATACCTCTTCTTCCTCCTCCTCGTCACCCTCTCAACCCTCGCTTTCCACCTCCCCATCCGCCTCCTCACCTCCCTCAACCCACATACCCTGCCTTCCGCCCTGCGCCCCACCTTTCAACACTTCATCCCCCACTACCCACATCCTACACCATTGTCGACGGCGTTGCTGGTCAGCTCATGTACCAAGCTCTTCCCCATACTGTTGATTATTTGGGATTATGACCTCCCGAGTAGCGCCACGGCGGTTAGCTGGGCGGTTATTGTCAATAATGTCGCAGCGCTGGAGATCCTTATGGATTGTGGATATCTCAGGGCGGGAATGTTGGTTGGTGTTGGAGCGGGGGCGAGGTGGGTTGTTGCGGGGAGTGTGGTTAGGGAGGCAGGGTTGGGGAGTGGGTGGGAGGATGATGGTGTGATAGGGAGTGTGGAGAGGTGGGTTAGGGGGGTTGTTGGTGTTGGGTGAGATGATGTGCAGTCTACGCGGATGCAGGTAACGAGACAGCTGGATTACGATGTGATACAGGATATGATACCCGTCTGCTGTTCGTTGCTTTGTTAGGCTTTCAAGATTGTGTGTGCAACTCAGATTAGGGCATCGTGCGCATCACTCATGGAGTGAACAGTAACCACACCCGTCAAGACATGCGGGTGTATGTACTCGAAATGCTTCGTTTGGTGTTTGTACAGCCCAAAATCCATGTAACGCCCAGCCAACTATACAATGCGCTCAAGTCTCGGAATGCTCGCCTCTGCTGCTTGTCTTGCACTTGTGCCCTCTGACACCCAGAACTCGGCATGTGCCGCCCGTCATGAACATGTTCCAGATTGTATGTGCTTCTCCAAAGTAGATCATAGGTTGTATTGATCTGTCTACCCTTGGTTGTACTCCGGTCGCAGATCGTTTCGTACAGGCGAGATGAGAGGGTGCAGTTGTGCGAGGAATGTGATAGCCCACATGATGTACATTGCGGCGGCGGAGAGGACGAGGGTTGATCGCCAGACACTGTGGGTGCATATTAGCGTGTGTTCTTTTTCAGATCGTGTACGGCGTCGCAGTAGTGTTGTACAACTTGGAAAGTGCCGGTGATGAATTTGTTGGGCGCATTGGTGTCCGACTGTGGCCCTTTACATGCTCTAGGTGTGGGTCGTGGGAGTGGCAGTTGAATAGCGTGCGATCGTGGAGTGGGTGTAGACGGCGATGGTAGTACTGATATCTCGGTGTGGCGACCACGACTCAAAGAGGTAGGTTATGTGTATGGAAGAGATGGCGAGATATAACGTACGTCTGATTCTCACCCTTAGGTGCGAGGATCCATGCTGCCGCGCAGAAGATCACGGTGACGAGAAGTCCAATGAAAGGTGCCCAGCTGTGTGGGTTAGCTGCTGTTCGTTTGTGCTGTGGCGGCGCAAACTTACCCGTTAGCCATGGTGTTTCGATTGGTGAAGAAGTCGAAGAGCCGTTCGTGAAGGGAGAATTTGGTGATGCGGCGATGCGGTAGCTTGCTTGAAGCTCGAATGCGATGACGCCTGTCGCGCGGCCAGGCGATACTTGGCACGCTAATCTTGAAATGCGCTAGTCAATTCACTTGGATACATGCGAACTTGTGGTCCTTCAATCTTTATCCAGACGACAAAGATCGCGAGGTGTCCTCATAGGGCTATACTTCAACATAACTTAGATGTGATCCAGTGCGCACGCGCTGGAGAGTCAACTCTTCATATGCTCTGCGACTCGGTACTTTCGTCTCGAGAACCCTGGACTACTTGTGCTTCCTTGACCGGTCACCTTCCACCTCACTGCTTGGATCTGAGCGTTCGCGAACAATTCTGCCTTGTGCCTTCTTGTGATCACCCTAAAGCTAGGATTCTTGCGCGGATACCCCGCTCGGGGCAATCTATAAAATCTACAAACTTCTTGGACTTGCTGACTTTGCTTCCTTCTCCAGCTCTCTGTTGAGGTTCAAGCTACGACGCTGCTCCTGGATGTTCAACTACGTTTTTATTCCAGACTTCGGAGCAGTCTGCATCGAAGCTTATACATCCAGGTCCAAGGATGCTTGCCAGCCGGTCGGTGAAAGGCCAGTTCCTTCAGATTCGTCGCCTCACACTTTCCCTCCTGTAGTAGACGGTCATCGCCTCTCAACAACTTGACATCCGGTCAAACTTGGACGCGTGTCCGAGTGTGGCATGGCCCAAGGAATGATTCGGCCCAGCCAGCATACCAGCCTGGCCGCCTTATCCACACATACATGGTACGTAGCGAAGTACCTGTCTAGTCATAGCTAACTCTCAGGAACGCTGAGGATCTTCGACCTGGACCGTGAAGGACAGTCCGAAATCATTTGCTGTAGAACTTCCTTGACCGCCTTTCCAGCCATCCCCAGCCTCGTGGACCGAAGTCATGCAGGGACTCTGCGGGTTTGCACAAATACACCATAGATACATACCGTCTCTTCAAGCCACAGGCCGCTATTACTGGATCGCAAGTCAAGACCATCGTGGTTGCTAGAGCCAAGGAGGAATCATGTTGTCTGGACGGCAAGGGCTGGATCGCGGGAAAAACACTCGGAGGGCTGAGGTGACTACAGCCCTCTTGTGCTCTGTGCCAGGGCCATGTTCATCACCGATAACATCATTGACGATCGCGACGGGGCTCGAAGTGAGCACGTTTTGACTGAAGTGGCTCGTACTGAGTGGTCTCGACAGCACATCTGATCATCAAGCTCGTCAGCCTCACATGCAAGTCGATATCAGCGCTCATCGGAACCGCAGTTGAGCCCTCCTCATCGACCCCGCGCCATGGCTCGTCCAATCAGTAACGATACGGTTACCATACCTTACAGCACTGCAGAACGTATCATCAGGCTTTCACCGGATAGCCTTGGAAAAAGACCTCACTTTTGTAGCAAGTTATTTGAAGTGAGGCTTGCAGCAATTGCTTGCTTTTGCACGGATACTAGCAGGCGAGTGACATTCTGCCAACCTGATTGTTCATCGCCGATCTCATCGTGTAGGCCGACGAAGGCGTTAAGGCATTTGCTACCTTGATATGGCCCCATCCCAAGCATTTGGCGACGTCCGCGGTGACGCAGGAAAGTCATGTCGTTGCACACCCAACGCGCAAATGAGCGCTGGTCACTGCCAGCCAATGGTGCATCGTACGGCATGCGCTAAACCTGCATACTGGGTCCGGATGTCAGTGCAAAGCAGTGTCTAGTATGCATTTAGATGCGGCCAAGATGATTGCCTTATCCTCTGCCACCCTGTGCTGCATATGGAGGATGCAGTAGCTCATGAGAAGGCAACTGTCTTTCCGAACTACAGCTTTGATCGTGCCACAGAGCAGGCAGCGCGTGCCAGCTTCATTCCAGGGCTTAGTTACGGAAAGTTTATATATGGGGCTATCCCAGTTCAGCTGAAAGCAGTCAGCTACCTCTTCCGCATTTCCCAGAGAACACCACAAGTGTTCAAACATTAGCGATGGACTCAGACGATCTGGTAATAATCGATAGCGAACCACCAATGAGTATCGTTGCTTCTCCTTCTGCCAATTCGCGGCTCGAAATGGCGAAGAAGGATGCCGAATCGGATACGGAATCTGAACCTGAATTCGAATCGCATCCCATCATCCACACTAACACCATGATGCGGAACGGCAAATATCGATATCACAACTATCTTCGGGATACCAATGACAATTGTGCTTTTTGTCACGACTTCCTCTTACAGGCGTACCGTGAACGGCGATTCGGCTCGTTTCCTCCTCCTCCACCCTTGATCGCGCCTGTAAGTCTCTTTATCCCTCTGCATGTCAATTTGCTAACTCGTCACATAGCCTCCGCCTCCTCCGCCGCCGCCGCCAATGCCTCATGATCCTTTCGTAAGTCCAGTATCACACAATGAGCCGAGGTTGAGACTCACTCCACGGTAGCAGCTACCCATTCGGCCGCCACCACCTCCTGTTTCAGTACCGCCACCACCTCCACCATCACCACCACTACCACCTCCCCCTCCTCCAGTAAGCGTTGAGGTATCTGGTTGCTTCGAGAGATTCACTGACTGTGTCAAGCCACCTCCACCACCACCACCACCACCTCCTCCTCCTCCAGTCGTATATTGTCCACCTCCACCTCCACCTCCACCCCCACCTCCACCCCCTGGGTGCAACAGTCTCACGTATAATCCCAGTATCGAAGTCCAGTCATCTGAGACGCTGATTCCAGCGAGCTACTCCGGTGAAAGTGTTCAGAATCCAAGCAGATTGGTCCGAATCCTGCCATTTCGCCGCAACGTGTTTGTAACTTCGCACCGCGCGCAAGCTACCGACTTCAACGAGTTCAAATGGTTGTTCCAGTACGGAACCACGGAGACTTGGTACGAGAAGCCCAGCAACGCTCTCCTCGGGCGCATGAAATGTGCACAATTGTCCGATCGTGAACCCGACGAGCTTCCCTCAAGCAATCCGAAGCCAACCGAGATTCAGACGCCAAAGGTCTGGGCATCCGCTGCACTGACCACGCCTACGGATGACGACACCTACGAATGTACTGCCGGCCATGTTTCCGATGTAGTCGGAACGTCCTACATCAGGACATGCCAGCAGTGTACCGACGCGAGGTCGGAAGCTCTAGAAGCCACAGATCTATCCCACTGTCTCGTCTTCAACAGCTCGCAAGCTCAAGACATGTTCGTTCCCGGTACCGGCGGTCGACAGATCTATAAGCTGGTCAAGTGCGGTAGCAGGGAAGCAGCTGTTGCTGAGGTTTTTCATGCTACTGGGCTGAACGGCTGGAATCTGGTTTTCAGCTGCGTCTTGAGAGCTGCCGAGGACATTGAAGGCAGAAGTGGGAAGTTCAAGAAAGTGGAGGACTTGTGGATGCTTGCTAATGACGATGATGATGATGGAGAGTCTGTCAGAGTCTTCTACTAAGCTCGTCTGGTCTTCAGCGAGTGCCTTGTCTTCATTTCGGCGCGTTCTGTTCGCGTTGCTATTTAGGCTTTTCATTTTTGATTGACGTTGCTCCAAGCTCCCATTTCTTCCACCCAGCGGCTTGTACCGAGGACATCTGCTTCTGCATGAACATACCGAATGTGGTCATACCAATTCCATACGACGCATGCTGTAAGCTGCATGCGCATCTACATTCGTGTACGCAGCAGTGCGTTGAACGCCCCCGGCAGCGCGCGACGCGACTGGTATGCCATGCAATGTACCAGTCCTGTCATATTGGCGCTACGACCCTGGCTGTACCCGGCGCTTGTAGCCTCACTTCTACGATCTACTGGAACGTTTGGGGGCCACTATGTAAGTTGACTATCCAATTACCAGGGGCCACGACATGTTGCTTTTGAACCTAGCGTCGATCTCCTATCTTATTTTCTCGTAACCTTCAAAACCAAGACCTCGACATTGCCTCTTATCATTACTGTTTCATGGAGTTGCGGCGTTTTGACACACGTTGGGCACAGCATAGAAATTGCATAGCGCTGTTGGTAATTCAAAAAGTTGACTTGTAATGAAGTCATTACATACAGTACCATCACTGCCAAAATCCAGCAGAGTATGACAGGCTGCGCTCCTCCTACCGTTCATCCAAGACTTGCATAAGAAATGAGTTCTTGATGCTGCACACCTCCCCAGCATTACATCCAATCAAGACTCGCGCTGCTGCATCATCCCCGTCTCCTCGCATCTGAGCGATGATAGTGGCAGCTGTCTCGCACGATATCTCATCATTGCCAATGGCCGGTCTGCATATTGGCGGCGGGGCTGTTGTTGTGGGTGGACAAAAGCAGTCAGCCGTGCTGGGACATTCGGGATCTTCCATGGTGACCTCTGGTTGTGGTTTATAGATAGGGCAACAGCCTTGGCTCTGTGTGATGGCTGGCGCGCGTTCCGGGTACGTGAAAGCTGGCAGGACTTCTTGTGGTCTTGGTGGGGGTGATGAAGAGTCGGTCTCGCTTGGGCTTGCATAGCAGCTTTCGGCCTTTCTGCAGGCTTCGATGGACTTTGACATGATAGTGGCTTCGATTTGGACCTCTGTCGAGGTTCTTGTCGTCGGCCCGCATTGTGTCGCTGGGTCGCATTTCGTCGTCGAACAATTCGCCTGGATTGGTTGTCTCGATACTTGCACCGGTTGTCTTGATATTTGGATGGGTGAAGGACGAGGATTGTGTTCCCTAGGATATGTCTGGCTTAATGGTTGTATGTGTAACGAGCGTGGCCCGGTGTTGGTCGTATATGGTAACGAAGCACTCGGACTTTTCACAATTGATATTGGCGTTTCCGGTTCAACTGAGCCGTCTGTTTGCTCGCACGACCGGAGGAAAAACTCAACCTCTTCTTTCAAGATCCCGTGACGTGCCAGCAAAGTTCGTAGTCTTTCATTTTCCTGGGCAACCTTGCGTGCCGCCCGTTGCATGTCCTGTGTTGCAGCGACGCCTTTCAATTCATACTCTTGCACGCGAGTTTGAAGATCTTTGATCAGGTCTTTCCGCCGTGCACGTGAACGCCTCTGGTTGTCCCTGATCCTGATTGCGTCATCGACCTGGCACTCACGTTAGCGATACAATTGGCCCCGCAATCAAGGTACTCGTGTATACCAACACTTTTCGACATCTTGAGTGAGTATTTTGCAAGTAGTCAAGCTTTGGCATAGGATGGTACTTTGCAGAATGCAACCCTTGAAGACGCGGATCGCTCATACCAGTTCGGCGTCCGTGCATTCACGCTAAAGATTGTGGCAAGAGCCATCTTCAAGTGCTTCCTCCTCCATCGTTCTCGACCTTCTTGTAAACTTGTTTGTTCAGACCTTCTTGTAAGCTTGTTTATCCAGTAATCAGCCCCGAGCGCCAGGTCTAATGCATCGCTTTCTATACCACCAAAAACAAAATAAAGTCTGGTGCATCCAGCTTTTCAAATAGATTACATCTTCTTGAGGTCTGGCAGTGCTTCAGCTTCCTTCGCCTTTGCCAGTCTCTCTTTTTCTGCTTTGCTCCGCTTCTCATCTCTTTCACTATACCGATCGCCGAACAGGTCAAAATGCGGTCGCATAACCAGCGTGTACTTGACGAACTCTTCCATACAGTCCACGAGTCGATCCCTGTTACCACTCGGCATCAGTCGGCTTCCTCCCTCGGCATCTTCTGGTTCGGTGAATTGCTTGTACGCTATTGGGATGGAGCTTTGGTTCGGTATCGCGAACATGCGCATCCATCGTCCGAGGATTCGCAGGGTGTTTACAGTGTTGAATGATTGGGAGCCTCCGGACACCTGCGCAATCGCCAATGTTCGTCCTTGTGTAGGCCGGACAGAGCCTGTTGACAACGGTATCCAGTCAATTTGGTTCTTGAAGACAGCAGTAACGTTCCCATGCTGTTCGGGACTGATCCAGATGTGGCCATCACTCCACTTACTGAGCTCGCGCAGCTCTTGTACCTTTGGATGCAAGTGTTGTTCGTCATCCTTTACCGGAAGTCCTTTTGGATCGTACATGCGGACGTCGCAACCGAGGCGGAACAGTATCCTACTGGCTTCATACGACAAGAGGCGCGAGTATGATCTGTTCATTGTCAGCCAAAGCCTCTGCTCGACTTTGATTTGGGTGAACTCTTACCGATCACGCATGCTGCCATGCAGAACAAGAACTCTGAGTCTCTCTTGGCCCTTGTCGAGGATCTGGTTCTCAACCATCTTCAATACTGTGCTCAGCTCCAGCTGAGAAACCCAGTCGCTCTTCGAGATCTCTTCATCGAGGAGAAATGGTCTGTACTTCTTCCGAATTTCGGCGTCATCTTGAGACTGAGGTATTACGAAGGACCGGTTGCGATAAGCTGGATCTACTCCGAGCTCTCTCCTGGTGCGTTCTGCCGCTGTATTGTTTAGATCGCCACTGATCATACTCGGTGAAGTTGTATAGAAGCGACGAAGCGTAGCGGTCTTGCTTACGCTCTTGGGACGGATCGTGATTCGAGAAAGATTCATTAACTGGTTGCGTGCAGCCACAGACTTTCCAGGACCGCAGGTTGTTCTGGAATTTTTCTCGAAGGTATGATGATGCACGACAAAATCACCACAGGGTCCATGCTATTGCATCTAAAGTTAGGCTACATGGCGTTCGATAGGTCACTCGAATCATCTCATTCGCTCAGAATATCAGCCTCGGCATGGCTCCACCACTAACAGCTACTAATTCAAGTTACACTAGGTTATGCATCCTTCCTCTTATCGTGAGCTATCTGTCTTGGTTGTGTTTGTAACACAATCGCAACCACAGATTTTAGGCGTACAAATCATCTGTTTACCTTCCGGAATAACTCAAGAAAGTACCACGACACCCACGACGGCATTTATGCAAAAGCCATCATCACGCATGCAATCCCCCAGAGCAATGACGTTACACCCATGTTTTGTAATGCAGAATGCTTGGTCCTCTTTCCCACGGGGTTCTTCGGCACGACACCCAACGCTGTCTACGGATTTTCGAACTTGAAGACCATGTGCACGCCTGTTGGAGAGCTCAGAAAGTGCGAGTGCGAGTGCGAGTGCGAGTGCGAGTGCGACCGAAATAGGCTAAATGCGATCCTACAATCCCCAAATTATGCAGACGGAAGATCTGCGCATGCAAACAACGCCGCGCGGGGTCGTACAGGTACGGGGGATACTTATAAATTACGGAGTATCTAGGAACGATCAAAGACTGAAGCATAGGTGGCTTGAGTATTTATAGATAAGAAGATGGCGACTGAAGACGATCAGTAAGTAGTTGTTGAGCCCGGCCTCAACCGCCGTATCATCATGTTGGTTCTTTGTAACATAATCTGGGCATGTATCACGCTGATTCCTTTGGTATCTTGCAGTAACAGGGACAAAACATACACCAATCCCATTCTTCCGGGATGGAACTCAGATCCAAGCTGTACATTCGTCAAGGAGTGGGACGATACTTTCTTCTGCACTACATCCTCCTTCTTAGCATTTCCTGGGGTACCTATCTACGCCAGTAAAGATCTGTAAGCCACGCCCTAGAGGCTGTCATAGAGCTGTACTGATGTTGTTTTAGTACTAACTGGAGGCTAGCCAGTCATGCCCTCACTCGTCCAAGCCAACTGCCTGAACTTTGTAATCCAGGTCAACAGATGGAAGGCATGTGGGCATCTACGATTCGCTACCGCGACGGGACGTTCTATCTCATTACATCCTACATCCAATGGAATGACTGGGCTCCAAAGATCTTACTCTTCACAACAAAGCATCCCTTCGAAGACAATTGGAGCGATCCTGTTGTGATTGAGAATCCTGCCAACGATATCGATCCAGACATCTTCTGGGATGACGATGGAAAGATCTACATGGCTGTTGCTGCGGGCATTTGGATTAGCGAGATCAACATTGAGACGGGTGCAGCTACAGAGCCCTTCAAAGTCTGGAATGGTACAGGAGATCGCAATCCGGAGGGCCCTCACTTTTACAAGAAAGATGGCTACTACTACCTCTTGATCGGAGAGGGCGGCACTGAGCTGAACCACACTGCGACGCTTGCACGATCGAAGGATATTCGAGGGCCGTACGAAGGGTACCCTGGAAATCCGTTCTTGACGAACAAGAACACAGATGAGTACTTCCAGACAGTTGGTCACGCAGACCTCTTCCAAGACGCTTCGGGCAACTGGTGGGCCGTTGCACTTGCCACTCGATCTGGACCTGCCTGGGAGGTATATCCAATGGGTCGAGAAACCGTGCTGGTGCCGATGAAGTGGGAGAAGGGCGAATGGCCGGTCATCGATCAGGTTCGCGGCAAGCAGTCCGGACCTCTGCCACCAACGAACAAGCGTGTCAAGGGCAATGGTCCGTTTGCTGACGAGGGCGATGAGCTGAATTTTGCCCCCGGATCATCGTTCCCCAAACAGTTGCTATTCTGGAGGCCACCAAGAACATCTCTGTTCGCCATCTCGCCACCAGGGCATCCCAATACCCTACGCATCTCGCCCTCAAGAGTCAATTTGACTGCTGACACTGTCTACAACCCGGCTGGAGACGGTATCGCATTCATCGCTCGCAAACAAACCGCCACTACATTCGACTACAGTGTGGAACTGTCGTTTCAACCCACGCAAGCAGATGAGGAGGCAGGAGTCACCGTTTTCCTGACCCAAATGCAACACATCGATCTCAGCGTCATAAATCTCGCCACCAACGGCAGCCTTGCACCTCACCTTCGGTGGCGTGTGGAAGCAGTCGGCAACCCCAACTATACCGCACCAGAAGCCAATACGGTGCCCTTGCCAAAGTCATGGCGCGCTCAGCCTGTTCGTCTGAGTATCGAAGCCACGGAAGACTCACAGTATAGCTTCTCGGCAGCGCCCGTGTCGAGGCCCAAGGAAGCGATCAGTATGGGAACTGCGAGTGCTGAGATTGTGTCAGGCGGTAGCGGCCCTTTCACTGGTAGGTTTACTCTGCTGCGATTTTCGAGTCGTTGCTGACACTGGTCCTTGTAGGCACAATTGTTGGCGCTTTTGCTACTAGCAATAACGGAACTGGTACTACTCCGGCGTACTTCAGTAGATGGCGATATACTCCGAAGAAGCAGGCGGTAACGGCTGGCGTGTTTATTCCAGCTTGAAAGTCTAGGTCTTCAGACAAGAAGAGGTTTGTTTTGAAAAAGCACCAATTGGAAAGAGACACAACTTTAACAAAGCTGCAATACTACAACATAAGACTGGGGCTTGCCAGAGTACTCTGTATTGGATACCTGTTTGCTTTTAGTCAATTATTAACAGGGCGACTAGAGTTAAAATGCTATGGGTTGTTGCCCTACGCTAGTCTACGCAAGGATTGCGCTGGGTGTTAATACGTCTTCGAAAACGAACCTCTTCGTAGTCTGTGGATCTGCGTCCGAAAGTACCTTCCCAAAAAAAATTTCCGACAGCTGCTAAAGCTAAGTACGACCGAATCGTGATTCCCGTTGTCCGATTGTTGTCCGATTGTTGTTGCATCGAAGGATGCTGAGCTATACCGAAACGCACAAGGCTAATGGAGACCAATGCTACCTCAACCTCGCCAAAACAATCTTTCGCACGTGAAGATCATTCAGATCAAGTTTTTCTACTCCGAAGCCGCTTGCACTTGCCAACCCCGCGTTCTCTGCTCGATGTTTTCCCCGCACTCCATCTCCACAATTTTACCGTTGTATACCCATTCGAAAAATGCCTTAAGCTGGCCAGGGTAATTATTGGCCAGGGGTACTTCTCGGCCACCCAGCAGCACGTCAACACCACATTTGAAGCCGAGTTTTGCCAATAATCAAACTTATATTTGCCGCACAGTACACATGGATTGAAGCGTAGCATTAGCTGCTGCTGCTGCCTTTGCTGCGTCTGTTGTATATGATTTGCTAGCATTTTTAGTGGCCTGAGCAGCAGCAGCCTCCATAGCAGCTTTAATAGCCTCAACGTCACTGAACCACTGATTTTGATAAATTTTGACTTGCTCTCTTGGCCAAGTATTCTGAAGCTGACTGAGTTGACTCCACCCTTTACACAAACAGCTCTAAGGAGGTGCGTATAACATCAGGACTAGCTGCCTGTGCTCGTGGAGTTTTGATAGTTTGGCCAACATCAGAGGCAATGCATGGTTGTTGTGATAGAAACTGAGATATCCACTCATTGCCAAGAGGCACAGAGTTGTGATTCATGTGTAGGAAGCAGGTGGCCATTTCTTGTATGCAGGTGTGTGTAGGAGGTTGAGCACATGAGTCATCTTCAAGGATCCATTGAACTAAGAAGTCCTCCTGCTCCAGAGTCAATTGTTGTTGGTGTTGATGAGCTATTGTATGGGATTGGCAACTAGCAAGGCGCTCTTGGATTATGGATTTGACAACACCATAGGCCTTGGCAGCCTTCTGCTGGCTTGTAAAGACACTAGAATTGAGATTGCAGATAGCGTTATTAAATGCAACTTCACAAGCATACATTTTGAGCAGGTGGTGTTAATAGTATAGAGCTTCAAAAGTGGTGTTGACGCGTTGGTTGGGTGGCCAAGAAGTACCCCCTGCTGATAAATTACCCCGGCCAGTTTACCAGCACCTAATTGACTCAACAGCATCGTGGTGAGATGACCCGAATGACGACGTATCTACCGCTTTCCGGAAGCTTGCTCCCTATAAGATGGACAGCTACCAAGCTCTGCAAGCTGTCATCGTTCGCGCCATGAAGCTGGTCTCTTTCATTGCGGCTGGCAGTGTCGCTGCTGCTCAGCAGGTCTACATTTCAGCAAATGGGCCATCGTCACGACCTCAATGCGCTGCAAATGGGAGCTATGCCACAGCTACCCCGGTGTATTTGTTCCGTGACTTCAGTTTCACTCAAACCGAAACGATTCGAACAGCAACTTCTCGGCCAGCGCCGACAACGACTACATCGTTTGCACCTCCGTATGCTTCGCTGAGTAGCCTTGTGCCAAGTCTGATAACAACGCAATGGGGCAATTGGGATCCCTCATCAAATGCGAGTGCCACAGATGCTGGAGTACCGTACGGCAATGCTTCTTGGACAGGCCTGTGGACAACTGTGTCTTGGACGAACTTCACGCGTGGTATCTACTCGACTACGGTGGAGCCTACAGCTGTTCCTACTAGCGAGCTGGTGCTTCCTCCGCCTGAGTACCTTGCGCCTCGAGAATGCTACGCCTTCCCAGAGGACTTCATGCTTGGAGTTGTACGTCTTCAAAATTCTACTTTTTGGTCGCCACCAAAATCTGACTCATTTGCAGGCAGCAAGTGCGGTGCAAATCGAAGGCGCAATTGCAGATGAAGGCCGAACCCCAGTCCATATAGACGCATTGCCTCTTCTTAGCCCAGGAGCATCGCCGGACTACATCACCAACGAGAACTACTATCTGTACAAGCAAGACATCGAACGTATCGCTTCGATGGGCATCAAGTATTACCGTTTCTCAATCCCATGGTCGCGTATCCTGCCTTTTGTACTCCCAGGGACACCCGTAAACAAACAGGGTCTGGATCACTACGACGACATCATCAACTTTGTCCTAGAGAAAGGCATGCTGCCAGCGATTGTGCTGCACCACACCGATACCCCACTTCAGTTCTATTCCAACATTTCAGAAATCGGCCTCGCGCCTGGAACTGGCGGTATTGGATATATCGATTCAGGATATCAGTACTCGTACAAGAACGTGTCGTACGAGGACGCCTTCGTCAACTATGGCAAGATTGTCATGACGCACTTCGCTGATCGCGTACCCATCTTCTGGACATTCAACGAGCCACTGCTTGGCTCAAAGAACGGTAAATCGATCAACGCGGTGATCAAGGCCCATGCACGCCTTTACCACTTCTACCACGAAGAAATCAAGGGCACGGGAAAGATCTCAATCACCTTAAACGACAACTTTGGAGTCCCACGCGACCCCGAAAATCCAGCTGATGTCGACGCCGCGAACCACTTCAACTCTTTCCAACTCGCCACTTTTGCAAACCCAATCTTCCTCGGTATCGATTATCCCGACTCATACAAGATGACGGTTGCTGACTACGTGCCCTTGAATGCCACCGACCTAGTCTATCTCAACGGCACGGCAGACTTCTTCTCCATTCAGCCCTACACTGCGACAGTCGTCAGTCCACCACCCAATGGCTCGATTGTAGAATGCGCAGCTAACATCACACACCCGCTGCGGCCCTACTGCGTCACACAAACCACAACAGTGCATGATACACAGTGGAATATCGGCTACCCCAGCCAGACGTATGTGTATACCACGCCCACCTATTTCCGCACGTACCTCAACTACCTCTGGAATACCTTCAAGGCGCCTATAGTCGTTACTGAATTTGGGACTCCTGTATTTGGCGAGGCAGAGAAGGAGCTAAAGGATCAACTGTTCGATAGCCCAAGAAGCCAGTACTACCAGTACTACTTAAACGAGGGGCTGAAGGCGATTTGGGAAGATGGTGTGCAGTGGATTGGAGCGTTCGCTTGGAGTTTTGCGGATAACTGGGAGTTTGGTGACTTCGATGCACACTTTGGTATTCAGACGGTGAATCGCACGACGCAGGAACGGAGGTACAAGAAGAGTTTCTTTGACTTTGTGGATTTCATTGAGAGTCGAAGGCAAAAGGAGTAGGTAGAAGAAGCATGTCTGGTGGCATGACATAGTTGTTGGTTGCAGTTGCAGTTGTAGTCATGCGCAGTTTCCTCTTTCCAAAAACTCGTCATCACGACCTCGTCATCACACCTCCACCCGTCGCACTGACACAGCTTCCTGTCATCCATGCGCTCCATGCTTACAATATCTGCTGCTTCATCGACGTACGCTGGTCTTCCATCGAGATCTTTCGCCGCTTCAACCACCTCTTCTGAATCGATGCCTTGTCGTACTGCATATAGTGGCGCATTACTTAACAACGGTAACACGACATGCGCCATCTCTTTTGGTATTTAATCATACAATCCAGTACCAGCCGTGCACCCTACTGATACTGAGTTCACCGTAGCTCTCTCGGCAAGCTCACGAGCCCACACTCGTGTCATGGCTTCAAGCGCGCCCTTGCTGCCAGCATATGCTGTAGAGTACACCAAACCAACCGAAGCACCTATACAGGAGATGTCCACAATCCTTCCAGAGCGATCAGTCGACAGGTATGGTATCGCAGCTGACACCAACTACGCAGGCCCTCGGGCATTGATGTTGAGTGCACCGTCATACGCTTCCGCATTCAAGCCTTCCAGAGCTTTGGGGTTGGTAACACCGGCATTGTTGATGATATCGATCTGAAACTTCCCTTCAGGGTTCGGAAACCTCGACTTTGCGATCTCGACAAGTTTCTTTAGACCGTCGATCGTGGCAAGATCGGCCTGCGCAGAAGCCGCCTTCACACCATACTTCGATCGCAGCTCCTCGACTACCTCCTGGGCCTTCTCTGTTGAGTTATCTGAGGTGTAGTTCACGATGATGTTTGCACCTTTTGCGGCCAGATGGCGAGCAAGTACTGCACCGAGGCCTGCATAGATCAACAACCTCTCCTTCTGAAGTCTACAAGATACAATTTACTACGCGATGAACCCGTCACGATAGCCAGTTTTCCCTTGAATAGTCGGTGACTTGACATGGGTTTGGAAACTGTGAAGGTGAAGAAGAGGCTTGATTCGATGGATAACCGCAGACAAGAGTTTCAGATCTCGAGCGGGCTCCACGGAGCAGATAACAGGAAGCAAGAGTTGTTGTGGTTCCTGCGCTACGGGTGAGACGCGGCTCTTCCATGCTCAGCGAGACTGAATTTAGTGAATGAAGTGAAGGTTTCGACGCGGCGGCATCATGCCTCCTACACTCCGACTTCTCCCACTGACTGAACGGACCAAAGTTGAAGCATTGCTTTGATAGACTGTTGGCTGTTGACAGGGAATGGTTACTGACAACGCGTTCATTCGCTACCATCACGCGATTGCGACCCTCACTATGCTCGAAAGTGGCACGACCCTTGAAGAAGGTCGTTAGCAGTCTGATGGAGATCTCGCTCAATTGGGTCCCAATGTCGCAGCGTTCCGATGCTTGGAAGAGAGACATGCGCATACATGGATCCCTCTTTTGTCGTCTCATTCTTCTTCTCCTGATATCTGACTTTCGAGCTTCGATGCGCAACAAACACTGTTCCTGCGAAGATGGCTGGCGCCACCTCCACCTCACTTGCCAAGGTGGCACTGCCTTTGCTTCCATTCGATGTTCTTACAACGGTCTTACGGTTCCGTATTCGGCTTGCCAGGAGGGCGTAGAGTTCTGACGATTGGGCAATGCTCATCTCCATTGTGACCTCTGAAGATGTCGATAGTAAGGCGACTTATGTGCTAACAGAACGATCAGCCTTTCTTCCTAGCGACTACAGGATCTATAGTTACGCTAGCATGTAGAGATCTCGGGCTTGGAGATCACGAACTTAAGGGAGAACAGATGAAGAGAGGTCTCTTTGTAAGTCCCAACGCTATTCAGATGCTAATTTCTGTTTAGCACTGTATGTAGTATCGGTGCCTTGCAAAATTTACGAACTACCCTGGATTTTGGCTCAATATCATCAAGCATATGTCACAGGTGGGCGAGAGCTTCCGAGTGGCTAGCTAAGGCTGATTGATAGGATGGGTGACAGTTTGGGTGACAGGACACAGGGCAGAACGTGGGATACTTTAGGGCACCAAGACAATTAACCACTCACGTCTGTGCCCTGCATGCTATACTGTGGTATATGCAGTCACTGTGCCAAAATTCAGGAAGGTCCGTACATTTCGCAAACGATTGTAATACTTCGTTTCGATCATATGGATCTTCTGGATGATGATCTTGAAATGGTCCATCGGGTTCACCATTTTGAGGATTGCCGTGGAGGAGAGGCGATGGGTCATCTGGCCTATATACACCGCGCTAGTCCTTACGACAGTTGCTTCAGCCTCGACTGGCATGTTCCGGCTTGTCCAAGGTAAACCAATGCAAGCCATCTGAGATGCCGATGCCCTCGCTGATGGCGGCGAATGCATCAATCGCAAGTACCTTGTAGCTGTGTCGACCACACTGGCTGCTGTCAGTATCGCAACTGACTGGTACATGGCTCTGATGTAAGATTCGAACCTCACTAACGAGCGTCGAAAAGCTGATACGTTACAATCCAATCCCGCTACTATGTAATATACAGATGGAGTCGTGCATCAAGCTATCGGTCATCGGTCTTCTGGCTCTCGGTACCTTGCAAGATCACCCTCCATCGCGCACAATGTCCTCCATTCACAATTTTCACAGTGCATCCATCGCAGGTATCGTTCGTTTCGCCATGATTGTGAGGTCAACGCCAGATATTGTGACCGGCGTAGACCATCTCTACATCCTCGATCCGATCATGACCTGGGCTCGTGCAGAACCAGCAATCGGGATGATCGCCGCGAATCTACTTGCGCTTCGTCCATTACGCGAGAAAGCACTCAACTCCATCTCTACCTCACATCTCGTAACAAATCCAATCATTCGAGCAGGCTGTCAAGCTCCAGGCCGAGCAACCATCTGGAGCTCGGTGCACTGAGGAACGACGTTGACAAAGACAAAGGCATCGAGACCAGGATATGGAAGGCTATGCTGGAGATGGTGCATGATTAAGTCTCGGCGACAACGAGAGCCAGAAAATAATCCTTCGTCCGCAGCGGCGCATAAAGGTGGAGAGAAGCTATGGCGTAAGGTCAGATACCGGATAGAAATGTAAGACACAGGAAGCAAGCAGTACCAAAAGAGAGGAAGTATCTGCAGGTGATTGACAACTTTTGTTTTGGATCTAATGCGAACGCAGGCACATAGGCACAGCCGCCACTATGATAATACAACAGCGCTCAACAGCACCATGCTGGAGGTTCTTGGTGCCGAGAAGAGAAAGTGTGAAAAGAACCCGAAACGCCATAACCCATCGCTATGCACGCAGGAAAGAGAGAAAGGCTGACGGGCCACACTCCTGCCCTTGTACAATCTACCACGCTCCTCTCCTATTCGATGCTCATGCTTCCTGGTGTTGCTGCTGCACCTGGTGAGCCGCCTTCTCATCAACATTACTCTCAGCCCTTGGGACTGCGAAACTCTTCCTGACGACCATGTCCGCCTTGGTCTTTGTCAGCAATGCATCACGGAGGTCCTGCTTGCTGCGCTGAGCCCAGCCGTTGAAGCTCTTGTAGCTCAAAGGCCAGATGGGCATGTTACCCTCGCGGCGCATGAACTCGAAAGTGACAGGCGCAGGCTGTGCGGTGATGCAGTCGATGTCCATCTCCAACTCCTCGCAGAAAGCCTCGAGCGGCAGATCGTTGACGTCGTGGCCGAAAGGGTTCTCGATTTCGCGACCGATGGCAGAGAGACCGAGGATGATGTAGGCAGCGAAGATCGTACCGGGGATGGTGATCCACTCGAGCGACGCGTACAGCTGGAACGGCAGGACCATGACGTAGACCCACGTGATCTGGGAGATAGCGATGGAGTAGGCAATGGGGAGAGGGGTGTTGAGCACACGATCGAGACCAACGAGACACTCGTTGAGGGCGACGACACCAGTGACTATTCCGCATTAGTGATCTGAGAAAGTGGGAAAGGACGTCATGTGTACTTACTGGCTTGGTTCTGGTAAAGACCGATCTTGAGGGTCTCGTTGTTGATAATGCTGTGGACATACGCAGAGAAGTGGTTTAGGATCTCGAGAGGCAGGTTGCCGAGGGGCTTCTTGGAGCGCTTGATCCTCTTACGGGGGTTCGACTCAGCGAATGTGACGCCCAGGAATTCGCCAGTAGACTTCAGCTTGCTGTACTCGCGGGCCTTGGGGATGTCGACTTCGGCAGCCTTGGCGAATGTGTCGAGGTACTCGATGCGCTCCTTGAGGTCAGGGTAGTCAATACCGGGCTCGAATCGGAGTCTGTGCTTGACGGCACACGCAAATGCGTTGAGAAGGTTCAGAGCAGTACTGTACGTTGAGTGTCAGCGAGTGCAGTTACAATGTATTGTTGAGACGTACAGCTTCGCCAGAAGATCCTCCTTGCCTAATTCGCCCTCACGCTCATCGGTATGAATCCAGATCGTGCGTGCCAAGTTTTGGCTCACGAGTTGCAGCTGACTCCAGTACTTCCTGCCTTCTGTGTATCGCTCATAGGCAGAGCTAGTACGGAACGAGATTGCAAGACCGACGACGAAACCGAGAACGGTCAACAGCAAGTTGCTGACGTTCAAAGGATAAAGCTTCTTCGAAATTACGGTGATCGCAGTTGACCAGATGGTAACGACGATCAAGGGAATGATCATCTTTGGCAGTACGGAACCGTGCATACGCAGGAAGAACGGCCATTTCGAGTGCTTAGCCATGTCGCGAGGGCCAATCTGACATCGTTAGCAACTTGCAGATACTGGCTGGTGGCTTCAGACATACGAAGTAGTCTTCGGCATCAAGACTGCCTGTTGTCTGTACGCGCGAAGGAGGCTGGTATGTGACTGTTCGGTGTCGCCATGAGCGCGGCGAGATGGGGCCCTCCTCTGCTGCAATGGTGCTGCTTGTAGTAGGAATCTCGATATTGGTAGGCCTGAGGGTTTCGGCACCTGTCGACACAGATGATGCCGCCATCTTGAGTGTTGGTGTGATCAAAAGCAGTGATTACTGTCCAGCAGTAGTAGCGAGTGTGTTAGAGGTTGCAATATGCTTGTGTACGGTGACGTAGGAGAGAGAATTGTTTGTTGCAGGCGGAGGTGAGAGTGAAATTGACAAGGAAATAAAGAAGATGAAAGGCACACGACTGAGGGAAATCGAGGACCACGCGCTCAAAGTGGAGATACTCGCGGGCCCCGTCACTCCTTATTTATAACTTACCTTGCACAAAATTCCTCGTCTCGTAAAATGCCCCGACACCCACTCCACGGGGGCTCCCGCTTCGGTGTTAGGCTCGCGCAGCCACCAGCCAAACGGTGACTTTGCATGCGGCCCCTGCATACGAGCCGACTTGCCCCTGAGCAAGGCGTTGCGTAACTGGCGTCTGGCCAATTGCCTGTGGATCCCTCAGCCAGCGATGTAGCGAGTACATGACGCGGACGCTATGTTTCATGAAACACTCCTTTGGCATTTTTGCGGGCTTTGCCTGTCAGCGTACAAAACACGACGCCCATCTCACCACCGACATGGTCGCGCAATTCCCACAACTGAGCTACTGGCGAACTCTTAGACTTCGGTGATCGGTCTCGTATGAATCGTAACAGTACCCACATTGTGCACAAGAACGCAGACGGCGACGCGTGGTCTCTGCATTGCTGAAAGCCAAGAGGTGACTCCGCTTCGAGTGTCAAGTCGATCAGGACGCCAACAGTCTCGTGCAGGGCCGAGCCGGTGCCGCGCATTTCGGGTTACCCTTGGCATTATTGCAGCGAATAGGAACGATTGCAGCGAAATTCAACAATTCCATCTTCGGCAGCCACTTCGACGACATTTCCATACGGATCGGGGGTCGTCGGAGTGGAACGCCAGAAAGAGTGCTTGCCACAAGGCGGCCTGAAGAGAGTTGCAAGTGGCCGTTTGAGGAACACGAAAATCGGCGACTGTACCGTAGTGCATGCAGTCTGACATTGCTCTGACATTATTTTTTGCATCTCGAAGATTTTGACTGTTGAGATGCAGCTTGGTTGGCTGCCGTATCGATCGAAATAGATTGAATGTTGTCAAAGATCAGCGGTGGGGCAGAGGCGAGACATGGACCGAAGGAATGGCGTGCGCTGTGCGCTGTTGAGTGAGTCTGGGACGGATGATCAAGAGCTAAGGAAAGACAAGAATGAGATAGTTGTACAAATGTCGAGGTTGCTGTTATTGTCAACAATGGTCTGCACAAGCGAGTTCCTGGTTTGGTGGGTCTTCTGATGTCATTTCTGTTGTTGCTGTTGGTGCAATGGAGGAGCGGTTGAGGCGTGAAGGTAAGTAAGAGCGAGCACGACCCATCCCAAGCACACGAAACCACAAGTTACCCCAGATCGATAGACGACAGGGGGTTTCCATACAATTCTGGATCAACTGCTTCTAGAAGTGTGGGGTGCAGCGGTAGTACTGGACGAAGCTGCCGTTGGAACCGTCCTACCCGAACACTATTCGAACTTCAGTCATACCACTACAACACCAAAATGTCTATGTCACCAAAGTAAGAACGACTTCCAAGATGCAATGGTCTACCATACGCCCCTCATAGCGATCCTTCTGTGCTCGGCTTGCCCTCTCTCCAACTCTATTCCTAGCTCTCGGACCCTCCAGATCTCTCCGCCCACACAGATCTTCACTATTTTGATCCGCTCTAGTAGTATATGGTAATGCGCGCCCTTGAAGTCCTCACCAGTCCAGATGATATTCCACACATCCAGAAGCTCTTTGGCTACAGTTCGCGGATGTACGACTCCGTAGGTTGCGACATCGAGTGGATAGTCCTCAGGCAGCCACAGATTGTTCGAGGTCTTTGGGGAAACGACGTTGAGGACTAGCTCACCAATGGTGATGTTGTTCCAGGAGGGACCAGGAGCAGAGGTGGCATCGATGGGACGCATGAGCGTATCGCCATCGACCAGCCTCTTTAGTGCAGCGCAGACAGCCCACGAGGTGCGCTCAGGTGGGCACTGATTTGATGACCACTTCGCAGTGCGGTTGCCATGGATGCGGATGTCGACCCAGAGGTTTTCGAGTATGGTGGTTGAGGTCGAAGAGCTAGGTGTTGGACTTCTCTTGCTGAAGTTGAGCATTCTCTGTGGTGTGAAGAGTATGCGATCTGCCCAAGCTGATAGCATGCTGACCTTTGCTTCATGTTCACTCTTCCTGTTCGTTACGATTGGCAATGAGAGCCACGAGAATGCATGCCTGCTCTCATCCACCGCGATGCAATCAAGCTTGGCTACTAGCAGTCCTCTTCTTTTTGCTCTCTCGATTGCTTGTGTAAGTTCGTGGTTGACTTGGCGATTACATGAAAGCAAATTGGCACATGTCCCTGGAATCGTGTCTGTTGAGTATGAGCAGCCATATTCGCCCGAGTGTATGCTTTCAGGATCGGAGATATGGCACCATCTGTGATCTTCTATGTCTTCGCGACGAGGTTGTGGAAGCGACCAGGTGACGACAGACATGTAGATCATATCTCGCAACTCGCGTGGTAGACCAAAGAGCTCTGGCATCTTGGCGCTCCTGTACGTGTTCGTTTTGCGATCGCTTGGCGTTTCTAGCAATGCACGACTGGCATTGGCCAATGTTCGTATGGAATCCCAAGCTCATCCGGAGTAGTAGTAACAGCGATGTGATAGCTGTTATCCAGGCTCAAGGGTTCATCAGACACTGGTCGACTGAATCTGCCAGTTCGCCGTCCTCAGGCCTTTTGGTGCAGTAGTCGCGTGATTCCGTTTCAGACGTTGCAGACGCGCGTGAGAGCTGAGTTTCAGGATTTCGACACCAACAAAAGGAACCAAAAGATGTAAAGGGGGATCAACAATTTTGAAGCAACGACGAAAGAGAGGCAGTTTACGAGTGCGAGGGCGCAGGGCTTATTGTTGTAAAAGGTTTGCGAGACCGGAGTTGGTGGTAAGAAGCATGACTGAAGGTGACATGCAGGACGTCATCCTCGGCACAATCAGATCCGATCCTGTCCGAACCATCAGCGAGACTTCCTTTCTTGTTCAGCCACCAACAGCACCAACTTGTGACAGGATTGAGGACACAATCCTGTATTGCTAGTTTGCAAGAGGTGATGTTCACAGGAAGGATGAATATGCGGCACATGTGCCTGTTGAAGAATGCGTAGAGCGATTTTCAGTAAACTGATAACATTAATGTGAAAACTGCTGCTGAAAGGTTAAGCACCTCATGGAACAATGACGAAGCTGCTGGTGTGGCTCATATGTTTCGATATAAAAGATCCACGGAGTAGTGGGTGAACGTCACCTCTAAACACAAATCTTGAAATGTAGAGACCTAATTGCGGAAGCTGTGACGATGTGGTTGTTCCTGCCAAGCAACATCACTGCGGCTGCTTTCGCAACGAGTGAAGCTCCCAACATCTTCGCCCAGCAATTGCGCCGCCAGCAACATTCCATCGAGCTATAGCTCCTATCTGCTGCCATGAAAACGGCCGCAACGATGCGCGCTCTCCGCATGCGACCGTCAATCGCACGTGCTCGTCTCCCTCAGCGACCGTTCCTGCACCCCACACGATCCGCAACAATAGCCGCCAACGAGGCCGCAACAAACGCTCAATCAACTGGCGCACGCACGAAGAACTTCGTTCACGGTACCTTACTAGCCATTGGTCTTTCTTCCGGCTACCTCTACGTCACCGACACTCGATCCAGCATCCACGAATGGCTTGTTGTTCCTGCTCTGCGCCAAATCTACCCTGATGGTGAAGATGCACACCACGCTGGAACACGCATGTTGGTCGCTCTCCACAGCTTTGGAATGAATCCTAGAGAACGTGGGGACGCTGACACCAAGGGAGACCTGGCTGTCGAGGTCTTTGGACACACATTGGCCAACCCCATTGGAACATCAGCTGGCATTGATAAGGGCGCTGAAGTACCTACACCTTTGCTGGAGCTTGGTGCAAGTGTTGTTGAAGTCGGGGCTATTACACTGCTGCCACAGGAAGGCAACCCTAAGCCCCGTGTATTCAGGTTACCCAGCCAGAATGCGCTCATCAACCGCTATGGGTTCAACTCTGAGGGCGCTGAGACCGTAGCTCAGAGGCTGCGCCAGCGTGTCAGGGAGTTTGCATATCACGAAGGCTTTGGACTTAGTGAAGAGGCGGAACGGGCAGTGCTCAATGGCGAGGCTGGCGTACCTCCAGGCTCGCTGAAGCAGGGCAGGCTCGTGGCTGTCCAGGTCGCCAAGAACAAGACAACATCTGAGAACGATATCGACGCTGTGGTCCACGACTATGCGACCGCTGTTGCACATGTTGGCAAGTATGCTGACATCCTTGTCGTCAATGTCTCCTCGCCTAACACCCCCGGACTTCGCACGCTGCAGAACGCCGAACCCCTTACACGGCTGCTGAGTGGTGTTGTTGGAGCGGTAAACAAGCTCGATCGCAAGACTAAGCCTGCCATCATGGTCAAAGTCAGTCCAGACGAGGACTCTGAAGAGCAGATCTCCGGCATTGTTGAAGCTGTCTGGGACTCTGGTGTCGACGGTGTCATTGTTGGTAACACAACGAAGAAGAGGCCTGATCCGCTGCCCGTAGGCTACCAGCTTCCTGCTGCCGAAGCTAAGATCCTTCTTGAGCAAGGAGGCTACTCTGGTCCACAGATGTTTGAGCGCACACTCGCTCTTGTCAGCAAGTACAGGAAAGCCCTCGACGCCGGGCCAAGACAACTCCCTGCTCCATCGAAACCAGAATCGTCCTCATCGTCAGACATGACTACAACAACCGTCGACCTCGATACACCCGCCCCAACATCAGCCTTCAACGATCTATCCGAGTCTGCACCACAAGTTACTGTGCAATCTACACCAGATGCTGCACCTGCGCCCAACGCACCACGTAAAGTCATCTTCGCAACTGGCGGTATCACAAACGGACGTCAGGCACGAGAGATCCTCGATGCAGGAGCAAGTGTAGCGCAAGTCTACACAGCGCTCATCTACGGTGGCGCAGGCACCATTAGCAGGATCAAGCAGGAGATGAGGGACGAAGCAGCTAAGCAAAAGACGGCGACGAAGAACGAGGAGACTGTGACCGGGAGATGAGGTGTACTTGTAGACAGTGCTTGAATGGAGCGTTTAGTTCTCTTTGAAACCAATTTCGATACGGAGGCGTTACCCCTCTATTCCATTGTCTGATTTTACGCCAAAACTGGCGGTGTTTCTGTGGAGACAGGGTAAGAGGATGATGAAGCGATGATGGGGTTGCTACAATACTGAATCTGCAAAACTCCCTTAACGGATCAAGGATATTGAACTTCTTACATGCCCTGGTGTAAGGCTTTAGACGTCATTGATTGAATCAACCACTAACAACTGGCTCTTGGACGAAGGAATGTTATATTCCAGACATAGGAGGCTGCATACTGGAACGTCCACTGGGAATCCCCACCACCTTAGAGCCAGATCAACACTGAGGACATGAGGTCGTGGTACAACCCCCCCAGCTCGCCTGATTCGCACATGTTTGATGACGAGGATCTAGTGGAGAAAGTGGACTGGGTGACTTGTAAGCCGGAGGACGGCTTTCAAGAGCAAAAAAAAAAAGAAATTGGCACGGAGTGCTGTGTGCGGAAGAGGATGCTAGCAGGAGCGCGAGGATGTATGTGGATGTTCGAATGTCAGTTTCAAGTTGGAACATAGATCCATAGCAATTTTGTGAAGCATCCACGTCCAGAGGCATGATTAGGCACAGAGTCCGGAAATTGATCTCTTGGTTCCTGAGATCCAGCATCCTGTCATGCAAAGCTTCCCGCGAAGTTACCTCATCACCCACCTACGTCAGATCGCAACCTCCAGCACCAATTCTATAACCTCGCGGAAGCATTGCTGAAAACATTGCTCGCGGAGCAAATGTTCAAGAGTTGCACTATCTGGAGCCGCATTTCTTTTTATTGGGCGGACCCCCTTCGCTCTCAAATAGCAGAACAAGTCAGACACAAGCCCGTCTGGTTTAGGGAATGTACTTGGTGCTAATCTGCGGGCTCTCTGTAGTCTGGTAAGATGTTCGAAGACTATAGTGCTCTATAGATGTGGTCAGGTGTTGAAAGTACTTGGACATCGTGTCTTATAGTTGCCCACGTTCGATAGTCAGTTCCTCCAAGCTATCCGCCAAAGATCCAACGAGGTGGTTCGTATGCTCTCGCACCATCGTACCGATCTGATCGGTGCACGAGGTAGACCAGGATCAGAGCGAGGACAAGAGTGGATTGCACTACATGTAGTCGTCTGCACAGGTGTCTCCAACATCGTTCGGCCTTGCTGTACTACGGGCCTCACAACCTTGCTGGGATGCTTTCTATTGGCTCGATTTCCTAAATACACTCACTCTGAGTTTCATGTTAGAACACCATGTCTGCGTATGTGCACCTTTACCACTACAGCCTTGCCTCCTTTACTTCCCCGAGTCAAGGAAACAGCCCCTTGACCAATCCTTCTACGGCGTTGTACACGTCGCCGCTCTCCTGTCCTGTCGCGCGCTTGGTGATGACCGGGATCTGGTCCTTCCCAACCTCATAATTCCTCAGATCGCTATCCAACCCCAGATCCTTCACGAGCTTCAACAGCCTATCCCCCACCTTCTCGGCATCCTTCTTCGCGTCCCCTGAAGTTGCCTCACCGATGAACGGCAACAACCTCGCAATCTGAGTCGCCGCATCCGAATCCTGACTTTTCAGCTTGACAACATGTCCGAGTGTAAGGCAGGACGTGATACCATGCGGAATCCCATACGGACTCCCCAGCGCATAGCCTAAGGCGTGCGAGAGGCCTAGCCCGCCTTTGATGTTGTAGCCTAGGAAGCCGAGGGATGCGAAGGCGGCGAGTTGCAGCTTTGTGATTACGTCCTCGTCTTTCGGGTTCTCCTTGTACCTGACCAGGTTCTCGAACAGATTCGCCGCAGATTGAAGGCACAGCCAGCGCGCAGGCATCTCGGAGGCTGTGGGGTGGTAAAGGAGTTCGATTGCATGGTCCATGGCCCGCAGGCCCGTGGATGTCCACAGGCGAGCGGGTGTGTGCAAAGCAAACGACGCATCGTAGAGGACGACGTGCGGCACGAGTTCTTTCGCGCGCACGCCTGTTTTGACGCCATCAGATTCCGTGTAGCCCGCCATCATCGTGCATTCGGACGCGGACAGGGTCGTCGGGATGGCGATGTGGTGCAGCCATTTCCCGGTCTTTTCGTGCAGGCGGTAGGAGATTGCTTTTGCAGAGTCGATGGGGGAGCCGCCGCCAATGGAAATCACCGTATCGACAGAGGAGTCGTCCTCCACGATTCTCGTGGCTTCGTCAAGGGCAGCGACGGGCGCGTGTTCGCCGATCTTGCTAAATGTGCCGGCGTGCTTGGAGACCAAGAGTTTCTCAACATCTTTGACAAGTGGGGTCTTGTTAGCGAGCGAGTTGCCAGTGATGATGAATGCTTTGCTGTTCTCATCGGGGAGACAATCTAAAAGGTGTTTCCGCACTGAGCCGCTGCCATAATGGAGGCGTTGAAGCTGGGTTGGTTGCCAGAGGCCGGAGAGAGGGTTGTTTGTGGCGTCGGTCATCTTGGGTTTAGGTTTGGACTTTGTTGACGCGTGTCGAACTTGGAATATGCGAAGGTTGCTGGAATTGGAGGTGCGAGGCGTTGTGTCATGTGTAGAGCAGGTTATGCTGACCAAGGTTATCCTGCAATTGCCGAGTCCGCGCGCGGAAAGATTGTGTGAAGCTGCTATCGCTCGAATGGGTTTTGCTGCTATATGCTTCATGAGTGTTCGTTCATGGTCGACGGAACGGACTGCTGTGTAATTCTTGAGACTTGGAGTAGGGAAACGCGGAAGATGAAGTCATGTTGTGACGTATGAGCTATGATCGACTTACACATCAAAATTCCGAGGTCGAAGAGCGGGAACTTCAGCATCACACAACACAATCGGCGTCATCATATCACAGGCGAGTCAAATGATGGAAGAAGCATTTGTAGTCCAAACTGGTACTGCTAGAGCGGAGAGCATGTCATTTGGCATCTCACGACTCTGTGCTATATTGTACAATCATCTCTGCTATTACAGCGTCCACAGTGGCTCTTCCCACCCATGATATGGATCTCGTTATCAGGACATGACCCAAGTGTCGAATAAAGGGTAGTACAAGGTAGTAAAACAAACGCTGAGAGAAGAGAAACCGAAGAGAGGTATAGGTACAAGATGTTCAAACACGTAGAGGGAAATGTACAAGTCTAGAGAGACCCAACCCAGACCGACCGTGACCGGATGCAAGACGCCTGCTTTTGCCGCATAAAGAAGAAAGACGTAACGAGGAGCTAGCGATCAGAGCATTTACTGCTTCTTCTCACCCTCACCCTCGGGCTGCTGCTGCTGCTGCTGCTCGCCCTGGTTCTGGCTCTCGTTGCGGGCCTTGTGCATCTGGTCGAAGAGGCTCAAAGAAGCGTTCTGGAGCTCGTCGGTCTTCTCCTTGATCTCGGCGGCGGTGGCGGTGCCCTCACCAGACTGGCTCTGAGCGATGAACTCGCGCATGGAAGTGATCTTCTCCTTGATCTTCTCGGCCTCGGTCTTGTCAAGGCGGTCCTCGAACTCCTTGAGGGCCTTCTCGGTGTCGTTGACGACAGAGTCAGCGCGGTTAGCAGCCTCGATAGCGTTCTTGCGCTCCTTGTCCTGCTCAGCGTAGCGCTCAGAGTCCTGGACCATGGACTCGATCTCAGCGTCGGACAGACCGGAGCCGGAAGCGATGGTGATGGACTGGTCCTTGTTGGTGGACTTGTCCTTGGCGTGGACGTGGACAATGGAGTCGGCGTCGATGTCGAAAGTGACCTCGACCTGGGGAACACCACGGTGAGCAGGGGGGATGCCGACAAGCTGGAAGTTGCCCAGCAGCTTGTTGTCACGGACGAGCTCACGCTCACCCTGGTAGACCTTGATCTCGACAGCGGACTGGAAGTCAGCGGCGGTGGAGAAGACCTGGGACTTCTTGGTGGGGATGGTGGTGTTGCGGTTGATCAGACGGGTGAAAACACCGCCGAGGGTCTCGATACCAAGAGAGAGGGGAGTGACATCGAGCAGGAGAAGGTCAGTGACCTCACCAGCGAGGACGGCACCCTGGATGGCAGCACCGATGGCGACAGCCTCATCAGGGTTGACAGACTTGGCGGGGTCGCGGCCGAAGATGCTCTTGACGGACTCGGTGACCTTGGGCATACGGGTCATACCACCAACGAGGATGACCTCGGAGATCTCCTTGGCGGTCAAGTTGGCGTCCTTGAGGGCCTTGCGGACGGGCTCAATGGTCTTGGAGATGAGGGGATCCATCATCTTCTCGAGCTGAGCACGAGTGAGCTTCTGGTTGATGTGCTTGGGGCCGGAAGCGTCAGCGGTGATGAAGGGCAGGTTGATGTCGGTCTGCGAGGAGGACGACAGCTCGATCTTGGCTTTCTCGGCAGCCTCACGGATACGCTGGATAGCCATGCGGTCGTTGTTCAGGTCGATGTTCTGCTCCTTCTTGAACTGCTGGACGAGGTGGCGGACAAGGGTGATGTCGAAGTCCTCACCGCCGAGATGGGTGTCACCGTTGGTCGACTTGACCTCGAACACACCGTTCTGGATCTCGAGGATGGAGATATCGAATGTACCACCACCAAGATCGTAGACAGCGACGACGTTGTCGGTGGCCTTGTCGAGACCGTAGGCAAGGGCGGCAGCGGTGGGCTCGTTGACGACACGGAGGACGTTGAGACCAGCGATCTGGCCGGCATCCTTGGTGGCCTGACGCTGGGAGTCGTTGAAGTAGGCGGGGACGGTGACGACGGCGTTCTTGACGTTCTTGCCCATGTAGGACTCGGCCGTCTCCTTCATCTTTCCGAGGACGAAGCCACCAACCTGGGAAGGCGAGTACTTCTGGCCCTGGGCCTCGAGCCAGGCATCACCGTTGGTGTGCTGGACGATCTTGTAGGGGACTTGCTGGATGTCCTTCTGGACCTCGCTGTCGGTGAACTTGCGACCGATGAGACGCTTGGTAGCGAAGAGAGTGTTCTCAGGGTTGACGACAGCCTGGCGCTTGGCGGCGATACCGACGAGACGCTCGCCCTCCTTTGTGAAGCCGACGACGGAAGGTGTTGTGCGGCCGCCTGGGACGGTGTTAGCTGATGCATTCCCGTGATGCTGATGAGATGATGGACCACGTACCCTCAGAGTTTTCGATGATGCGAGGGACCTTGCCCTCCATGACGGCAACGGCCGAGTTGGTTGTGCCCAGATCGATACCGATGACGGAGCCCTTCACCTTCTCCTCCTCATAGCGCGCGAATGTGGAGCTGAAGGGGCGCGCAGCGATGGGTGTGCGACGGGCAGCAGAGGCCACGCGCGGCGCGAACTGGCGATGAAGTCAGCGAGTGCTCAGGTGGATGCAGGGGCACGTGTGCTTACAGTTCTCGATAATCTTGAGGACAGCATTGTGGGTGTGTGTGAGGCGCTGCTAAAGGAGATGAAAGCAACAAGTGAAGGAATGCGGAAGGGGCGCAATGGGGATGGGTGATGGATTATATGATGGCGATGGGGAGCTTGGACAGAAAAAAGTTCGGAGCGAAGGTTCTGGCATGTTGGCTTGGCAATGCCGTCGCGAGGGCTTCCGAGGCCCCAGTCGCCGCGAGTAGCCTGCGTCAGTGCTTCCTGAGAGAGAGCAGGGGGCGACTGACGATGGGCGCGCGATTGACGATGGGCGCGATTGACGATGGACGCGATTGACGATGGACGCAATTGACTGATTGGTTCAACGTCCTATGTGCACGATGCGCGCGATGATGCTCTGCCAGTCACATTCTCGTGCAGCATTTGCACAGCGCCCCGCTGTTGAGGTTCGCCACTGTTGCTTGTTGATGGCATCGGGTGAAGCTGCGATGGAGAGGCAGCTCGGCGCATGGCCTGGAGCTCACGTCGGTCGCGTGTGGGGAAAAGCTTCGATTGGCGGCGTCTGGAGCAGCTCGAGGCACGACATGGACTGACTGAACCTCGCCCTATCTCCTTCGCAGCACGCCTTGCCGCCCTTACCTCCCTCCTGCGACTCCTGTAGAAACCCACACTCGTAGCAAATATCCATCTCCGCCACTCCCATCTCCGCCACCCCATTGCGCTGGTTGCAGCTGTTACCTATGATCTTAGCGTACCGCGTGTGACGTACAGCTCGCTCTTCCACCGAAACGTTCTGCGCCCGCGACTGCAGAGACATGCAGCTGCCCATCTGACCGCGAAACATGGCCGTTGATGACTTCCTGTATGATCACTCTCTGCTCTTACAGTATACAGTATACAGTATACTGCACACTGCACACTGCACACTGCACACTGCACACTGCATACTGCATGCTGTATATTGCATACTAACGCCAGCAGGAGTCGAGACACGGACGCCTTCGTGTTGCCCTCCAAGTCGTACTATCCCACCAAGATCCCCATCGCGTGAGCCACCAGCGAGCAGACCTCTTGCCAGTGCGCCAGGCTAACAGGCGCAGACACTACCAGCTACGCCACTTCATAAGCTCCCCGGAGCAAGACCTCGTGTACTATGCGAGCGGCTGCGACATCTACTGCCTCAATGCGGCCACACAAACCCAGGCGCACGTAACGACACTGCCATTCGAGGCCCGCTGTACAGCCTCCGGACACGGCTATGTTTGCGTAGGAGGCGCAGACCATGGTAACTTTGCTGCCATCAAGGTCGCCGGCTTCCCTCCTGTCGACAACTCCCATGTAGACGCCTCGCTGCCTCTGGACTTCGAGCACCGTCTCTCCCGCCCTCCGCTCCTCGGCACCGCGCATCGCATACGGCTCGAGAAGATTGGAGAAGACATTGTCAACTCAATATCCATACACAAGTCTCCTGCTACACCAACTGGCGGCCGCGACGATGTGGTCGCCGTCCTTACCAACAACGACAAATCGGTGCGCGTCTATTCGCTGGTGGACAACCTCGAACTCTGTTGCATAGACCTGCCGATCGCGATGAACCACGCCACGATATCGCCAGACGGAAAGTTTCTCGTTGCTGTTGGTGACCAGCAGACCGGCTTCTTCTTCGAACGATACCTTCCTGGGCCAGAAAGGCCAAGCAGCTGGAAAGAGCCAAGTGATCGAATAGACTCGGTGCCACCAGGATGGAAGCTGTTCGAGGAAGTGGCCCTGTATGTTCCATCGAACCAGTGTGCTGAGGGATACTTCACTACAGCCTGGTCGCCTTCAGGCCGTCTCTGTGCGGTGGGCTCCGAGTGTGGCTACATCACGGTGTTCGATGTCGATGATCTAAAGGTTGCCGAGTGCGGGGAAGATGCTGTACTCGGAGTGATCAGTTCGACAAGACCAGATGTATGTACGGGTGCCGGCGCCGTACGGACAATGCAGTTCTCTCCGGCGCCGTGGGACTTCCTGATCTGGAGCGAAGACCAGGGCAGAGTATGCGTCGCCGACCTACGGTCTGGACTCAAGGTGAAGCAGGTATTGACTCTGGATCCGAAAGAGGAGGGCCTTGAAAAGATCGAGATTGCCGATTTTGATTTGAGCCTGCCCCCAGAGATGTCTGAGTTGCGCAGAGAAGCGGACTTCATCCGCAGATACCGCCGTACTCTGGATGCAGAAGGGACACAAGCAGCGGTGGACGCCGCGAATGAATACTTCGAGGCAGACTCCGAGCGACAGAGGGCTCTGCGACGTCTTGGCGTAGTCGAATCTGACAACGATCCTCAAGGGCTATCGTCCGAGGAACGGCGAATTCTGGAATCGCTGCGAGCAACACGTCACACCTTAGAGGCGCGGCAGCCTGGTGGAATCAGGCCCAGGAGCATTAACTATACAACAGCAGGCCATGTAGAAGCTGCACGGTATGATGCGCGTGAGCGTGCCCGACTTGGCTTGCGAGCTGACATTCTGCTCAGGGAACGGGCGGCCGCCGCTCGAGACATGCCTTCTGACCTACTAGATGACCTTCTCTCAGAAAGCCTTCGGCCAACGAATCGCTCGCTTGGGGAGCGAACAGCACCTCGACGTCAAGCATCGGTTGTCGTATCCATCAACGAAGGTACCGTCAACGTACCACCCCATGCACAAACCAACATCACAGACTCTGCCACAACGCGGTCACCAAACGCCATCGTTGCGCACACACGTAGCGAGATCATAAACTCGACTGACAATGCCTGGCGCACCATTCAGGCTGCGCTCGCCAGTCAAGAACGTGCTGCCAGCAATATGGCCCGCACCAGCACATCAATTCCAGCTGCCAGCGCCAGCAACCCAACAGCACCCGAGTTACGTAGCGAACTTCGCCGTTTGCGCCAACTCACGCAGGTGCGTGAACGCCTTCGCAACGAACGGGCTAGCCAGCTGTCCACCGATGCGTACGAGTTCAGCTTAGGTCTCCGGAGAGTAAGCCGCAGCACGCACGACCCAAGTCAAGGTGTGCGTACGGCAGGGCTCGCGATGAGCGAAGATGGGCGGACGCTGTACTGCGGAACCGAGGAGGGTATCTTCGAATTCAAGCTGAACTTGCATACACGGAAAGGCTTCCCCGCCATCAATCCTCGATGAGGGGCGGCTTAATTGGCAAAGGGCAGCAGAAACAGCCCTTTTCATACTCAAAGCTGGTCTTCCTTTTTCTCTGATCTTCGGCGTGTTCGGACGGCATTTGGATCAGCGAGCATTGGCGTACAGTGTGCTTTTGGGACCTTATTCTTCTGTATATTGTCTATCGCTGTACAATTGGCCAAAAGGGGAAGAGCATGTGTACCCCAGGACATAGGTAGTTACTGGCAAAATATAGCCTTCGAAATCAATGGACGGCGAACATGCACATAAGTTTCCAAGTTGAGCAAGATAGGCCTAAATACCTCGACAATAAGATCAGGACACAAAAGCAGCCTCGCTCTGCTTTTGGTGACGGTATGGAGCGGACTCGGGGTAATCGGCCTTGTATGGGGTAAACGCCCACACGCCGGTCCGGCCGTCGCGACCTGCACGAGAACGGGCCGACGAACCAGAATTCAGCAATATGGCGCAATGCCTGCGGTGACTCCACGTCCAGCACACCTACGCTAACGTACCTTGCAGGATGACTTGGACTTTTGCTACTTCTTAATGTACCCTTCGTGTTTCCTATCCTCAACTCTACAATTCCCAGACATTTCAAAAAATCTGCGTTGCTGAGCGGCGAATTGAATTTCATTGCATCACTACCGATAGCGGAGTTGAATACACGACTGAGTAGCGGACCGCCACAGCTCGATTCGAAGACAGTCCATCCCTCGGACGCACAACAAGAGCAACAATGGCTGGCGAAAGCTCCAAGAGCAAGGGTCCGGTTCTTGATATTGACGGCCACAACCTGCCTCCCTCGCCGGCACCAAGCACACCCCGCAGTACAGGCAGAAAGTACGCTCTTGCAACAGAGCTTGTCTACACCGAAAGCACCGATCAGTACAATGCCAGCTCCGTCCCAATTTACCAGGTATGCTGCTTTTCACACAAACAATGGCAATGGTGCTGCAACAATACGAGTATCAATACTGACTGACCTTCGCAGTCTGCAACCTTCAAGCAGACCTCGGCGAGCGGCGGCGGCGGCGAATATGACTACACGCGCTCCGGCAACCCTACACGAACCCACCTCGAGCGACACCTGGCCAAGATCATGAGCGCGAACCGTGCACTCGTCGTCGGCTCCGGTATGGGCGCTCTTGACGTCATCACACGCCTGCTGCGACCCGGCGACGAGGTCGTAACCGGCGACGACCTGTACGGTGGCACAAACAGACTGCTCAAGTACCTCTCCACCCACGGCGGCATCATCGTGCACCATGTAGACACTACAAACCCCGAGGCTGTGAGCAAGGTCGTCAGCAGCAAGACATCCCTGGTCCTGCTCGAGACGCCTACCAACCCTCTGATCAAGATCTGCGACATCCCCACCATCGCACGCAGCGCCCACGAGGCAAACCCTGCTGCTATCGTCTGCGTAGACAACACCATGATGTCGCCCATGCTGATGAACCCGCTCGACCTCGGCGCAGACATCGTCTACGAATCCGGCACAAAGTACCTGTCCGGGCACCACGACCTCATGGCTGGCGTCATCGCCATCAACGACTCCGCGCTGAGCGACAGACTGTACTTCACCATCAACGCATCTGGCTGCGGTCTCTCGCCGTTCGACTCCTGGCTGCTTCTCCGTGGCGTCAAAACCCTGGGAGTGCGCATGGAAAAGCAGCAGGCGAACACCATGCGCATCGCCACGTTCCTCGAGAACCACGGTTTCAAGGTGCGCTACCCGGGTCTGAAGTCGCATCCCCAGTATGATTTGCACTGGAGTATGGCGCGCGGGGCGGGTGCCGTGCTCTCCTTCGAGACGGGCGATGTCACCGTGTCTGAGCGCATTGTTGAGAGCGCGAAGCTCTGGGCCATCAGCGTGAGCTTTGGTTGCGTGAACTCACTTATCAGTATGCCGTGCCGTATGAGCCATGCTTCCATTGATGAGAAGACGAGGAGGGAGAGGAATATGCCTGAGGATATTATTAGGCTGTGTGTTGGGATTGAGGATGCTGATGATTTGATTGATGATTTGAGCCGCGCAGTAAGTTCAGGCCGATATCAATATCAAGAGGAAAGGATGAATATGCTAACGTCGGGTAGCTTGTACAAGCCGGCGCCGTGAACATCACAACCGAAGGCTTCAGCGCCTTGAGCCTGTCCTCCGCCGCTGAGGACCTGCCTCCTGTCGCACCTGCCACCGAAGACTAAATCACCCCTCGACTCTCACACTTAAAGTCACCGCTGTCCTGCCCTGCATGGGTAGGTTAACGTGATGCACCACCCCTAAGCCGCCTCTGTCACCCTTCCTCTCCTCGGAACAGGAAGCGTGTTAACGTGGTATTGTTCGACCGTTGTTGTATTGGGTCGTATATAGCAAGCGGGAGTTTTCGTTTAGAAAGGACCTTCTTGATGTTCAATCGAAAAGTTCAAATCCAATCATGAAACTCCAGCGCTATTGTGAGACCATAGCTTGGACCTGCCTGTCGTGCTCGGGATGCATCTGCAGAGTGAAGCGCTGTCGTCATGTTGCTTGGCAGGCTGAGAGTCTGCCTCTCAACAACCTTCTTTACTTTGTCGTTGTTACTCCGCTTCGATCTTTTCGTGGTTTTCCTTACAGAGCATCCATGCAACGCGTATCAGAGCGAGACCCATCTGAGAACACAGCACGGCGAGGAGTTGTGTTTGCTTGCCTTGGACGGCGGTGGTGTTCGCAGGCTGTCCTCACTTTGTATGTAATCCATGAGTCCTGCGCTTAGCTATGCGATGTCAATGGATACTGACCACACGCAGGTATTCTCGACGAGTTGATGCGCAAAGCCGACAACGAAAACCCGCCCAACCCCTATGATTATTTTGACTTGATAGGCGGTACCAGCACCGGCGGTCTGATCGCCGTTATGCTTGGCCGTCTCGGAATGACCATCGACGAATGCCGCCATGCATACCTCGACCTTGCTGCTGAAGCATTCGAGCTTAAGAACCACCCAGCGAAGCCCATGTGGGGTATCCCATGGAAGTGGGAGCTCAATGCGCGATTCAACACAGAGGCTTTGGAATGCGGCATGAAGAGGATTATCCGTAGGGCATTAAGACGAGATCCCGCAATTGAGATGCTGTTGGATACAGAACTTGAGAACGCGTTGCTCAAGGACAACCAGGTCGAAGTGCAAAGTGTAAGTCTCGCGAATGTGAGAAATACTTTACTTAGCAGCCTCAATGCAGCAACATCTACCTTCGAAGTCCAGGCCCCTTTCAGCGCAGCTGCTGACTTCGACAATGCAGGGATCCGGGACGTGGCCAAAATCCTCCAGGAAGCGTCTCACGGAGCACGCAACAGCTGTTGCGAGATTCGCAAGCCTGAACCGTCCATCCACTTCAGAATCGTGCCAGACCACCACATGGCTCGAGAACATGCCTCAGGTTCGAACCTGGACTCACGAGGCCTTCAATCCACTCTGCTATCTTGATAGGTCGGAATCTCAAATGAGTAAGCTCGTGGCTGACCTCATTCGAAAGCAACGAACAAAGGGAAATTCAGCGCCAGAGGTAGTTTACCTGGATTGCTCCCAGTATCGGTGCTTTGCAAAAGTATTGGCCCCCCCCCTCCTTTGGGAAAGAACTATACCCATATAGGCAACTATGAGAAAAGTAGGGGGCGCATACGTGATGTGGGTATCTAATTAATCGCCTTGTCAAGCTGAGTATGCTGGTGATGCTTATAGATGGATGCACGTTAAGGAACAGCCAAAATTGAGAAGAAGAATAATGGTGGAGAGGTAAGAGATTAGACAGAACAGTGACGTTGGCCCGACCTCTGCTATGTCCGTGGCTTCCGAGTGGTAGTGAAGGTCTGGTTCAGGGTCTAGCACGTGGAGAAGCCCACATATATATCCTCCGATCAAGTCCCTAACCCCTCCCTACTTCGACTTCTTGGTACGCTCTTTTTGAGCTACCAAACAAAGGAAGGACCTTAGACTTTTGCAAAGCATAATACTCGGACAGTCGTGACCAAATTCTAATTTAGAGGTTAATACTCTAATCGACCCTTCTGCAGTGCATACCCATTGACCCCAGAGCGGTCGAACGACTCCAGCAAAAGCTTATGCGAACAACAAATCACGATCTTGATCATATCTTTGCAGGGAATGTCAATGGCCTTGTCCGGCCTGCCTTTGATATGCTGTTGGACGCCCTGAGGTGGGCCCACACCATCGACGAGTAACGAGACTTATGTGTTCATCGACAAGTTGCATAGAGTTGTCAATCCAAACTAGAAGGGTATGTTGCGCAAACTAGCCAAGTGTTTGACAGAGGTCGACCATGCTATTGTGTCGTCCCGTGAGTCTGAGTATGTCCAGGAAGCCATCGATTCTGGATTCATTTGGGATGGGATCAAAAAAGCGGTCCTGGTCTTTTCCCCGGACATGGAAGCGAGAGGTATGAGACATGTCACCCTTCATTGCAATGCTCCCTCACTGACCTACAGTGCAAAATGCTACCGGTCACTGTGTTTTCCTGAATGGGACGACCACCGGCGTATCGTCGATAACCCTTTTCAAGATACTGCAAATTGGATTTGGAAGCACCGTGTATTTCTCCAATGGAACAGAGATCATGGCATACTTTGGATCAAGGGCAAACCCGGAAGCGGCAAAAGTACGATTGCTGGAACGATAATCGAAGAAATCACTAGTAGGTTGGAGCAATGCAATTGTCCAGCTTTGAAGGTGATCACAGCACCGCTGGCAACCTCCACAGTCACCGGGAACTTCTTTTGCAGTACGCGGATGGGTTTCAAAGCAACTTGGCACTCTTACATGCTGCGATCCGTCTTGTTTCAGCTGCCTCAGCACTCCCGGTCGCTCCACAGGCACTTTCGATCCCTTTATCGTACGAACCTGGCGGACCAAGCGTCGTGGGGAGCGGAAGACCTCATGCAAGTTTTTGAGTCGATCATGTCCGATCGATTCACAGATAGTCCAATTCATGAATTGCAGGATCATCTTGAATCTCGGAAAATACGACTTTTTCACGACGATAACTGGGCTCCGGTGGAGAGAGAAATCATTGACATCAGTGGCTGTCTGCTTGAGGTTATCGAAAGGCCTCGTGCGCCACAAGCCTTGAAGCCAGGAGTAGAATGGTGGTGGACACGCGCAGACGACGCCGTGCAAGTAACCCATCAAACGGCCAGAGAGTTCATACTAGGCATCGGAGAAAGCGCTGGACCACTAAGGCTCACAGTGAGCCAGTGCAAGCGGATACTGTCATTGAGCTTTACCATATATCTCGGCTATGCAGCTATCTCACTCAGGCGAGCGTTGTTGTTCTGGGAACATCGTGAGGATGCTTCCGCACAGCACAAGGAGCAGATCCAGACCCAGAAAGTATTAGAGCACATCTCTAGGTTCCCAGAACTGTGCTCTACTGCTGGTGAGGCATGGTTCGGCTATCAACGCATGAAGTGCTATGGAACGAACACCACGAACACCACTTATGCTTGCCTGCATCAATGAGCACCTCTCCATACCGTTGGATGTGGGTCGTTGGTACTACGGGTAAGCGATACGATGCAGACTTATAAGCACAGCCTCATGATATGATGAAGAAGCTGCTGACAGGCCGGTGACAACGGGTCGTTAGGCACCCCCACACATCTCACTGGATGAGAAGAGTCGCTTGGGCGGAAGTGCAGATAGGTCTACATGGATGTTCGGGAACCGATGTGTCGTGTCAAGGTCGCTTGTGCGCGCAGTGGGGCAGTGCTAAGCTCATGTGCGCGTCGAGAGGAGGAAGTGATCCTCAGGATGGACTAGCTGGATTGGACGAGGTCACAGAGCCTCAATTTTACACGGAAATGCCAAGCATTGTTCTATGCATTGGTGGGATAGCATTGTTGTGCTTCATTGGGCTATCTACATAACCAAGTCACGATCAAGGAGAAGGCGTCAAAGCCGGGGTATCGAAGAATCTATGGAAAAAACAAAGAAACAAAAACAAACCAAAACACGGAGAGTCCCCTCAAATAAAACTATCGCGGTATAATCGCTGCTCCATCTCCATCATCTTCTCCGCACTTGGCGTTGGCGGCAGACTCAGCAGCAGCGTTAACTCACTATCCGTGTCGCTGCTCCACCTGCTATTCTTGATAAAAGCTTTTGACGGCATGCGGATCGCGATGTCCGTGACCCCGTCTTCGAAATCAAACTCAGGTAACTCTGAGTCCCTGAGCGTGCATGTAGCCCTTGTTCCCTTCTCATCATTGTCTTTTTCCTGGCTCTGTCGCCAGACTGTTGTGATGGCGTCCCAGTATCGGCTTGGTTCCTTGCGTGCGTGGTCGACGTGGCCGGAGTTCTCGAAAATGATTTCTGTGACGGAGCCACTGTGCTCCATCGACTCGCCTGCGTGCCCGTAGATATCTTGCCAGGCGATGAGCGCGTCTTTCTTGGAGTACAGGTAGCACCGAGGTACCTGTAGGTCGAATAGCTGTGGGTCAAGCAGTTGTCCCCTCGACTTTGTGATTGGGTTGTTCTCATAGCCAACAAAGACGTGGTATAGCACCCATATGATGCCTAGTATGATGCTCGCAATGACGGTGCCGAGTTGCTTAAGCACTGGAATAGGAGGGAACGACTTTGCAAGTGCAGAGCAGAGACGCAGATACCGTGGGTGGCCAGGCGTGCTGTCGAGGTACAGAGCTGATATGGGAAGATGTGTGCCAGTGGTGCGCTGATACACAGTCGCAAGCTCGCAAGCTTTGTTGCTTCCACCTTCTGAGAAGACATGCATCAGTATGCCTCCAGTGTTGCAGCATGGAATGTGCTGAAGGTTGGAGATATACTTGACGGCGGGTTGAAGGCGATGTTGTTTTCGCTTAGAACTTCGGAAAATGAAGTCTGCTGAGGATGTGGTGATGACCATGATGTGTGAGGAAGGAAACATGTTTGTGTATTCAGTAGTGTATTTGGAGATGTGGCGGCCGTGAGCGCCGGTCCACGTCATGAGTAGGATAAGAGATGGGGCTGATATATCCTCTGTAGGCGTTGAAGGTGTCGAGGGGATGCGGTCCCATATTGTTGGCGCAATGAGTTCGAAACCTGGGTTGGCATCGTGTGGTACCTTAGTCTTGACCATCGTGACTAGGTCTGAGAGGCGGAAGGCAGGAGACGAAATGTAGAATGAGTGTACTTGAAGCCAGTGGGCTAAGCCCAAGGTCTCGAAGAGGAAAGAATACGGTGATTGGACTTGCTGGTGTTGTACCTTCGCACCTCTGACGGTCACCGAGAGATGTGCTTATGTAGATCTGATGTTTACTCACCTAGCAACCCTCCATGTCTAGACACTGCCACTCAGCTTGGAAAGCATCAAGACGGCTCGCGAATCTTGGAATCGATAAGCTGAACCTTAGCATTTCCTTGTAATTTCGCGGCAGCGCCGACAATGAAAGAGCAGTCTCGATCATATTGATGCCCTCCGCGGTGTTGACTTGGTCGTTCGATGGCGCTCGTGTCCCTCCTAAGTTGTGCTAGGCTATATGTATCGATTCGTAGTTGTGCCCACAAGTTCTCCCAAAAGTCGCTAGTGAGCCCCCGTTCTATCGAGGGTTGTCTCGACCAAGAGAAAAAAACAAGCCTTCATCTACTACAAGAGAGTCGCAACTTCCACGGAGCGTCCTCAATACGGGGACTCCGACTCGTGAAAGAAGCATAGCATGCGGCTACCAATCCTACGCGACAGCGCTACCGCGCGTTTCTTGGTGCTCGGATCGACTTGCAGGAGCCGGCGATCAAAGAGGCTTGCGCACAGGCAGTGCGATCGTTTATTCGTCCAGGGCCGCCATCTGCACGTGGAATTGGTGCAACTGAGACAGGAGATGTGTAGAATAGTGGGATATTTTCAGAGTTAAGGGCCTTGATGGCGCACATTTCGGTGAACAAGTGCCAATATAGTGCCGAGAAGTGGGTTCGTCGTTTCCTGATCGAGGAAGGCGCCATCCCTGATTTGTGGTCTTTGATGTAAGGCTGAGCTGACAGCTGCAATTTTTGCACCGGCTTCAAGCCCAGTCGTTTACCACGTCAGCTGTCAAAATGTCCGTTTGCATGCTACTGACTTATGCATGTTGACAATCGAGTGGGTGTAGGCTTCTAGAATCACGATAGGCGCCAAAGGCCACGATGTGCACATTGTCTGCTTCGGGCAATCCGTGTGCAGCTCATCGTGTGTAAGCCACAAGCGCGCACTGGTGGGGCTCTGTAGTCTGTTCAAGGCGAGGCTGAGCTGCGTTTGATAGTGTCAGTTGCTATGCGAATAGTACACAGGAGGTACGGCGATCCCGTGAGAAAGTCAACGTACCTAATTTGGTAGCACAGTGACTGCTATATGATTGAGGGTATGCGTCGAATAAGATCCTGTGTACCAGAGCGAGACGTCTTCGACTTCCATCGGGCTGTTTACTTGTAGTGACTGTATCGTTTCTGCCATAACATTCAAGTCCCACCGGCGTCATGGCGTCAGCGCACATCGAATACCCCGTCCAACCTCTCAGGCCGCAGCAGTCGGTTGGGTTACTGTCACTGAATGCTGATAACGGTCACACGTGGTGCGACTCAGAGAAGCCGCACTCGGGTGTAACAGCACTACCGCAATGCACACTTCCATCGGAGAAGGTCCCATCGGTCAACAACAGCAAAGGTATGCATGTCTTACTCCAATGGCGTTCGTTTGGTGTCTAACCGGTATCCACAGTCGAGAGTGCGTCTCTCTACTCCGTAGAAAGGCCTGCGACTCCTTCCACAAGGGAGACCCTTGCAGCTCACTCCATCATACCTTCACAATTACCTGCATCGTCACCTAGAACCCCTCGTCAGAAGCGGCCAGAATCCTACCTATCATTCGGATCGAGTATGGACTTCGATCTCGAGGCTAAGGCTCAGGCTGAGGTACCTACTGAGTGGAAGCCTACTAGGAGAGAGTTACTGGTAATGATCAGTCTGAGCTTTATCTCGCTGATGGTCGCGTTGGACGCGACTGTCCTCGTTACTGTGCTGCCGGTACGAAATCTTGAGATCAATCGAATGCCGATTGTTGACGATGAACAGGAAATCGCACATTCCCTCAACGGGACTTCAGCGGAGGCCTTCTGGGCAGGCACTTCATAGTGAGTAATGCACGTCGCACTGAGAGGACGAACTGACCACGTTATTAGTCTCTTGACCTCCGCCATCTTTCAGCCGGTCATTGCTTCAATCTCTTCCAACTTCGGCCGCCAGCAGATGCTCTTGCTCTCCTTGACCCTTGTATGTACATCTGTTTTGTAGTTTCCAAAACGCGCCCCTAACGAGTCTAGTTCACTGTTGGCACTATCCTCTGCTCGGTTGCCCACAACTTCACAATACTGCTTACTGGTCGCTCTGTCCAAGGTATTGGCGGTGGTGGCATCATTACCGTGACCCAGGTGATCTTCTGCGACATCGTACCCTTGAGGCAGCGGCCCAAGTACTTTGCTATGGTCCTCGGGGCCTGGTCAATTGGCAGCATCGTCGGGCCTGTAATTGGTGGTTCCCTGGTTGAGAACGCATCGTGGCGTTGGTGAGTTAAATGTTGCGCAGGCACTGAACTCTGCTCACGTGATTAATTAGGTGCTTCGACATCAACTACCCGTTCTGCGGTATTGGATTCATCGTCGCCGCCTGCTTCGTTCGCATGAACGCCACAACACAGCTGACAGTTGCGCAAAAGCTGAAGCAGACCGATTGGATTGGTGCTTTCCTTTTCATTGGTAGCTTCACTAGCTTCCTCGTCGGCCTTTCCTTTGGCGGTGTCCAACACCCTTGGACATCCGCCGCCACACTTGCACCTATGATCATAGGTCTGGCGGGCATTGCTGCCTTCCTTGGCTGGCAGGTGTACAAGAAGCCTCACAGCCTGCTGTCAATGTCAATCTTCTACAATTGGTCAGCTATCTCTGCGTTCTACTGCGCCATGATCAACGGCCTTGTCGTAGGTTCTTTTAGCCCTTCTTGCAGATATGTGCTAACAGCTCCCAGCTCTTCACAGCTCTCTACTACATTCCCTTTTTCTTTATGTCAGTTCGTGGTCAATCACCAACTCACGCAGGTATCGACTTGTTTCCTGCTGTCTGTTTCCTTGTTCCTGGGTCTATCGTTGTCGCAGCCTTGACTGCGAGACTTGGACGATTTCGGTGGGCCATCTGGCTCGGTTGGGCCGTCACAACAATCGCCTGCGGTCTCTTTATCATCTTCGACATCCACACCAGACTTGTAGTCATCGCTGTGGCTCTTGCACTTTTCGGCATTGGCTCCGGTATGGTCTTGACCAGCGTAAACGTCGGTATTCAAGCTATCTCAAAGGTTGAAGACTGCGCTATGGCTGCTAGCATGTACGGTTTCTTCCGTAGCCTCGGTATGCCTATTGGTGTCGCAGTAAGTTGGCCCCTACGACGTTTGCGGTATTGAAACTAACATGCGCCAGCTGTCGGGTACCGTCTTCCAGAACGCTATGTCGAGCAAGTTAACAGCCCTTGGTCTCCCCACACAGATTGCCCACGACTCTGAGCAATATGTCTTTGTCCTTCGGTCAATGGCAGATGGGGCCAAGAAGACTGCGATCCTCGAGTCCTACATGCATGGATTCCATGCGGTGTTCATTTTCGTCTCCGTCATATCCGCGAGCGCGTTGGTTGCCAGCTTGGTCATCCGGAAGTTCAGCATGGACAAAATCCTGCTTACAGCATACTCAGTCAAATGAGCTGTAGGGGCGCGGCACCTGCTTTTTCTCTTTTATCTTCCCTTCTCTTCACACATTGTCTCCTTCTCCCTTCCATAGATACCATGATACTCCACAATAATAGACACCTTATCGATTTCAATCCGACATCAGTTCAGAGATAGGTCCAGTTTGCTTGCAGGTTAACGCGCTGTATTGTGTTGCTGCTCCGTTGAGGTTGTGTTCTGGGTGACAGCTGGCAAGAGGGGTCAGTGTGACAACGCGCCTTCCCTTGGATCTTTGACGCGCTAGTGCAAGCTGTCAATGACACCCCTAAGACGCGTCGCATACTGTCAAAAGATTCACAACATCAGTCGACCGCTCTTGGAAGTCTTTCGGCGACCTCTGTCGTTGTCCCGCTACCTCCTTACCTCGCCTCAATGCCCAGGCCCTCGCTCCCTCTTCAGCCAGACAAGCTGTGTGCGCGAACGCAAGAACGCACCCGATCACGTCCTGGATCCCAGTCAACTCGCTGTTAAGCAAGACACGACAGGCAATACTCAATGACGCGAAACGCGCTAGCCTGTTGCTCGGTATCTAGCGCTTTCGATTAATGTGCGAAAATCGCAGTCTTATCCTCCTTCCTGTCTCGGGACAGAACACCTTACATCGTCTCATATTGATCCGTGGCGCATCTAAGTGGGCAACTGTCAATACAATCAGTGCTCAGTATTGCCGTGCAACCTTGCGAATATCGCGCTGGATCTCCCGGTCTTACTGTCTTTCCGAAGGAAGTTGCGCCAGTCAGCGCGCCACAGTGACAGGTCGCTCGTGTCAAATTGCAAGCTTGCACTTGGTACCTTGCCTTTGGTACCTTACCTATCGACTGTTAGCTGAACTACCCAGTACGCTTTACGAAGAAGAGGGCGCTTATGGGTAGCTTCATCGGTCACGTACTCTGTAGTGTCAACAGTCAGCCAGTGGTCCGAAGTCGGTGCAGTGACATCTCCAGATCATCCCCAACGGCGTTCTACGCTTCGACAAGCTGATCCTTCGATGCATCATCCAGGAACCGGCTGCATGACCCCTTACAAGGGCCGGCGCGCCAAATGCAATCGTAACTGCACATTGTGCGGCTGTGATAGGTGAATGCCCTCTATCACAGGCCCGTGCTAATCGTTCGCTTCGCACCGGTCTCCCGGCAAGCCTCAAGACGTCCACCTGAGACCCAGCTCTCCAAGAGGCATGTGCAGGCAGAGTCATTCGATGATGCTTCCCTGAGTTCCGTCGTTCGTCATTTTCTCTGCCCTTCGAGCACTCTGCACACATCAAACACTTTACGTCTTGGCGCGCTGTCGCAACCTCAAGTCTTGCCCCAACTTTGGGTTCGTGACCAGGATCTGGTCATGCTACCGCCGGAGCTCGAGCACCTCTGCGACCAACCCTCCAATTTAGCTTCTTCTATGGCTTTTCCAGAACAATTCCCAGCCCGCCCTCCCCGCTGCAACCTGATGATGTGATATAACAACCTCGTCGCACCAACACCAGCTGATGCTTGTCCGGGAATACGTTCGTCCACTCATTGCCCCTGAAAATCCGTTGCCGCTGCCTGGATACCCTTCTTCACTCTTGTTCTGCTACGAATGCATAGCGCTCCACTACCAGACGGTGTCATCAAAAGTTCAAGTTGTGTTGGTCGTATGAAAAGTGTACTCGGCATGTCAAGAGGTGTTACTTGTAGACCTGGAACCTGCTAGTCATTCGGGTTTTTCGCTAAGATGGAGGACCATGTCGACATCCCGGAAGAGTCAATGCGACACATCGAGGCTTTGTTGGCAAGACATCCTCCACAGATGATTCAAAGGATGTTCTCACAGACGCTTGAATCTCGTAGGTTGCGTAGCTCGTCCGCTTTGCATAGAGCTAATTACAGACAGGTCGCAACTCAATATCGTCTCTCGCGTCTACGAACACCACTGCAACGAGCTCGACTTCATCATCTGGCTCATCATGGCGATCCCGTCTATCGATTGCATCGACATTCTCAACCTCTACCGGAAACAGTGATGCCGCTCCTTCCATTGCCTCGTCGGCTTCGTCGCGGTTCAGGATGAGGAGAACAGAGCCTCGTTCGTATCCAGCTGGTCTAGACCCGACGCGGCCTGTTCCTGCTATGTTGACGCCTGCATCTGACATTAGCAGCCCGCTTGACAATCAGCCTGAACACAGTATCACGCCCACAGACGACATCAGCATTGCCTCGCCCATCCTGTTTCCGGACGAGAAGAGTCAAGGCCAGTCTGGCGAATCGTACATGTTCTGCACATACTGTGCCGAACAGAAGTCTCTGAAGACCTTCAAGGCCAAGTCCGACTGGAAGAAGCACGAGGCAAGGATGCACGAGACTGGCGAAGACTGGGCATGCGTTGTGATAGGCTGTAGTCGTATTTTCGATCGTCAGAAAGACTTCATCAAGCACCACCAACGCTATCACTCCGGTCGGCCCCTGCCCTCGTTGACAGACATTGGCATCACTCTGCTCCCTAGAAGAGTATTCGGTTGTGGTTTTGATAAGTGCAAAGAGGTGAGCATTGGCTGGGACGAGCGGTGCGATCACGTTGCAAAACATATGAAGAATGGCGCAACATCCGAACTGTGGAAGTACTCGAATGTGATACGTAACTTGATTCGACAAGAAGCGCTACACGAGATCTGGAAGGACATAGTTGCGTGCCTAGATGAGCGGTTGAAGGAGAACCGGGCGCAGATCAGCTGGTGTCCGGACAACACCAGAGTTTTGCGGCAGAAGCTGCAATGCTGCGACCTCAGACCAAGCCGGGAGGAGGTGCTCATAACAGCTTTGAGTCTACGTTCCGATATCGTAGTGGATTCTGTCCATCAGCAGGTCCCAGTCGGCTTCGTCACACCCAGCAGAGATTCAGTACCGAATGTCGACAAGTTGGCCCGTGAGCAGCGCATGCAAATCCTGATTGGCCACTCAAATGTTCAATTATCTCGAACAAGATTGGCAAGTCTCAACGCTGCTTTACTTAGCGTTACAACCCATACGCCCAACTACCACTGTGGATCTTCACCGTTCGCTGACCCCAATTCACCTACTGTCGACACGACTGAGCGCCGCATCAGCTACATGGACATAGATCCAGGTGACTACCTGGACGTTGCGCAGCCTCCTATACTGGACCTGCATCTCAGCATGAGCGCACCTCAAATCCACACTCCTATTACAGACAACGGGCAGCAAATGCAGCAACAGTCAAACAATTACATCGACCAAACCAAGTCCTCGCCCAACCCTCTTGGTTGGTACTACCCTAACTACTTCGACGCGGCACCTCAGTTTGAGGAGTCACAGTACTACGACCGACCATCGCTTGGGCAGATGATTGCGAAACCTCTTCATAAAATTGGCAATCGTTTGAGTACATCCAGGAACAGCTCACGACCGACATCGCACATAGTGCAAAGCCACACCGGTATGAACGTCGATTTTGGTATTCAGAACCCAGTAGCTGCTCTAAGCATGCGCAATCTCCATGCAAACATCCAGCCACAACAACAGATTCAGCCACAACAACAGATTCAGCCACAACAACAGATTCAGCCACAACAACAGATTCAGCCACAACAACAGATTCAGCCACAACAACACTTCCAGCAACAGCATCAGCAACAGCAACAGCATCAACAACAGCCGCAGCAACCAATCGCACACCCGCAACCACAGCACTTCCGCAACCCTGCACAGATGCAGGACCAACTTCAATTGTTCACGACTCACAACTAGCGATGTTCACGACATTGTTACTTTGGCATCCAGCGAGCATATAGACCTTTCTTATGTTGTTTCGTGTGTTGTTTTTCTTTGATACCCCGTGCGTCTGCACAATGATAGATATGTACTATAATGCAGTTCGCATTGCATTAGAGAATAAAGCCGTGAGGCAGATCTCATTACATAAGAACTTCTGCAACGTCCTCGGTGTACGCGGTTGTGGGCTCGGTCGGTGTGCCGCTCAGGTGGTTGCGATTGAATCAGGTTCCACGTCGATGTTGTCCTTCTCGGCCCAGTTCAGCCCATATCCGATATAATTGGTCGTCGTGAGTCCCTCAACAATGACCTGAGCCCACATTTTACCATCGTATTCGCATTTGAGTTCGGCCACGACGAAGCACCGCACATCTTTCGTAAACTCGAGCCCCATCATGGTGAAGTCGCCGACCACTATCGCACCTCTTGCCGGTGCCGCAACCTACTCCCAAGGTTCCACATCAACATCCGCATTCTCCTTCTCCACACACTCATACCCATGCTTCCTCATCGTCTCAGACATCTCCTCGACTCTAATCTTCGCCCACACCTTGCCTTCGTTGTCTGTAGTCTCAGCAAAATATCGGCCCTTGACGCCCTTCTTGTACTCGTAGTTGAAGCGGTGAAAGTCCTTGTTGACGTTGCAGGTAGTGCCCGCAAGCTGAAGATCGCCAACGGTGTGTGATGCGGGATTAAAAGCGGCGCCATCCGCCAGGAACTGGAAGTAGCCGGGAGGAATACTTTGGAGAATACGGACTCCTTCGCCGGTCAGGAGAGGTGGCATCATGAAGTCTGCTCGTGTTAGTGAGGCAAGTCGAGCACATGAACAGAGGTCGGCCGGACCTCGTTGTTATATTTGGGGAGATTCAAGGATAATTGAGTGCGTGTATATGGACTTCGGTGGCAGATTTGAAGTGCTTTTGGGAATGGACTACGGGCCGGCAAGAACGTTGCACAAGGCGCTTCCTTCATCTCGAAGATAGACTAGCGCACGGGTACTCACAGTGACAACACCCAGTTTCCAACTTACTTTCACCGCTGCTTTATGGAGGGCGTTTTTGCCTACGCTGTCGTGAAGTAGTACCGCTTTCACATGAACAAGCTCTCCAAATAGCTTCATGGCTTAAGGTGAAGTTTCACTACACTGCTTCCAGATATCAGAAGACTACATGAACCTAATAATACTACTGGTAATTTGTGTCGTAATTACCGTAGTATGCACTAACTGGTCATTGTTGATGTATCGTCCAACAGAAGCAATGATACCATAATCACTTCATGGTCCTTCAGTGAGTGTTTGATCCGGTCGCGCACATTAAACAAAGGGTATGGAAACATAGTGTAATGTTGTGAAAATGTTCTTATTCATTATCATAATGCAGTCATTACAAACTCGCTAATATCAAACGACACATACATCTATGCACTGACAACAGTGATCTTCTCGGTCTCAACAATATCCCTGCTGCTGAAGCCCAGGTAGAGCGAGAACTCGCCCTCAGGGATGACCCATTGCTGGCTAATGATGTCCCAGTAAGACAGATCACGACGCATAAGCTCAAAGCCAACAGTTTGGCTCTCGCCAGCCTCGAGGTAGACCTTCTCGAAACCACGGAGCTGCTTGGGGGGAGTGCCGGCAGGTGTGCTCTCGGGGAAGCCGACGTATAGCTGGGGAACGCCAGCACCAGCGACGGCGCCGGAGTTGGTGAGGGAGATGGTGACATTGTAAATGGACTCCCAAAGCGCGGGGTTACCACCGGGCATGATCTTTCGCTCCTCGGGGTGGGCGGTGATGTTGTTCTCGAGGGGAGTGGCGGTGACGTCGGAGATGTTGAAGGTGGTGTAGGAGAGACCGAAACCGAATTCGTAGCGGACAGAGATGTTGTGGGCGTCGAAGTAGCGGTAGTCGATCTCGAGCTTCTCATCGAACCAGGATTGCCAGTCAAAGTAACCGGTGGTGTTGATGGCCGTGGTGGGAGGAGCATTGTAGTCGGAGCCGTTGATTGCGATAGTGTAGGGAAGATGACCGCTAGGGTTGACGTCACCGTAAAGGATGTCAGTCAGCGAGTAGCCAGACTGCTCACCCGGGTAGTGAGCAGCGAGGATGGCGGTGACGTTCTCGTGGTCAGCCCAGGGAAGGGTGTTGATACCAGAGGAGTGAGTAACGACAACGGTGTTGTTGCACTTGGAAGCAACGTTCTCGACAACAGCGTTGCCGTCCCAGTCAACGCTGAGGTGCTCGCGGTCAGCAGCCTCCTCGGCCCATGTCTTCAACATGACGATGCAAACATTGGGAAGCTCGCCGATCCAGAGATCATCGAGGTCACTGTTCGCAACCTCAGTGTTGTTGAGGAAGTACTGAACGATCTTGGTGCCATTCTCAGCAGCGCGCTCCTGGATCGCGCGCAGAGGGGTAACGAGGGATGAGACCTGACCGGTACCGGAGCCACCACCAGCAACAAGGGTTCCATATTCGTAGATCTTCTGGTTCAGTTGCTTGTGCGGCTCGGCAGCGTCGTTACCGAAAACAGCAATGTTTCGGGGGCTATTGAGTGGGAGAGCGCCCTTGTTCTTGAGAAGGACAGAACCGGCAGCGCCGTGCTTGCGGATAAGAGCCCCGTGGTCACCACGGACGTCGCGACTGCTCTCACCAGTCAAGTTGAACTCACGAGTCCAGGTGTTGACAGGAGAGAAGGTGTTTAGGGCGGGAGTGCTAGGGTCGACAGTAGGAAAATCCTTGTCCTGACCGAGCCAGTAGTAGGGAGTCATGATGCGCACAATCATGTCATCGACGCGTGTAACATCGAGAGTACCGTTGTTGACAGCCAGCGTAACATTGCCACCAAAGAAGGAAGGAACGCCGAAGGCCTGACCGTAGGCGTCAAGACCACCGGGCATGTTCATGTCAAGACCAGCCTCGATGGAAGCAACTCCGCTGTGTACCGCACCCCAATCAGACATAACGTAACCCTGGAAGCCGAGCTCGGTCTTGAGCAGACCATTTTGAGTCGCAGAGTTCTGGCAGCCGTAAGAGCCGTTGATGCGCTGGTAGCTGCACATGAAAGAAGCAGCCTTGGCCTTGACAGCGTTGGCGAAGGGCCACAAATAGAGCTCGTGCATGGTGCGGTCATCGATGTTGGAGGACAGAGCAGCAACGTCAGTGTCGGTAGCAGTGCCGTTCTTGGTGTAAACTGGGTTGCGGGCAGTCTCCTGCTCGTTTCCAATGAAATGCTTTGCGGTGGCTTGGACACCAGCATCCTGGTGACCAGTGATGGTCTCCTCCATGGCAATACCAGTAAGGTAAGGGTCAGCAGCGAAGCCCTCCCAGTTACGGCCAGCATAGGCAGAGCGACCCAGAGGCCCAGCAACAGGACTAAGAGCAACGTGAGCACCCTTAGCCTTGAACTCCTGGCCCATGGCGTAACCGCGCTCGTGCATCAGTGTTCTATCCCACGATGCTGCAGCAGAAACACCAGCAGAGAAGACGCTAGCGTAGTCGGCGACACGAATGGCCAGAGGTCCATCCTGCAAGCAGAGACCCTGGAAGCCAAGACGAGGAATGGCAACAATGTTGCCGACGCAAGGTCCGGCCTGACCAGTGACCATGTCAGCCTTCTCCTCGATGGTGAGCTGATCAACGAAAGCACGGGCTTTCGAGACGGCATCCTCCCAACCTCCGGTTGCATCTGCGGAGATGTTGGCTGCTCCTTGTTAGGCTTCTTGTTGCTTCGAGCTCATGTGATCAGGTACTTACGAGAAGGGTAAACAGCGGGTGAGTGGCCACGATCACCCAAGATGGTCGTGTTCAGAGGTTGAACATACGAGAACGCATCTTCAGACCTCGAGCCAGAGTCATATGCTTGAGCATTGACAGCAGTCAGAACAGCAAGTGCTGAGAGAAGGGCTGCCATGGTGTGTAATGGACAAGTTGATAGTGCCTTGTTTCTCCAAAGATCGTCCATACCGGCCCTTATATACTCTGCATTGTACAAAAGGCACGTCCGCCTCTTGTCGGGTCGGCAACTCAACGTTCTCAGTACACTACATAGCAGTACTAGAGCTGCCGAACCGAAGTTTAGCCGTGTGGAGAGATGGATGGCCTGGAGGCTCCAAAACTGGGGCTTCCAACGTCATCCCAATGCTGGAGAAGCACTGCCAAGGTGTAAGTTCAAGTCTTGCATGCGCTTCGGCAGTCGTTGATTAAGTGTGACTCGTGCCGAAGTCGCAGGAAAACCGTCCGAAAGGGAGATCAATATGTAGGATGGAGGCACTGTGATCGTCAGCATGCTGTTGGGAAAGCATAATGACCGACTCTAGCGAGTCTGCATTCACTGCTTCCAAAGCAGTTGTTCGCAATTCACAGTGTACGGAATCTCCATCTCGTCAGGTGCTCATCTCCGCACAAGCCCATCGTCGACCTCCTCTTACGACTCGCGTCGGCGGGGAGACAGCGCTGTCCATGGGGCAACAAACAAATCAAGTCAAATCAAGTCCTCTTCACGGAGTACCGTCTGGTCTGTGTCAACATCGTGACATCGTGTGAGGTCCGTGAGCAGAGCCTCGTCTCGCGACCTCGTGGCTTGCAAAACTTGAGGAGTCGTCCGGTGCACTAGCTCAGATTTAGTATTGACTAAACCCAAATGAAGGATCACACCCGGCAGATTGCAACCCCAGCGTCTGTCACTCCGCCCAGTCCCCGCACAAAACTCCCCGCGGTGCAATTGCCGTGTTAGGGTGGGGTGCATGTGGGATCTCTGAATCTCCAACTTTTCCTTTCGTTCTCGTTCTTTGGAGTGAAAACCCTTCGCAGCGTGGAGGCTGGGTTGCAGTGCTTGCATCAAATGCGGGGCTGCACCGAGATTCGGCCGCTTTTATGGCAGAAACAAAGGTGATCCCAGTTCACAAGAGGCAGATACCCTTGTTCAGAGGACGACGGTTATGCCCCCGGCTGACGTTTCCCCAACGTGCCCAGATGTTCTCCGCAGTGTAGCTGACAAACCAAAAATGTATGTGCAGAATATCGAGTTATCACGCGCTAGGCGGAAAACTAAGGACTAGTATGATCAACAGAAGAGGAGCCCCACGTCCGAAATGGTGGGTGAGTGGATGACTGTGGCCCGAGGAAGCAACGGATCCAAGTTTTAAGCCGCAACAAAGGCAATGACAAGCAGAGAAACAATAGGCCCCACTTTCTACCATTACGCTGTATCCTTCTCCCCAGAGCGGTTTCCGGGGTGCGCACCTTGCCTGGCTGCCTCTCCAACACCCTCTGCGGCCTTGTCCGCAGTACCCTTCGCCTTCGCACCCTTCTTGTTCTTGTGGAACTTCGCAGTGAGGTTGCCGAGGTTGAGGACTCGGAACAGCCAGTACGTGAGGAGCGCAAGGAAAACGTTAAAAGAAATGAAAGCGAACAGGATGCCAAAGTTCCTCCAGCGCTCATTGTAGTAGATACTGCTGCCAGCCAGGAACTGGTCGGCGCTTGAAATTGCACAGTACTGACACGATGCAGTAGCATCCGGGTTCTGAATAGTACCCATCGCGGCCTGAGCGTAGGGACCAAGGTATTGACCGCAAGTCTGGCCTGCTGGTGGGTCGAAGACGGAAACTTCCGTGGAGCTGCAAACCACCTCGCGACCTGCCAGCATAGTGGAGACGATACCACTGATCCAGTATGTGAACGGCGAAACGCGGTACATGAAGATCCAGAATCCTGGAAGGTTACCAGGAGTCTGCAGGACACCGTTGAAGAGGATGGACATCAGAGTCAAGAGCGAGACCAATCCGGAAGCTGTCTCGGCGTCCGGCAGAGCAGCGATAGTCATGGCTGCGAAAGATGACGTGTAGACAAGGAGCTGGATGGAGAACATAAGAACCAGACCCTGACGTGCAGACTGTTGTCCAGCTCCGACCACTGGGTAGTAGAAAGATGCGAACATAAGAACACCAGCAACGATACCGTATGGCAGCTCCACCACGATGTTAGCAATCATGAATGCAATCCAAGAGTAAGACTTGCTAGGACGTTCACGACTCTCGTAAAGGTTACGTTGAGTGATGAAGAGCGGCTGGATTTGCTGAACGAGCGAGGAGAAGATAGTGGTAAGCATGAACACGCTGAAGATGATGTTTTGCATGCCAGCTTGAGTACTGTCGGCGCCATAGAAGGAGAAACCGATGAAGAGACCAGCGACGACACAGAGAAGGATCTTAGCGAGGACGTATTCGGGCATCCTCCAGTACTGCTGGAACACACGGTATGTGCACTCCCAGATCTGGGTCCAGAGTGGCATGGCGAATTCGGTGCCACCTGTCTCCTCGGCGATGTTGAGGTTAGAGTGCTGTGTTTGTTCATGGATCTCATCGATCTCGCGCTGCACCTGCTTGGCTGCTTCGCTCTTGTTCCAGACGTTGAACCAGTCTTCACCTTGGTCGTTCTTGCCTGCGTTGACAATCTCGAGCATGTACTCGGCAGGGTTCTCGTCCTCGCCGCACTTGCGAGCACCGCTGTTCTCGAAGTAGTGAAGCAGTTTCGATGAGTTCTCTCCAATCTCGCCAAAGTAAACGGTCTTTCCTCCCTTAGCCAAGAATAGGAGGCGATCGAACTCCTGGAAGAGGATGGCGCTAGGCTGATGGATAGTACACAAGATAGCCTGGCCAGCAGATGCGAGCTTGCGGAGGAAAGAGATGATGGACCAGGAACTCTGACTGTCAAGACCGGAAGTAGGCTCATCAAGGAAGAGCAGAAGCTTGGGCTTGGCTGCCAGTTCAACGCCAATAGTGAGAAGCTTGCGCTGCTCGACATTGAGACCCTCACCAGGGACACCAACAACAGCGTTAGCAAAATCCTCCATATTCAGCATCTTGATGACCTCTTCGACATAGTCGTACTTCTCCTGCTTGGGTACCGACTTTGGTTGGCGCAGCACGGCTGAGAAGCGGAGCGCCTCGCGGACAGTGCTGGTTTCAAGATGGAGATCTTGCTGTTGGACGTAACCTGTAGAACGCTGGAAACTGGGGTCCAATGGCTTTCCGTTTACGAGCATGTCGCCGGTGATGACGCCCATAGTGGTACGTTGAGCGAGAGAGTCGAGAAGAGTAGTCTTACCGGCACCACTGACACCCATGAGAGCGGTCAAAGTACCGGGCTTGACGTACCCCGAAACATGGTCTAGAAGTCGTCGAGGCTCGCCCTTGATCTCAATGTCGTAGACTACATCTCTCCATGTGAAGACACCCTTGGCCTCTTCGATAGCACTGACATCGGTCTCTCCGCCTTCGGCACGAGCAGCGGGTTCGGCAGACTCCTCGTCAGAAGATTGCCTGCCGCCCTTCTCCAACATGTAAGCCGGAACATGGCCGCGCTGGAAAACAAGCTGCTCGGCAGTGTTGGTGGTAGATGAGTTGACTTCCACAGCGATGAAATAAATGATCATGAAGAAGATCAAGAAACCAATTAGGATCCCGAAGTTGCGCCAGACGTGAGACCAGGAGTACTCGTAGGCGATTTCGATGAAGTCATCTCCAGAAACAAATGTCTGACCAGCCACTGAACCTTGCGAATTGCAGATGAATGAATTACCGGTTTGTGTGTAGCCCGGTCCCATGGGAATAAACTGGTCGCAGGGGAACTGAACTCCGTGGAACTCGTTCGCGACTAGGATCTCGAAAGCGTAGAACACTGGGTTGATCCACCGAATCCAGGAAAACCAAGGGTGCATGGACGGTATGCGAATGACGAAACCCGTGTAGATGACGAGGACCAGCACCAAAACTCCTGCTAGGGCCATGGCTTGCGATGCCGTTTTCGTCAAGGCAGCTGTCGATCGGAAGATGGCAGCCATGACAAAAGTGGCAATGTAGGTGACCAGGAAGTACAGGAAGAATTGACCGGGAGTGTAACGAAGCTGAGCGAGGAAGTACAAGACGATGTTGAAGACCGTTGCTTGAAGGAATTTGACTGGTATGTCTGCGACAATACCTGCTATAGCCTCTGTTGCTGGATGGTAGAATGCGTAGGAGTTGTGCTTCTCGACGATTGGTCTTTGAGAATACAGTCCGCTGATTTCACCAATAGAGGTCAGTGCGTTGAAGAGAACAGCCAAGAACAAAACCGCGCCTCTGCCTTGGAAAGAGCTGGTGCCTTGCGAGTGACCGAAATAGATGGAACCGACAATAAGAGCCATGACAAGGTTGAGCATTGCCTGAGTGGCGGTGGAAGCGAAGTCACCCCAAATGCGCTGATATGCTCGGACAGTGTTGAGCTTGACCTGCATTGGAATGCTGATGAGGTAAGGGGACTTGGGACGGGCATGCTTGGCCTGGATATAGTTCTTCTTCTGGCGGAACTCATGGAGTGTCGAGTGCTCGCCAACAGGGTTCTCTTGCTCGAATTCCTGGATCTCCTTGAGCAAGCTCTGGTATTCAGGTGAATCACGCCAGTACTTCTCGAAGTCTTCTGGTGTGCGAGGGACCTTGTTCTCGAAGCCCTTCACAGGCTGTCGCTCATCAGGGTTTGTGACCGCTGTCAAGAAGTCACCTGTGGTTTGGCGTGGAGGGCAGTACCAACCCTGGCGTTCAAAGAAGCTTCGTGCCTTATTGGCAGGTCCGAAGTAGATTTGACGCCCCTCGTACAGAACTGCTGCCTTGTCAAAGCAATCGTACACACTCTGGGAAGCCTGATAGATCGCTACAGCAGCAGCGCCACCAGTCATGTCAGATCCAATTCTCAATGAGCGGACGAACTTGAGCGCCGTCGCCGAGTCCAATCCACGAGTTGAGTTGTCCCAGGAGGCGAAAGGAGCACCAGCAAGCAACATCTCAGCAACGGAGACACGTTTCCTCTCTCCACCACTAACTCCACGAACGAAGTCGTTTCCTACTTTAGTGTTGTAGGTGTGGCTCAAGCCAAGGACAGCCATAACGACCTGCGCGCTGTATTTGGCGAAATCTTTGCGGGACGTCTCGTGAGGACGATGCGACGGTGTACGAACTGCGGCAGCGAACTCAAGAGTCTGACCGACTGTCAAATGTGGGAAATGCTTGTCAACCTAAATCGAAATAGTTAGTAAACAGATTAGTGATGAAACTCGACAGTACACAAACCTCTTGGTTGTAGACTGTTTCTCCCTTGAACTCCTTGATAACCTTGCGCTGCTCAATACCGTTGTAGTGAACTTCAGATCCATCAATCTCGAGGCCGTGGAGTTCTCCAGTCAATGCTTTGAGGAGTGTCGAACATCCGGATCCAGGTCGACCGAGGACAACACAAAGCTCGCCAGCCTTGATTATACCATCGAAGCTGTGCAGAATCTGCTTGCGATCCTTCTTGCCGAAACTGATAAATTCTTGTGGTCGAATTGGCGCCATCAGCATATCTGCGACAGTCTTCTGTACCTGCAATGCTGCGCCTGATCCGTACACGTTGAGGCTCTTGTAGACAACAGAAAGTTGCTTCATCTCGATTCCTTCTTCCTCAAGATAGTGCCTGAAAGAGCGCAGGAACTTGGTAAGATCGAAGGAATCACTGCTGGGGTCCATGGTTGGGTCGTTGGGCTCTGCAATACTGTGACGCGTCCCTTGCCTGGACATGCTCAAGCTAGTGAGAGCTCGCCGAAGGTCCCTTCTCTCTTCATTATTGATTTCAGGTTTTGTGGCTGTGCGCTCCATGGGTGAACTCTCGCTATCGTCAGTGTCTGATATCTTGGTTCCTTTCCTGCTGCGGCGCTGGCCATTGGAGCCATATCTGGTGAATGAAGAGTCGCTCGAGCTTGCTGTCGCTACCTTTTCGAGAGGCTCATGGTCATCCGTTCCATCTTGAAGGTACTGATCGCTGTGTGTTGTATCCGTGTGTTTCTCTGAAGCATGGAAGAGCCCGGCACCAGCTCCAGCTCCAGCACCGGCTGCAGCTAGTCCGCCTGCTGTGAGGCCGCCGGATGTATTTGTGTCCCGCTTCTCAGTGTTTGAGAACAGTCTATAGCTGCCATGTGATGTCGAGCGCTTCAGCTCTGCCTGATTGGAGGACTGTTGCCCATCAGGGTAATATGTTTCGCGACCAGACTCTGTTCGGAGGATGCCATCGAAAGGGTTTGCTAACTCGCTGACCCTGGATGTATGCTGTAATTGGGAGGTTGTTTCATTATTTTGCGTCGAAGATGTTGTTGTGTTCGAGAACACCTGGTTGCTGGATGACATGTTGGTGAAGTCACTTTGGGATCGGTGATTCTGAGCCATGGCTGGCAACAACAGGTGTGAGTGTGGAAGCAGCGATTGTTATTGATCGAGATTGTAGCACTGCTTGCAGCATAATAAACATTACTGTACCCCTTCCCCCTCATTACATCAACGCTCAGGATTCCACCTATTCGGATCGCGGATCGATGTGTTGCCCATGGTTAGCTTCTGCGCTGAAAACGGACGAAATGGGCGTCACACGGACGCTCCATCCGATAGGGCAGATCTGAGAGCATCTTTACGCTACGGCGGGAAGATCAGGACGAAAAGAGCGCTTGCAGACACGTTGCCGCTCCAGACTCGCATACTAGAGGGTTGGTCCCTGGGCGTCGAGTGGATTTCAACGTGGGAGCGATGACGTCGTGCTTACTCGGATGCCTGCGGAAACTGAAGCACGTTCTCAACAGCTTGGAAAGCACCAAATTAATGCGCCTCTGCAGTCAGTTCGTGGTTCTAACAAGTTGCAGTCGGTAAAAGTTGCTGCAAGTAACCGATGCAGCAAGAGCCTGTGCAGATCGCCAGATTTGTTCTGGCGGCCATTCGTTCTCGGTCTCTGCCGAAGAGCTTGAACACACTTGGCTCAGTCTTCGGACAAGCGAATCGGAGCAGCTCAGCCTTGCTGCAGTTTGTAGATGATATCCTCGTACGATTCCCTGCTCAACGTTGAGATCCGGGACCGCATAGCTACCGCTGACTCATGTCCTCAGCCTTGCGGATGCAGCCGAGCCAGACCCATCCTTCACCACGGCGCACGTCACGACGCCTTAGTCTTGTACGCCTGACTCGCAACAGCATAGCGAGGAACTTCATGAACAATGACTATCGAAGAGTTGTTTGTTGATCGTTCTTATGGGCGCTGCATGTGCCTGCTACCGGCAACTACCAGCACACTATTGTGTGCTCTGTCAAAGTTCGAAGCAATGAAGTAAACGGCCCTTCCTCGCATTGAGGAAATGAAAGCATCCACCCCTCACTTCGAGTTTCTCGTCCAGCTGTCAAGGCGCGCCCGAGGCAATTGAATGCATACATCCCTCAATTCAGCTGCTTATTCCACTTGGCGAGACACGACCGGAGCGGTGAAACCACGAGGAGCACGTTGTACACCATGGCGATCTTTGCTTGCTTGCCATCGGCGTTTTTGACAACGATCAATTCTTGAAAAAGAAAGTAGTACTGAGCCGGGAGGCAGTGCGAGTATTGTCTTACGTGGCGCACATCTCTTGAGAACATCTACGGACGAACTTTCGTTCTCGTTCAGATACGGCACGCCCACTGGGCCCACACAAACACCGGACTGCCGAAGCTCCGTGGTGACGGCAGAGGCGCAGCAGCCCGGGTACGGATTTCGAGCCGTAGGGCTGAACAAGGCTCAGTTCGAAAACTCCACACAAATGGCGGATGTCAAGCATGAAAGCTCCGAACCTCTTTTGTGAAACTCCTGTTGCGTCGCAAGCGTCCGCACCCACGTGCAACCTGGATATCAACATCGCGAATAGTTGCTATAAGAATCCTATCAGCATCGAAGTCTCCTTCGCTGCACCATGCAATGTGTTGTTACTCCAAAAGAAGGCAATCAAGCACCATGAGGATCTTGTCTGCTGCTCCTTTCTTGATCAAAAGAAATGGATACTGCAGCCCATGTCTGGCTGCTTCCGGGCCTTCCAAATTCTCTAGATGCAGACCTATGTGCCTCCAGGGCTGCTTTGTTCTGCATCAATTTGGAGTTAGACCGAGAGTATGTACCACTCCCCAATTCTTCGATGATGTGTCATGTGTTTCACACACTTGTACTCTCCAGTGCATCACTGAGCTGGCTCAGTATAGAGTGTCCTCTTCTTCTCCTCAACCATCACCTCTGCATCACAACACGATTACGTGTCCTTCAAAAAAAGACATCGCTGGCGTGCATGGAGCGTCTGCCTTCTTCCTTGCTCCAGACAAAAATCTCAAGCTCCCTTACCATGTTCTGTTGCCCTCGAGCAATTGTGAATCTACCTCGTATCCTTCAGCATGCTTTTCGAGTCCCAAGTTGCCTTCCAAGATCACAAGTCGTATGCACACTGGACATGACCTTACCAAAAGCACCATGCTCCCGCTGCCATGTTCGCCGTTCGGCGCCTGTTGGCCCACAGCACGAAATCGAAATGCCTATCCCATCGCGTCATGTGCGAGGAGCTTCATACGATTGTGTAGATATAACACCTCTCGTCAACGCTAATCTGCTCTCCAACAACACACTCGAATCCTTGGAACCAAAATTAGCCACTCGCGCGATTCGCATGGAGTAACTGTCTGTCTCCAGCCTTCCAACGAAAGAGCTTCCACAACATGCAGTTTGCTCTGCTGCTACCCAGCACCTGTGCAAACACACGTTCGTTCAAATCTTCTGCTCTCTGTTCAGCATCAACAATCGAGTTGGTATACATGCATGTGGTCCTTCCAAGAGAGGTTCTTCGACGTGGCATGTGTGGTGCGTGCACTCGCCAACACACAGGTTTGATATCAAAAGTGTTGAGCTTGTCTCTGATGCGGACCTAAGTCCCTCATAAACCGGCTATATATTCTTTAAAATTTTGATTACATTTATTTCCACCTCACTACATTCACCTTGAAGTTTCAAAAGGAACTCTGGGTCACTTATAGAGTGTCTGTCTTCTCAGCTCACAAAACTGTTGAGAAGCGGCTGCCTATGGGCAGGGAGATAACGGTTGAGCTTATTAGGGAGGAACTACTGTTCATTGGGTAACTACATTTGTTAGTGTGTTTACCGGTTTAAAAGCCCTGGTCGAGGAACTCCTGCTCCTCACGGAGACAATACCCACTTTTATCATAACAAAAACTATTAATCTGACCGTCCATGTGCCGCTAGTCCTGAGCACTTCCATGATTCAAAAGCACCATTCAGCATACGCTTGAGCACGACGCCTCTTCTTGAACCTCCGAAATTCTGCTAAGATCTTGTTATGTCCTTTCGAAGGCACACAAAGCAGTCTCAAGTCTCCTTCCTGCGTCTCTGCTCGAACAGTGAACCTAAAAACCGTGTGTTCCGAGCTTCATGGCTGCTGATTGTTGCCTCCGAAGGTATAGACTTCCGTCTCCTGCACGGGATATTTTTCTCTCTCTCATCATTGCAACTGTCTACTCCCATCAAAACCCGTCGGAAGTGGTATGTGTCTGCCTGCCTCCAGCCTCTCCCAAACCGAAATTTCAACCAGTCTCTCGCCATGTTTGTGCTGGCTTCAAGGCTTTCCAAGAAATGCACGCTTTCGCTTTATGTGCCGTGTGCGCCTTCCCAATGCTTTTACAACACAGCGTCATATCTGCGAAAAAGCGAACCCGATCTAGCGGATGAATTGTCTACACGTCTTCTCTTTCGATATCAAATCTCACAACTGCAGCTCTCACCTAGGTATGTTCTACTACCTGCAGCGCTCAAAATTCTTCGCGCCATCTCGACATGAGTCTGTTCCGCTCTGCTCGGCTCTTGTCTTGGTTGCTGGACAGTATATAGGCAGCTTCTCCTCCGCCCTCTATCTGTCTCTTCATCTTCAATCTTCTGTCAATATTCTACAAACCCAAAAAGAAGGACATGAGGTACCATGATCTCTCTGCTTTCCTGTTCTCCAAAATCAAAAGTATGGTGAGGCTTGGACGACGTCTTGTTAGCTTGAAGCTTTTCCACGACACTGAAAAGATGCGCAAGATCAGCTCATGGAGTTGTGTATTCTCCAAGCACGCTGTTGGCATCGAAAATGGAAATGTGGTAGCTGTATGTCTTGTCCCAGAACGTCCGCAACACTGTGACATGAGTTGAACTTTGACAATGGATACTTCATGTGTGCACTCTTGTGCTGTGCGTCAGCGCAATGTGCACGAGAATCGATGTCTGGACAGCTACATGTGTGGTTGACTGCAGCAAAGGATCGTTCATGTGGAGAACGGTGCCGGTGTTTGCGTGTATGACCGTTTCATTACCAATCCTTTAGGGCGGTAAGCATGCTTGACTGTCCATTTGCGCATCTTTCTTCCAGACCATCATCTGCAGCGCTCCGAATTCGAAACAAGTGAACAAAACAAACTATGTCTGTTCTCCCTCCTCTCGACCCCACCTAGTGCTCCAACTGCGGCGTAGGCGGCCTACTTCTCTCAATCCCAAAAAACGCAATATTCTCCCTAACCGCCACATACTCACTATCCGCATACCCCAACTCCTTCACAATCTGCGTCGAGTGCATGCCCTTGATCCTCCTAATCTCGCTCGCCGAGTAGTTGACCACCGCTCTGCCAATCTCAAAAGGCGCCGGGTTTGTGAGTTCGTAGAGCGGCGTGTGCGTCCCGCTCGAGGTGTGGGAGTGGGGGTGGGAGTTTGCGTGGGGAAGGGGATGCCGCAAGGGAACGGGCGCGTGAGTGTGTGTTGCGTGTGTGGGCGTGTGGGGTGCGGGTATTGTGGGCAATGTGACGGGGGCGGAGGTTGTGTTTAAGCGTTTGACGACGACGATGCGGACGGCTTCTTGCTGGGCGAAGTGGCCCTCTACGTCTACGATGCCTACTGGCAGCAGGCCTGCTTTGTCGTGGAGTGCTTTGAAGGCCCCGTTGTCGATGTATATTGTGCCGTGTGGCGCGAGGCCGTGCAAGATCCAGAAGTAGCGGTCGCGGATTGGATGGGAGATGGGGAGGAAGCGTGTGTGTAGTGGGACGGGCTCGGCGTCGGTCTGTGGGGTGGGGATGGTGGTGCTCTGATTCTCGGCTTCTGGGAGCGAGGACGTGGAATTTGAGAGGTCGTGAGAGGCGGCATGGAGGTTTGCTACTGCATCGTCTTGGAAGTTGCTGATCGAGTTGCGACTCGACATGTTCGCCTTCCGTTGCTGCTCTGCGTGCTTGATGATGGCTGAGATGTTACCTGGTTTCGAGCTCTTCGTGATGACCGTTGTAACACCCGCACTTGTCGCCAGTCGCGCGGCAACGATCTTCGTGCTCATTCCTCCTGTGCCTAGTGCTGACCCTGCCGAGTTCACGTCTGCAGTCAACTCTGAGATGTCCTCTACAACCTCGATAGCCTTCGCATCTGGGTTTGTACGTGGGTTCTTGTCATACAGACAGTCGACATCAGTCATCAAGAACAGATAGTCCGCCTGCACCATGCCCGCCGTGATCGCACTCAGTGTATCGTTGTCACCGAACTTGATCTCCGTAACAGCCAATGTGTCGTTCTCGTTGACGATTGGAATGACGCCCATGCTCAATAGCTCGATGAAAGTATTCTGCGCATTTTGGTACTGCGTCCGATCCGCGATGTCGTTCCTCGTCAATAGCACCTGCGCAATCGGCTGGCTCAGGTTCCCGAACAGCTGATCCCACAGCGCTAGCAGTTTACACTGGCCGATAGCAGCCAGCGCCTGGACTTTGGGAAGGTGTTTAGGACGGCGGGGGAGGTTCATTTGTCGCAGCCCAACGCCGATAGCGCCAGAGGAGACGATGACGACGCGGTGTCCGTCAGCGTGGAGCTTACATGCTGTTTCAACGATGAGGGAGAGGATGGAAAGGAGGGGCTGATGTGTCTTCTCGTCTACTATGGAACTTGTACCTATGCAGGATTGGTAAGTTGGTCTTGTACGTATAGCGGGGGATGTGTACTGAGAATGTATTACCGAGTTTTATGACCACGGTCAATTGGCCGGGCATCTTCTTCATGTGGACAGCCATAACTCCAGATACTACTACAGAACGACACGGGAGCAAGAAGGGGTTATATATACGTCCTCACCGACAAAGCAAGGTGGTGTTCAGCATGACTGGAAAGCGCCCAAGATTCCGAGCTCGGGCAACTGCGTCAACAGCAAAGCTCCTCTTCCTCCCATTGGCTCCCGCATCGCGCTAGACCGACCATCATCGCGACTTTTGCGACGGCAACGACAACGCGCCCTAACCGTCAATTCACTCTCCACATTTCGCGACAACCATCTCTGCGCCCTACGCATACGCCCCACAGCTGCGCCGCCATGTCGAACCCCGAACAAGCCGCTGACGGCGCCCATCCCGCTGCCATTGCGCAACCTGCCCCAACACCCCCAAAGCTTGACCCGGTATACTACAATTGGAGCAACACCTTCTCTATCATGATGGGTCGCATGACCGGCAACCGGGACGTGGAGTTGGAAAAGAATTACTTCACCGAACTCGACGCAACGAAAGCCGAATCGATATGCAAGCGCTGCGAATCGAACAAGGACTACCTGCTGCAATACAGCCCCATAATCCGGTTCCTGTCAGATGAGGTATACAAGTTGGGCGGCGATCTGAGCAAAGACAACATCCTGTGTAGGATGTGCACGAATGAGCAGTCCGGGGGTTTCAGTCTGGATTACGGAATCTTGCTGTGCGCGAACAAGTTCAGGAACAGAGGGCATCAGGAGGATACTATGGCGCATGAGATGGTGCATGCGTGGGATCATCTAAAGTGGAAGGTGGATGCTAGCAACTTGAGGCATCAAGCGTGCTTAGAGGTAAGCATACCAAGCTATCTGTAACAGCAATCGAATGGGAAATGGAGGCGCTAATATGTGGGCAGATTCGTGCCTCTACACTATCGGGCGAATGTCGATTCGCACGCGAGTTCTTCACGCGGAACCAGTGGAGTATCACCGAACAGCTACAAGCCTGTGTGCGCCGACGCGCCGAACTATCGATGATGCAGAGGCCTCAGATCAAGGACGAGGCGCATGCGAAGAAGGTCGTGAACGAAGTGTGGGAGAGCTGTTTCAACGACACGAGACCATTTGACGAAATCTACCGGTAACAAATGATCTAGACCTTGGTCAGAAAGATCAGCTGGGCATACAAGAAGATGGGTATAAAGTGTATGATATTGTACAGAAAGTGGCATTTGCATAGCGACGGCGTAACTTGGAATTGGACATACGATATCCTCACTTCATCCAACTCCGTTATCGATCGTGTCGTATCAGGGTATTTGAAGCTCGCATAGATGACAGCTATCCCCATAGAAGATTGTCGGCTGAAACGTATTCGGGCTAAGTGTAGGTATACAATCCATGGCACACCTACATGGATCAGCAGTCCCGCTTCTCCGAGTGGGAGAGATGGAGAGTGGCACGCAAGTCGACAGGGGCAGGTATAGTGTCTTGCCTACCTCCCGGGTAGCTTTCGTCTTCGTTGATGCTGGAAAGACGCCGACGCCGCAGCTACCTTCCCATCCATTCTTGGTGCTCAGCAGCACCGTCATCAGCTCCGCGACTTCCTCCGCGGTACCTCAATATTCCAGTGTTGAGAAGCTCGAGAGCATCAGGCCCGCCGTGCAGAGACTGCTTTGGCAAAGAGCACTAAGCAGGTGGATAATCTTGGGGGCCTTCAGCTTACTACATAAGATAACCATACAGCTAATTTCTGTGGAGATGTACAGTATCCCTAGTTATTGTAATGTTTGGTGGATTGGAAGATGCAACAATCGCAAGTTCCATTGTTTCCAACCATACGAACCCAAGCAGGAGCTGGGAGGCAGTCAGGACACCGGTTCAGTATCAGTATCCGAGACGGGGAAACCACGAATTCTAAACCTGGAAAATCGAAGACCCTATGCGGGACCCCTGGAGGTAGTCAACACACCACTCTGAAGACCTAATTGTGAAAATCGTGAATTTGGATTCTGGAAATCATGGTTCTCAAACGGGTCCCGGGAGGTGCTCGATGGGCTGAACGCTTGCATGATGCTGTCGTCATGTTTGAGCGTGTCACTACTACTGTGCAAGGCACTGCTGAAGTCATGGAGAATTGCACTGCATTCATGTTGAAAGAGAACTTTGTATTCACCCCCAGCCCGAAAGAACACCACGTAGCGACACAAGAGTCGCAAAAAGAAATCGGCATTGCTCCAAGGCAGAGAGAAGCAAGGCCCTCGTCATAAAACTAGCAAGTACCATCAAGATTCAAAAAGTTTACATACCATGAGCATCGCCGGACTAAGAGTCCTTCTTGGAAGTGACATGCCAGTAGATATTGGTCGACAAGATCACCCACTGTTGCAGAAGCGGCGACGAACCCCCAGAACGCCGACCACCAGGTGAGGCCCTAACCGTGTTGCCCTCGGTCTTCTCAGTCGCGTTGGCAATGCTCTGGGCTTCGAAGAGGAAGTCGATTTTGCGAGGGCGAGGGCGGAAGATCTGGACAACGACCACCATCACCATTGCTGTCGACCTTGAGAGCGAAGTGGCCAAGAACATCTTCGTGTTCTTCAAGAAGAAGCTCGATTATCATATCGACCCCGTATCTCCTCCGCAAGGAGGAGATGGATGACCGTGGAGATTTTATCTTAAAAGGTGGAGCGCATCTTCGTGCGCAGTGATATCGAAGACGAATTCGTCGGCGACGACGAAGCTGCTAATGATGGCGAAGAGGAAGGCGATGAAGAGAGCAGAGTACTTCATGCTGAATTGTAGTGAAGAAGTGCGTGACAGAAATGTTTTGAGGTGAACTTGAAAAAGGCGATTGCGAAAGAGCTTGAAGCTGCACAAGTGCTGAAAGCGAAATGAAAATTTACCCCGAGCAAAACTGCGCGAAGAGCTGGTGCCAGGCGACGACATGCAGTTCACCTCCACCTTCCCCTACAGAAGGGTCATGTCTAGAGGAAGACCTTGGGTTTGGTGAAGTGCTCCAGCGCTTGTCAAAGCAACATCAAAGCAAACGCGTACTGTGTTGAAAATGTCAAAGAACCGAAAAGAGGAGACGATAACTGAGTGAAAGTGTGGTTTGGAGGTAGTCACGTAGAGAGGACGGCTTCACATGCAACAACGTGGTTGGCGTTTTTGACGCAAACATATGGGTTGCCGGGTAAGCATCTCGAATACTCAAGGGAAGCATGGTGGTTCAGATAGGCTTTTTGGGTTTGACATCAATAGGGACAGGCCAAAAGATGTCGGAGGGAGTGAAGATATCCACCGATTGCCATCTGTTTGCTAGCGGTCTGCTGCACTGATTGTCCAGCTCATTCGGTTAGCTCGGTTTGCTTCCCCACCCCTTCACTGCTGTTCCCTTCTACTATATTATCTTGATCAATTCCCCGCTCTTGGGATCAATCAACATCTAAACCCTTCAACAACAGAACATCCACAAGTGCGTCATATACTTCTGGGAGGACGGAGGGAGCAGGACATCAGACCGATCTCGTTTGTTTTTGGTCGTGGTCTTGGAAGAAAAGACAAAAGTCCAGTCCATGAGCTTTGTCGCCCAGCTCTTTTAATGTTTCGAGGGTAATGTACAGGTCCGGCGCAGAAGTAGAAGAGAAGGTCAGCACGGGCAGCGAAAGTGTTATGTAGCTTCCCAGTATGTCATGTGATCAAATATATGTTCATTGAATGTAAAAACCGAGACTGTTCGTATGCTGTCTCCCCAGCGCCAAACGTTGTATGCTGAATGCACAACCCACCGAAACGCCAAACAATGCGCTAACCGAGACCCAAACGCCGCCCCAATCGTAAATGTCACTATTACACAAAGATTGCCGAAGCTCTCGTCGAGGTTTCATCCCCAAAGAGTGTAGCCTCGATGCAGCTGAGCTCGTTCAATCAGAGCTCTTCCTGAACTTGTCGCCAGAATTGCGTTCGTACGCTCTCGATGAGCCTTTGCAGTGTTTGATGATCCAGGGGTGTCTTTCGACGTTCTCGAGGGAGATGCGCTTCTCGGGATCCAGTACGAGCAGCTGCCACAAGTTAGTAAACCAATCCATTTGTGAACCGAACAAGTCCAACATACCTGCTTGATCAAGTCCTTCGCCTCCGCACTCACAAACCCAGGCACAGTGTATTCACCCCTCACAATCTTTCTTTGCGTCATGACCTGCGTATCCTCAAACGGCGCCTCGCCAACCAAGAACTCATACGTCAGAACACCCAAACTCCACAGATCGACCTTCTCAGTGTAGTAGTTGTCCTTCGACGCGCCCTTAAGCATCTCTGGGGGAAGGTAATCGAGCGTTCCGCACATGGTGTTCCGGCGGTTGTTGGGCGCATGCACACTCCAGCCAAAATCCGAGATCTTGATCTCGCCATGCACGCCGACAAGGATGTTCTCCGGCTTGATGTCGCGGTGCATGACGTGCTTCTTGTGGAGGTACTTGAGCGCCGAAGCCATCTGTGCAATGTACTGTGCGGCCTTCCATTCGGGGAAGCGCTGCTCGCGGCGCAGGTGCTTGTACAGCTCTCCCTTGCCGGCGAACTCGAGGATGAGGAAGATGCGCTTTGCGTCGTGGAAGTGGCCGAAGAGGCGCAGGACGTTGGGGTGGGCGAGGTGCGATTGGATTTCGATTTCGCGGCGGACTTGCTTTTCGACTTTGCCTTGTTGGATTTCGGACTTGTGGAGCACTTTGAGGGCGCAGACGAAGCCGGAGGCGCGCTCTTTGGCGAGGTAGACGCGTCCGAACTTGCCCTTGCCGAGGGGCTTGCCGATCTCGAACATGCCCAGATGCCATTGCTTGGGTGTGGCGGGCTGTGTGTAGATGGCGGTGTCTGTGAGTGTGCGGCGGTGGCCTTCAGACGGACGTGCTGGCTGTGCGGCGGCGGCGGCGGCGGCGGCGGCGGCCTTGGCGACGTTCGCGTTGACGAGCTTGCTTGAGTTGACGGCGGCGAGCTTCTGCAAGGGCACTTTGATGCGGTTCGCTGCTGAGGCTGACGACGACAGGCCGGTTATCGATGCGGTGGTAGACAATGAAGCCTAGCTCTGTTAGGCACGGCGAGGCGCAGCAGGAGAGAAGCGCCCTACCTTCGACTTGTGGTAGGTAGCAGTCGAGACCACCTGCTCGTCGTTCTCGTCGTTCACAGTGATGCGCTCAAAGGCGGCCTCCAGGGTTGAAGCTTCAGCCATGCTGCTAGGATGCTGGAGAGAGTGCGCGGATGAACGAGGGGACGCGGCAGTCAGGTAGTCGTATGTGAAGTAAGAAGGCTAGCTAAAACCTGTTGTTAGTATGCTATCGGCGATGTCCTGCGTCGCTTGGGTGATGATGCTGGGATGGGAAGCTGGGAAGCTGGGCAGCGTTCGTGCAGAGCTGACTAGCGATAAACAAGCGCCCGTTGCCGCGGTGATGATGTGCCGCCGACTTGGAACATCCCGATTCACCCCACTCGACCCCACGTTGCGCTCATCGAGTTCGCGGTCGCAGCCAGCACCAGACGACGCTGCTAGGACACTGCGATACTGCGGTACTGCGATACTGCGAGACTGCGAGACTGCGAGACTGCGAGACTCCAACATGGCCACCCGCAACGGCGCGCCCGCCGACACAGTGGCTCCCGGCCACGCCGACACGTCCATCACGAAGGAAGGCTTCAAGATCACCACGCGCAAGCTGCCCATCCTCAAAGCCGGGCCCATCGACGAGATGACTAAGGCGCTGGGCATAACACCGCCCGAGATGATCTTCGGTGACAATCTCACGCGCATCGAGCACGCCGCAAGCGGGTGGTCGATCGAGTTCAACGCCTTCGATGCGCTGGACCGCGTCGACAAGACGGGCGAGCACATGTTCAAGGTGTCGTACTCGAAAGAGTGGCAGCAGAACCGCCAGAAGCAGTTTGAGGATATCAAGGAGGTGGTCAAGCCGTTTGACTGGTCGTACAGCACAGACTACAAGGGCACGACGCCGGAGACGCCCAAGTTGGAGCCTACGACAACGCCTATACCGCTCGCACTCTTGCGCAGACCGGACCCGATACAGTTCTTCGACGAGGTGGTGCTGTACGAGGACGAGCTGGCAGATAACGGTATTGCGATGCTGTCGTGCAAGATCAGGGTCATGCCTGCGCGCTTACTGCTGCTGGTGCGCTTCTTTATGCGTCTTGACGGCGTCGTCTTCCGGATACGCGACACCAGGGTGTTTGTCGAGTTTGGCACAGCCGAGGTCATCAGGGAATACACAGCGAGGGAAGAAAAGTACGAAGAGGTCAGGCGGAAGCTGGCAGGGAGGAAAGAAGACGTGCTTGCCATTATGCGCGATCCGAATCGTCTGGCAGAACATATACCCGTCGTTGAGCAGACTCTGGATGGAGTGAAGCTGAAGTGAAGGGCATGCGCTATGGAGCTAGACACGATAGAGGAGAACGTCGCCGCGCAAAAGCAGGGCCGCGCAGGGCCGCGCAGGGCCGATACGTCCTACATATGATGGAGATGAGCCATGTGTACGTCTCTACCTGTTCCGTCACGACAGAGCTAACGGCAGCTTAGACGTGCGAAGAAACATCGGTATTCGATAACGATGAATCACGACCGGCGCACACATAGCAGCCATACATTTGCTAATCTGCTTGGTGCCTGCCCGTAGCAGCGCCCAACCATACCTCACTAGATCTCGATCACAGTCACGCTCTTCCCCTCGTTCCCTTCCCACGCCGCATTAACCACCACCATTCTTCCCACCCTTGCCTTCCTCACAACCGCGTACCTCGCCCAGACAACCATCCACACCACGAACGCTACCAGCCCCCCTTCCCCGTCGTCAAGCTAGCACAACACCACTGCACGCACCCCCTCGGCCGCACCCTCCAAACCTCCTCCAACAACCCCCCATACCCCGCACCCTCGCGATCAAAGATGCCCTTTCGCCGGCCCATGTGTAACCAGCACATCCGTGCTCTCCGGCACCGTCCCCTTTCAAAAACGCCCCCTTCACCTGTTTCAGCGTCTTTGGGCTCCCAAAGACACGGACCGTCCGATCGCGGACAACGATGGAGGTGGCGAGTCCTAAACGTAGCTGGTGGCGGGCCGGTTTAGATCGCCCTTCCTCTGCCACTCGCTCCCACTCCCCTTGAAAAGCTCTGCTGGGGCGGAGTAGCAGCTTGTCGCAAGCAGTAAATCGTGGTTCCCTGCTATGACGAGCTTATGCTTGTGCGTCAATCCGCTGAGCCAGTTCAACTGGCGTTGTAAGTCGGGGAATGTCCCGTGGATGGTGAGGTCGCCGGTGTGAATGAGGATTTTGCCGGGGGGTGGGGGGGTTTGCACAGTATGGGTGTCGGATATGCAGACTATCTTGATGGGGTTACGTGCATGTGGAGGAGTGATGGGCGGCTGGTGGGCGTACATCCATTTCGCTATGAACAGGAATGGATCTTGGATGAAGCGCTGCCATGCTGTTGGTGGTGCCTAGACGAACAAACATTTTTTATCGACGAAGGCATATTGCTGGTTCAAGTTGCATTGAGCGTCGACATGCAACTTGTACTGTGTATGAAGGGAAAAGAAGGATTGCAGGATATGATCTGTAATGGAACCTGAGTGGAAGTAATTTTGGCTACCGAAAAGTGTCGTCCGTGGTTGTGGGCAGCAGTATTCGTTTCGAAAACGTATGTTGTTGCGGTGATTAGTTTCCACGTTCTTGATGTTGCAATTTCATGCTGCGGTTCGTCTGTGGTCGATTGTACCATGGTTCGCACAACCTATACATTTGATTAAAATTATTGCGCAACACCCATAACAAATAAGACCTTGGAAACGATAGGGTTCGGCCGTGATTAGGCCGCTAAGCCTCTCTCAAGACAAAAAAAAAAAGAGTTCGGACCTGCGACAAAGGTAGGTGCCAGTGCAAAAAATGATTCGACCCAGACTTGAACTGGAGACCTTCAGTGGACCAACTGGAATGTTAGACTGACGTGATAACCAACTACACCATCGAACCTTTGCTGTGATTTATGAAAGAATTGACATTCATGCCGTTTATATACTTATTACAATGACCCTTGGAGCCCACACCGGCTCCTTTCCTTGCGTCATCTGTTCCACAGCCAAGTAGCTCCTCAAACAAGTAGTCCTCGACCTCGGTAGACACGTCGGAACTGGCCTCCCACGAAATGCTGCTGACAACGATCCTTCCTTGAATTGGAAGCTACCACAAATCACGCAAAGGTTCGATGGCGCAGTTTGGTTATCACGTTAGTCTAATATTCTAGTTGAATCACTGAAGGTCTCCAGTTGGGGCGTCCAGCCCTGCAGGCTGGCTATCGCATCGCGATAACTTAGACCTCGGTCCATAGTCTTTCTCTAGGGTCTATCAGATTGATAAGACAGATGAATAGAACCAAGTCTATTTCGTCAGACAGAACCGTAGCTTAAATGACTTGATTACTGGTATTCGTGACTTCTATCCACAGCTCCAACTCTCTTATGCGAACCACGGTTCTTCCTCGTCTCCAAATTTTGTATCGACCGCGATCATGCCTACTCTTCAGCTCATTGACCTATCCTCCTCACCTCACCTCCTCCTTCCCTTCTCCCCTCAGATCGCCTAACCTCAGCTGATTCCTCTTCCCCAAAATCCTCAGCGTGTTCTGCTTCTCAATCTCCGCCATCTTATCCCAATTCGCAATCCTCGAAAGCGTGCCGTCCTTGTTTACAACAAGCGGCCCTAGGTGATCCAGTTTGACGCCCTCACCGTTAACATTGAGTTTCGTTGCGTCGGAGGTGGGCTCTGGTAGGGGGAGTGGGGCGTGTTGTGTAGATGTCTCAGTGTCTGAAGAGGGCTGTTGGGGTTGCGAAGTTTGTTGCTCGCTTGTCGGCTCAGACTCGACTTGTGGTTTGAGTGTGTTTGATGCTTTGGATGCCATTGTTCGTGTGAGGGCTGGGTGTGGAATAGTGTTGCGCGTGTTGAATGTGTGAACACGTCTTTTGGAGAGTTGGTTGCGCAGTCGCAGGAATGAGGTGAGTTGCTTGGATGGGTTCATTTGTTTCTACAGTCAATGGGCGAGTTGGTGTTGCAATATGTACAGGTGTTGCAGCCTCGCAGAAGGTGCTCCTGCTGTTCTAGAAAGCTCGGTGACGTCCGAGCGCAAGCTCAATGAGAAGTCACGATATCTTGACGTCTGCGCAAAGCTGGCCAGCTCCAAGCTCTGCAGCAAGTTCAGTTCACGACAACACAATGCTCTCACGCAGCAGCACATCTTATGAATCTATATGTTAGTAGCTCTACAAAGCGATATCTGCTGACAAGTACAAGCATATCCCGGGGTCCGCGCGTTTTGTGAGGCTTTCGGTTTCGTCTTTACCCGCCAACCAACAAGTCGTGACATTACAAGCCTCGTAAGGCACGCTATTAAAAGGCCTCACATGTACGAAGCAGCCTCGCAACGAGGTGGCCACAGCGAGTACATTGCGAAGCAGATTCGGATCGGACATTCGCAGATCGCTTATACTCGGCCAAGTACAGCATCGCCCAGCCACCTGGAATTTGCTGGAAGCGTTCTTCCGGTGCCGCGAAAGCGCCAGACCAGGCTGCACTGACCGGACATTCGAGTCCTTCACCGACATTGTAGCCTGTTCTCCGTGGTGCTCGTGACCGGAGTTTCAAGCAGACAAAGGTGCCGCACTTGTGCAGGGTGCCGTGGTGTTTGGCCAAGCCAGTCAGCTGCACGACATTTTCGCTCCACGGCTCGCCGCTCCTTCCGTGTCGAGTTGCGAGGTGAGTGGAAGCGGACAGCCCACTCTTTGCCCACAACCGAAATCATCCACTCCCAGATGCGGGTATGTAACCGTGGAGTGGGACTGAGCTTATTTGAACTTCGTTGAAGATGCTGTCTGTCCTTTTTAAAGTCGCTTCTGGTCACCCAGAATTGCGCTGCGAAAAGGCCAGCACATCAGGGTGCTCGTGCAGGCTTGAGAAAACCTGGTAGGGCAAAGCGTCGGCCAAAATTGCGAGAAGAGCAAGGCTTCCAAGAGGCGCTGCACCGGTCGGGCAACTTGTCTACAAGGCCTGCAGCAAGCATCCCACAGAGGCGCGAAACACGTGGGGGCAAACTGGCATGGTACCGAGCCATGTACCGTTGTCCATCTCACACCCATGGATCTTCTCCCAGCGAACTCAGAAAGACGCCTAAGCAGTCGTCACAAATTGTTAGCAATGACAGGGAGCGAGAAATTTCTGCAAATCTAGCCGGACACGTTTTTCTTGTCGAAACGGAACGGCGCGGCCTGGTGACCGTACGCCGTATACTGTCAAGTCGCAAATAACTGCCAAGATGAGTCGGAATGCAACGCAAAACTTCAGCAATTGACGGAAGCCACGGGCAACACCTTCTGCGAGGTAGCATTCGAATCGTGTGAGTATTGGATGTGTCACATTATGTGATCAAAAGGCGGTATCCGCGGTCGGGATGCCGCTTTGAGATGCGACATCGTCAGCTCGCAGCGTCTGTTGGTATCGTGGTCAATGTACGCTAACCGTATCGTACACGAGCGTGCATAAGCTGTCCTTGGGACTGGAAACACCCCTATTCAACTGCGTCTGGTTGACACGAGTACAGTAGCGGCACATAAGTAGCCCACCAATATCTTCTCGCAAATCAGGCCATACCTACACTGCAGCGCAGAGCGTTTCGAGAATTCCTATACGTCTTCGAGAACCGCTGATGTTTGGTGCGCGAACGAACACCGAAGGTTCCGAATGGACGCCGTTGCGACAGGGATATTCGGCGCTAAGTTTTTAGGACTCCACGTCATTCCCTCCCAACTTTTCACCTCTTTGAGAACCTCGGCGACGGCGCGTTGAGCAGCGCCAATGGCGAATGTTGTCAGTTGAACAGCGATGGATGCGATGGCTGTCCAGATCGCCCATGAATTCCTGCAATTCGACAAACAAACATAGACTGCCTCCATGGGACACGTTCAGTTTCATCGGCTGCGGAAATAGGAAGACCCTTGGAAGCCGAAGCCAGCCACAGCCGCAGCACGTCGTTCGGCACAGTTGCTTCGAGGTCATCCAATCCCTGTTTGCTGCTCTTAGCGATCATAATATTATTCACAAAGAAGGTTCCTAAGACGGCGAAGACCTCCAGAGGTATTGAACAAAGAGCAACAGCTGGTACGGAAATTATTGTAAGCAACTTGCAAGCGTGACAGAGTTTGGTTGAGGCAGCTACCGGATGACGGAGGCCCTAACGCCATTGAGGCTCTTATCGATTTGCTGCCGTACGTCCGTGGCGGGAGGAAACCGCACTCGAAGACATTGATTCATAGCACAACCCCAGGCGGTCCTGTGTGAACATGTCACGACTCAGGAGCGCGAAGGGCGCGTAGAATAGAATAATATAGATTACATACAGAAATACAATTGGGCGTTCTGCGTGGCTAGCAGATACCAGCGAGCCTATTGCAGCCCGTGACGAACTTTTGCAGGGGCGCCTACTCGCTCAGCAAAGACGGCATCGTGAAAGCAGCACCATCACGTACATGAAAAGTCATCATCCGTTGGTATCACGTGCCCGTCGTAATGCTGGTTCTTGGATCGGCCATCCATCTCTCTACCCATCACCCTGCTAGCAATATTTCGTAAGCCTACGCACCCCGAACGCGTTTGCCGCTGTCTCAGAAAACTTCCAGTGGGACTCGTCGCCTGCCTTCCCACTTCTCTTGCTCCTCACAAGAAACTACCCTTCAGGCACAACATCCTCCGGCAAGACCCGGCCACAGCCTTGAGCACAGAAGCAGGAATTGTGCGCGGGACATCGGCGTCGCTGTCTCTTCACTCGCGCAAAAAACTTCGCCGAAGTAGTTTCACTGCGTATCACCCCTCCTCCAGTCCCTACCCCATCATCAACAGCTTTTCGTGGGTCTCACTTGCCTAACTGCTCGTGCCTCCTGCTCTCCACCTGCACCTGCCCGTTATCGATTTTGGAGGCTGAAAGTGGGCCCTCCCTCGATCGCCCGCACACACGCGCCGCAGTCCCTGGCTCGCTAGAGCACCGTCCGAGCAGAGACCTCATCATAGCTCGCAGGATATTCTTCCCCATCACCACCTGACCGCCAGCCCGGCCGTCGCCACTACTCCTCCCCAATTTGTTCCCAGACAACTGTGGGCACTACAAACAGTTCCTTCACGGAGTAGCTGCCGTCGCGTATCTGCAGTCTCCATTCATCTCACTCCCCCACACAGGCTCCACAAAGCTTCTTCTTTCGTGGACCTCCGTTCCCCATCCTACCCTACTTGTGCTGCCCAGTCGGCGCATTAGCAGCCGTCACACGCGTCGCTCGAACCTAGGGTTCGTCGGATGAGATCGTCACAGACAACACCAATTGGTCGCGTCTCACCCCCATCAACACCTTTCGCGACATCCTCATAGCGCCCTGGATTCCTCCATTATGGATGCCCCCGACCGCTTCCGCCAGCCTGGCCTCCCGCAGTACCAGGGCATGGGCCAGCAGTCTTACACGGGCACGCAGCAGTCTTTGCCCACGTTGCCTCCCCTCCACAGCGCCGCGTCGTTCCCTTCGTTGTACGGCGGCCACCACAGCAACCCCCAGACGCCGCAGCCGCCTCACACGCCTGTAACGTCTGCGCCTAACGGCAGTAGTACGATGCCCCCACTACAGCACCCGCCGCTGAGGCCCATCCAACCGTCACCCTCCTCCTACATGCCCATGTCGTCGGCTTACTCGCAAGCCCCTCTGTTGCCCACCGCGGCGGCTCACAACAACACACACCAGCTGGGCGGCCCAACACCTGGCATGGGCATGAACCACCCCTCGCTGTACCCTCACCCTCCTGTCCTCGCGAACCAGGAGCCTGAGCCTGTCCACGTTGTCGGTCAGCAAGGCCGTCGCGGAGTCCTGCCTACACACCCTGGTAGGCCAGCTCCTGCTGCTGGAAAGGCGCCTACCACTGCGACAAAGAACGCGGATGGCAAGTATGAGTGCCCTCATTGTAACAAAACGTACCTGCACCTGAAGCATCTGAAGCGCCATCTCCTGCGACGTAAGTACACCGTCTTCTACCTTTCGGGCAGACCCTAACGTAACACAGACACCGGTGAGCGACCTTACCAATGCCATCTGTGCAAGGACACTTTCAGCCGAAGTGACATCCTAAAGCGTCACTTCCAGAAGTGCTCTATTCGCCGCGGCAACCCTACTGGTGCCAATCACCTGCAACACGCGCAGCAGCATTTGCAGAAGAACCGCCCACCAAATGGCGCTGAGGCCACCTCATACCTCAACCACATCTCGGGCACCTCGATGCCATACTCTGACGCAGGCTACTCCATGGGTATGCCGCAGATGCCTGCTGTGGCTGCCAATGGCTATGGCGGCGATCTGCCCTCCATCGCTGATCAGCACTCGATGTCTGCCAGGACATCGCGCTCCAACAGCTTGATCAACCGTCCTGGCAGCGGTGTTGAGGAGAACAGGAGGAGCATGTCCGCGTTGGACACATATGGACAGGCGCGTCTGAACTTTAACGACTACCGTCCCAACGCAATGGCAAATGCCGTATCGCACGATCCCAACTCGTTCGCAGCACAGCAGCAGCAGCAGCAGCAACAGCAACAGCAGCAGCAGCAACAGCAGCAGCAGCAGAACAATGCGGTCACTGCGGACTCAGCAAACCACTTCAACTACAACCACGCCGCTGTCAACAACGACATGGCGCAGAACAACATGCCCGTAAAATCTGAGGGCGGTGACTCAGCTTCTTACGGCGTCACTTCCATGCCCACCGTAGATGGCATCCCCAACGGTCAGGACGGCTCTATGTGGCGGAACGGCGGCGCTTTCAACGGAGTCAACGGAGAATCACACTTCACGAATGGATCCAGTATGGCAGGTGGCCCAAACCAACATAAAGCGACTGGCGTTCTGACCGGTACCTTTTAGAACAACACAGATTATACACCAAAATATGATACCATGTTCACAGGCTTATACTCGAATCCCGGTTTCGTCGACTCTACCCCGTTTATTGAAAATTGGCCTCCCGCTTCCTCTGATCCCCTCCAACAAAAAGCCGAGGCTCTGCTCAACTTCTGTTTCCCCAATGCGTCACTCCCGGCTCCCGGATCCAATGATGCTTATTCTTACGAAGCACTCAAAGGCATTCTTACCCCGGACAACATCAACCATCTTCTCCGGGAATACAAACACTTTCACGTCCATTGGCCGCTTATTCACACTCCTACCTTTGATCCAATTGCTGCACATGAAGGCCTTGTTCTCGCCATGTGCTGCGTTGGTGCCGTCTATTCTGATAGGATGACCCCAAAGTCGGTGCGCTGGTTGATGGAACTTGTTCGTGGTGTTGTGTTGCGTTCGAGTCAGATCTATAAAATGGCCCAGGATCAGAATCAGGTCTTGGATCCTAACAGGCATTGTTCGACCGACATAGAGGAGTTCGAAGCTCTGAGTCTGCTCCATAGCCTCTTCCTCTGGCATGGCAGTCAAAACCAACGGCACCAAGGGCGCGAAGAATTTTTTATCTTTGCCAACATCACCCGTCGGGCAGGGTTCTTGCAGCCTCTTCCTCGCAGCAACCCTGGATTCAGCTCTCTGCACGAGCCTGGCCCTTTCACTGGCGACGAAGTCGCTTCATGGAACTGGACTTCTTGGGTCGAGAACGAGAAGCGAGTTAGGGTGATGGCATACATCTTCCTCATCGATGCAGCCAGTACCATTTTCTTCAACGCACAGCCACAGTTTGATGTCAACGAAATCAAGGTTTCGCTACCGGCAGACGACGCAGCTTGGGAAGCGAAGACGGAAGAGGAATGCGTAAGCGCATTAGGACTGCGAGGAGAAGCAGCACAGGTCGCAAATTCAACTGGAAGTAGGCGAGCAAAGCAACTCGGCATGTCAGAGGCTTTGCAGGTACTTTACAGAGGGCCGCATGGCCAGCTCCCTGACCGGGGTACCAACGCGTTCGGCAAGTTTCGTAAGTGTCTTCATTTCAACTATCATTCAGTATCGATCTAATGCTTGCCAGTTCTTATTCATGCAATCCACGTCCAGATCTTCAACATACAACGCCAGCTCCTCAGGCGCGTATCTACAAGTGGCAGCAGCACTCCTGATGGGCCAGCTACCTCGCCCAACGGTGTCAGTGAACAAGTCCAACAGCTACTTCGATCAACGGTCCAAGCTCTTGAGCTGTGGAAGACCTGCTGGGACATCGATCTGGCAATACAGTATCCTCAGGCGCAACCTCGCCTTGGCTTCTGCAGAGATGGCGTACATTTCTACTTCTTGGCTCGTCTCTTCCTGAGGAGCTCAAGGAGAGAAGAATGGGCAGCACCTGCAGACTTGCGTTGCAGGCATGTCTTCAACCTTCTCAAGCAGATCAGGACACATGTTGCGACCGACTCCAACCAGAAAGGTATCGACTTTGGCTCTGTCACCACAGTTACAGACGACTACGGCATCAACGACCTTACGCTCAACATGAAGCATCTCTTCACACCCATCCAAAACCCTCGTGCCGTTCAGAGCCCACCTCAACACCTTTCATAATAGCATTGTGAGAGTCTTCACCTACCGCGAGAACCTTCCTTACCGAGGAGACCGAGGACCACAAAAACCCTATCTTTCAGCCTTTCGACATGGTATCATTGGTGTATCATCACACAGTTCTACAGTATCATCAGCGAGTTCTTTCCACTCTGCGCGCAGGCGAGCGCAAAGCCGTGCATCATAAAACGGAGTTACAGGAGTCATTCAAAATCTGCACTCAAGCCATGGCGGTCACAGTCGCATCGACTTACGACTCTCCTTCGTTGCCATCTCTAAAAAAAAAGCATTAGAAATTACCTCACGGCGTTGAGCATTTACGGGGCGCCACAACTGTTTGGCTTTCGAGACAAAATGGGCAATAAGTCACAGCACAGCGGTGTCAGCGCTGGTGTGAGTGTATTCCTCAACATCGGCTGTCGTTTCCTCAGGATCGCAGCGCAGATTAGACTGTTCGTCTTCGTGTGAATGTCTTGGTACTGTGTTTTCGTTTCATCTTTCCTTTCCTTTCTGTTTCAATAGCATGGCTGGGCGTACACATTCTTAGGGGTTTCATTAGAATAGAGAAAAGGTGCATCGGGTGCGTGCAAAAGGATGATCCTAAAGCCGCCCTACGAAAAGCAATCAATGATATACGTTTGATCACAGAATGGTGCAGTGCTCATAGTAAGACATCAGTTCTAAGACTTTTGACCCTACGCGACCTGCCAAAAGCTTGTGCGGTGGTGTACTCAATCCTGAGCCCGTAATTCGCCGCAAAGCACAGCACACTTCGACACCGTGCATTTATCCCGTTGTAAGGACACGGACGTTGATTTTCAATCGAACGGACACACTGCACATCAACGCGTGTCGAACCGTAGATACGATGCGTCTGCTTACACGAATTTCTCGCCTGTCGGCGGTGAGGTGTGGAGCTGCAAGGCGGATTGGATCGGCACATGACACACAGCTCCTCCGACCTTTGACATGTTTGGAAGGTGGTAGATACTTCACGTCGACGGCACAACCCACACAACCACACAAACCCGCTTCTGTGCCTCAGATAGGACATACAAGAACCTCGAGAGCGCAGCCAAGAGAAAGAGAAAGAGTAGGACTCAGGACAGCAAGACCCCAGTTCGCCACTATGCATCGCGCTCCTGCAGCCATGGTTACTAAGCCATTAACGGACTCCAATGTCGAGATCAGGACGCCTAGGGACCCGAATACGCTGTCTAACTATCATAACTTCGTTACAAAGCACACGAGTGTGGACTTCGAGATCGACTTCGAGCACAAGATCTTAAGCGGTGCGGTGGGGCTCGACTTAGAGAGCCTGACGGATGAGGATGTAAAGGAAATTGTGTTAGATAGCAGGTAAGCATCCCAAAGTGAAAAGACCGTCTGGATATGAGACTGACATCACCCAGCTTCCTTGACATCTCGGAAGTCAAGGTCGATGGAAAGTCCGCCAAGTTCGAAGTCGGAGATCGCATTGAACCATATGGCGCTCCTCTGCGCATCACTCTGCCTTCATCCGTTCCTAAGGGCGAGATTGTCAGCCTCGTCATAGCCGTTTCGACGACCAAGAAATGTACTGCCCTCCAATGGATGACGCCTGCCCAGACCTCTAACAAGAAGCATCCGTACATGTTCAGCCAGTGCCAGGCCATCCACGCTCGTTCCGTGTTCCCCTGTCAAGACACTCCGGATGTCAAGTCGACATTTAGCTTCTCTCTGCGTTCGCCCCTCCCTGTGCTTGCGTCTGGTCTCTCAACTGGCGCGAGCGACTACCAGCCACCCAAGAACGACGGCGAGCAGGGTACGCTGAAGTATACTTTCGAGCAGAAGGTGCCGATCAACAGCTACTTGTTCGCGGTCGCCAGTGGGGATCTAGCATGCGCTAGCATCGGCCCACGAAGCACAGTCTGGACCGGACCCGAAGAGTTACTCGAGTGCCAGCGCGAGTTGGAAGGCGAAATCGAACCCTTCATGAAGGCCATTGAGTCCACCGTCGCACCCAACTACCAATGGACACAATACAACATACTCATCCTCCCGCCCTCGTTCCCATATGGCGGTATGGAAAACCCAGTCTGGACCTACGCAACACCCTCCATCATCTCAGGCGACAAGCAGAACATCGACGTCATCGCTCACGAGCTCTCCCACTCATGGTCCGGCAATCTCGTCTCCTGTGCCAGCTGGGAGCACTTCTGGCTCAATGAAGGCTGGACCACCTACCTTGAGCGCCGCATCCAAGCCTCCATCCACGGCGAACCGCATCGCCATTTTTCCGCCATCATCGGCTGGAAAGCGCTCGAAGAGAGCATCGAGCGCTACGGCGCTGACCATGAGTACACCAAACTCATCACCAACCTCAAGGGCCAGGACCCGGACGACGCCTTCAGCTCCGTGCCGTATGAGAAAGGCTTCCACGCGCTCTACCAGTTCGAACTACTCCTGGGAAAGGAGAAGTGGGATACCTTCATCCCACACTACTTCTCCACCTTCGCCAACAAATCCCTTGACAGCTACGATTTCAAAGCCTGCCTGCTCGATTTCTTCGCTTCCGACGCCGAGGCCTCCAAGAAACTCGCGGACCTCGACTGGGACAAGTTATTTTACGCCCCGGGGTACCCGCCAAAGCCGCAATTCGACGACAGCCTGGTCAAGACGTGCTACGAGCTCGCCGACAAGTGGGAAGCGCGCGTCTCCGGCGGCGCGAAGGGCGATTTCAAGCCCCAGGCGTCTGACATCGAGAGCTGGGTGTCCAACCAATCCGTCGTCTTCATCGAGCGTCTGCAATCCTTCGGCACCAAGTTCTCTGCTGAGGACATTCATCTCCTCGGCGAGACATACGGATACAACAAGACCTCCAACATCGAGGTTTCCTCCCGATACCTCTGTCTTGGTCTCAAGGCGAAGGCGCCCGAGACGTACCAGCCTGCGTCTGAGCTGCTGGGCAAGATTGGTAGGATGAAGTTCGTCCGGCCGTTGTTCAGGTTGCTCAATGAAGCGGACCGTAAGCTGGCTGTGGAGACGTTTGAGAAGAACAAGGACTTCTACCACCCTATCTGTAGGCAGATGGTGGAGAAGGATTTGTTTGGAGATGAGAGCAACTAAGTAGGTCGCAGCAGGGCGAAGAAAGGCTGCGAGAAGGCGAGAGAAATACTTGGTCTGTAACTAAGAAATTGAATTGTTGCATGTTACTAGATCCCAAGACACAACATGGATCGCAGGAGTGACCACCTCTTCGCAGACACGCAAGACTTGAGTGGATGCCCATGCGACTAAGGCTCAGTGTATGCTTGTCCGAAACACAGTTCAGAGCGTTTGTAATGCCCTCACACGGACTTGGAGTCTCCCGGAGTTGTAACTGTGCTACCGGGATCGATGAACGGTTGTGACGCTGTCTTCCAGAACCGCAGAAGATTTAGAGAGGAAGCTCAAAAAGACGCCCGTATGTGACCGATGATAATAATATCTGCCCCTCTTGGAGATCCGAGTAAACTAACATGCTTCAAACTAACAACCCAGATGCTATGCGCCTACGCATGTTTCTCTAAAACGCCTTGTCAACCCAAGATTTCTCTAGCTCGCTTATCCAAAGCTGCTCAATCCGTCTTACTACTACCCCCCTTCCTACCCCGCTCTCGCAGCACAAGATTAAAATCTTGCCTCGAGCTCTGAAACTGCTGTGCCCGAATCGCAGACTGACGACTCGCACTCCGCTCGTTATTGATGTCAGGCACCACCAATCCCTGCCCTTCTCTTGGCCGCCCTCTATCCTCCTCTCCGTCCCCAATCTCAAAAGCATCGTCCTGCAGTTCGATCAGATCGCCCAACCCACCTCCTGTAGCACCCACACCAGGGACGACTTTCTGCCGTCCTCCTGGCGTGCCTGGCTCAGCCAACAGCTTCTGTGCCTGCGATCCAACTTTACGCACCCAACCTTCTATCGCACCACTAATCTCTTGGAAATTTATGTCCCCACCTGAGGGTGTGACAACGCCTGATCCCGCACCGCGCGTGCCGTCCACGTCTAGCAGCGAGGGCGCCCACGGTGTGAAGTATTCCTGTCCGGGGGGAGGAGCCATGCTAGGGAGGTGCGCGGCGAACATCTTATTCAGCCCGTCTTGTGCAGGTCCAGGGCTGCATACATTGCGGCCTAGTGTGCCAACGCCGCCGGGGCCGGATAGCCATGGTTTGGGCGGCTGGTGTTGGCCCGAGGTGCTGCGTTGGCGGCTGTGCGCTGAGAGGGAGGAGAGGTTGCTTGATGCGCGGGGGCGGGTAGGTTGCGAGGGCGAGCTTGTATGAGTGTTTGGGTTTGTGGATGTTGAGGAACGGGGGAGGTCGACGGAGGCGCGTGGTGTCGAGGCGGCGTCTGAGTAGGCGAGGGATTTCCGGCGGGCGGGTGGGAAGAAGCCCAGAGCACGGCGGGGCATACGGGCGATTTGCGTGGGTTGTTTGTCGTTGGGCAGGAGCACCCAGGAGTCGTGTTTCCAGGGATGTTCGGAGGCGTCGGTGGAGGAAACGACAGAGCTGGTTTCGGTGCTCTTCTGCTTGGGTGTGGTCCAGCCGTTGGGCAGACCTTCTCTGTCTGGCCTCTTATTTGAGGTCTCGCCATACTCTCCAAGGAGCAGGTCCTCTTCTGGCAGAGCATCTGGTCCCTGCACTGGCCGCCCCTTGACTCCACAAGCATCTACCGGAAGCACTATCGTCTTCTTAGAAAGAATGGTGTCATTCGGCCACATGCGATTGGCTTTGCGCAGCACTGCCTGCTCGCAATTGTACTTGATGCAGACTCCAGCAAGCGTGTCTTGCTTCTTAACGTTGTGTATGTATATCAACGCGTCGCCGTGGTCATTTTCGCCGGGTGGTGCAGAGGCACTTGTACGGTCGTCCGAGTTTCTGCGCTTCATGCGGCCAATTGAGTCTGGCTGCAGATGCTCAGTAGCATTGAGTAGGTCCTTCCGCTTCATAGCTCGCACCATAGCTTCCCGCTCTTCCTGTGTGCCGGTGCCTATATGCGAGCCTGCGGCTGCGGGACCCCATTGCTTCGGCGGTGGAGCGCTGGTGGATGTGCGTCTTGTGTGTGTAGGCTTGCGTCTTCGAGCAGCGGCTGAGCTACTGGATGCGGTCTCATTGCCGAGGACATTGGCCGCCAGGCCTTGGACTGCTGACCAAGAGTTCCCCCATAGTCCTGAGAGCGTCGATGATGTGTCCTGAGTAGCCTTCGAGGCCTGGACGCCGGCGGACTTGAAGAAGGCTGATGGTGCCGAGGTGACGTTGGCCGGCGATGCTGTCCTCGAAGCTATCCTCGAGCCTGCCCGCGAGCTAAAGCCCTCGCTGTCGTCGGTCGCATAGATGTCATCTTCGACAGAGATCAATCGCCGGGTGCGTGGACGCAGGGTCGAGGTGCTCTTAAAGGTGGACAACGAGGAACCATTGGTGGTGTTCATGGCATGCGGGGTGAATCTGGCGGAGCTGCATAGGCCAGGCGATAGGGCGGATGGCTAAGAAGCATTACTGTGGCATTCTCAGTGCGGAGAGCGAGTGTTCGAGTCTTATCGTGACCAAGAGAGCACATGCAAACGTCCAGCGAAGTGTGAGGTTGGTTGCGATGTGCGTACGTAGCTTCCCCAGCTTCGAGGCCGTGCGCAGGGTCCAAGACGGGCGTCCAGTGCCGACCAAGCCTCACAGACCGAACAGCCTCAACCAGGGCATGCAAACTCCTGCGAACTGTTTGGGTATGGACAAATGGATCGTTGGCTGCTTGTTGCTGGCTCAAGCATGTCGTCGTGCTAACACGCAACACGAGATAAGGCCAGATAACGACTAGACTGACGTAGTGCATCATTCGGTCATCGTCGGTCTTGTTTGGGCATGCATCACGAAACCTTTTGAAGATAAACCATGAATTATGCTTGTGTAGCTGCTAGAGCTATTTGAAAGTGTATTCGGCTCCTAGCTACGCCTTTTGAATGCATAATAGTTGCGAAGTAGCCGCTAGGAGATAACGCCACGCTTGCCTATACACAAAACTATGAGTGCTGCTGTAAGTCGTTATATACATTGACTGGATTCGAGATCGTACTGCATGGCCAGCTCTATTCAACGATAAGGGCTGGAGCTTGTCACCGTATCGACAGTCGCGAACTCCAGTTCAAAGTCATCGATCTCCTCGAATTTCTTGCGAATCGCAGCCAGCTTGTCCGAAATCTCAACAGTCGAGCGCTCTGTCATCTCATCTGCACCCTCTGTTGTTGCATCATTCTCCTTGTCTGAGGAGATCCGGCGACTATAGGTTCTGCTCGCCTTGCCGGCTGCCTTGGTAGGTGCTGTTGCTTTCTTACCACGTGCTGTCTTCTTGGTCACTTTCGGTGAAGCCACTTTGCCTGTCCCCGGTCGTTGACGAGCTCGTCGAGTCGGCATCTGCAACTCGTCTTGATCCGAGTCGAACTGCGTCACGTCTTCCGAAGAGGTCAGATCGTACTCATCATATGCGCGAACTCGATTCCGCCGGCGAGGTAGAAGACCCTTCAGCTGTGCTGTGGATATGCCTTGCTGTGCTTTTGCTTTGGCATTGCGCTTCTGCTTGGCTGGTGTTTCGGTCTCATCTGCGTCTGAATCCTCGTTGTATGTTGCGTGCTTGCCCGCCGTTCCTCTTCGACGAGCACGGGTCTGTTGAGGGGATGTCGGTGGCTGTGAAGCTTCACGAACAGGACTACTCGACTTTGGCGGAGCAAGGGTCTGGCTTAATATTTCCGGGTCGTCCTGTGTCTGCTCAATCACCTCCTCGCGTGACGGCAGAACATCTGGAAGGGTGGGAGAAGGAGACCGCACCGACTCGACGTCTGCGCCAGATGGTGGATTGTATGGTGGAGATGAACGAGGCACCTGGACTACTGGGGTTAACTTGCGCTTTCTGCCACGTGACCCTGAGCTAGAAAGATGTGCGCCACTGTCATTTGCCCCTTCTTTTTCGGTCGTTGTCCTTTGTTTGTTGAGTGGCGTAGATTCATCCTGAGGCAGGAAGTCGTCGAAGTCGAAATTGTCCGTGTTGCTTAGGCCAGACTCGTCGTTATCTTCGACGTCCGTCGTTTGTTGAACCATTCGAAGCAAGCTGGGTTGTCTGGCTCTCCGCTTGAAGTTGGTCAAGGCTAGAATGGAGGTTTCATGCGCAGGTGTTGCGCCTACTTTCACAGCAGACGGTGGGCGTGTTCCGTGGGCTGGCGATTCTGAATTCAATGAAGAGAATGTGAGGTCTCCAAAACCGCTGGTGTCCCCTTCCTCGGGAGTGTCATGGTTTGCGGCTTCGATTGGAGAGCGTGCTTGCGCCTGGGTCACTGCTGGTGATGTCTTCGCTGCAGACAAGCGTGCGCTGCCTCTTGTTGCGCGCGTCCTGACCGACGCTTTTGATGCCGGCGTGCGAGGCTTGGATCCGGTTGTAGGAGCTTCGGCTTGGGCTTCAGTGGGAAGCGCACCAGTCATCTCCAGGTCCGCCTCATTCACGGCATTTGGTGGCTTTTGCGCCGACGCACCACGTTTCGCTCGTGTTGACCTTGTGCTCGTGACCAGTCCATCGCTGTCGTCACTAAAGCTCTGCAATGCTGCAGTAGCGTTTCTGGTCTGCTTTGTGGTCGGTTTTGTGGCTACTGGCGCTGCTTGCTTGCGCGCAGCGGGCTTTACGACGCGTGTAGTCGTTGTGGCTTTCGATACTATTTTTGCGCGCGCTGGTCGCGGCATTGTCGCGAACGATTATTGACGCGTAAATCTTTAGAATTGTGCTATGCGCGCTCGAGTGAAGGTTGTCCCAAGAGGATTGATACGGTGGGCGGCGAGTGTTCGTGTAGTCGATGTTGTCATCCAGAAAGAAGCGCGTTGTTAGCGCGATACGTCGCGCACCACGTGCGGGGTCGTTCATAGCAACATGAATCTGCTTCCGGTCTTGAGATAGGGAGAGCTAATGATGGCCTCATTGTGTTCATGTCACAGCCGAATGGAAGGCGCAGGAGCATATGACTGCCACACAGAACTCAGGCACCGGTGAAGAGGGCAAGGCAACTACATTCAGCCCCAACTACTTAAGCATGCGCTGAAATTTGGCTGGAACCTACAATGATCTGAAGCATCCTCCATTCTACAAATTTATTCTAAACATGAGTACCTCCATACCACCATTCGACTACTCACCCTCCTTACAAGAGTATGCGATACCTGAAGGCGACTATCTCAGCCAACACCAAGATGCTCACATAATATGTACCGGCGCAGTTGTATTCAACAACGAAGGGAAACTGCTTCTCGTCCAGCGTGCCAAAGAAGAGAAGGCGTTCCCTAATGCCTGGGTAAGTCTTCGAAGCAGTTCAAGCCGTGCAGTGCACGTAAAAGGGGGCATATTCGTATCCTCTCCAGCCCGGCATGAGACACATTGGGCAAACAATACTGACTACCTCCAGGAGATTCCCGGAGGAAAGATGGATGACACAGACGAGACCATCCTGCACGCCGGTGCGCGCGAGTTGAGGGAGGAGACCGGTCTTACAGCGACTCGAGTAGTCAGGAAGGTGACTCAGTTCACGTTCTCTGACGGCTGGAGGAATCGCCCAACCAAGACGTGGTTGAAGGTACTGTGCTGACTTACTCCACGCATAGAGAAAGTACTAACGGCTTATTCAGCTGATCTTCCAATTCGAAGTCGACAACCCAGATGCCATTGTCTTGGATCCGGTTGAGCACCAGAGCTTCGTTTGGGCTTCTGAGGACGAGGTTGTCAATGATCTCGTTAACGAAGGGAGCACACCTCTGAAGTACATCTCACAAGAGAACAAAGATGTCAAGCTGGAGGCATTCAGGCTCCAGAGAGAGGCAGTGCCGGCCTAGACTTTACCTAGAAGTTGAAAGTTGGTGTAATGGGCGCTGCCAATACGAGCTTGTTATGCATGTGAAGTGACTGCAATTACACGTTTAGCTTACACTGAAAACCCGTCCAATTGGAGCACACCGTGCGACCTTGCACATGCTACAACTTGATCCTGTCACTGCCGACAGACGGCACAGTTGCTCGCCAATCTCATGTGACGGAACACCCGGCTTGTGGAGGATGTTTAGTCGAGATAAACAGTGCCTGGAGTCGCAGCGGGAGACATGATGTGCAGCAAGCACTCCTGAAACCAATCGTAGGCGAGCAGTTTCGGTCTGGCGGAAAGAACAGTCTTGGGGAATGCACATGAACGCGCCTTCCGTCGTAAAGACTCGAAGACGGCGCACACTAGATCGCGTGATCACGGCAGCCACCTGGTTCGAAACGCCATAACAATCACTTGACAGCGATTTATGAAGGTCAGACAAAGGAAAAACACCGTTTCGAGAGGTGTATGGTGATCGCCGTGCAAGGCCGGAACCCACTATTGCTTAGCGCATATACCGCTTGAGGCACACTCCAGGGCTCGATCGCGTGTCGACAGAGTCGCAACTCCTACCTACCCTCGACCCAGCGACGACAGTATGGCGTCTGGCGAGCACAGCTTCAGGACACAGTCAGCGCAGCCTCCAGCGCCATCACCGCTGGCTCCGCAACCTAGCAACGGCGCATCGTAAGTCCCCGCGCGCGCCCGCAGACACGCCCTGGCATAAGGTAGAGGCTCACAACACCAGGGACAGTCCCACGTCACAGGCCGTTCCGCCTGGCCATCCCTCATTCAGACGGCAGCGCGCCAGTCGAGCATGCGAGAGTGAGTTTGCCCCGTCTTTGTGCAGGCTTTCGTTCCTGAAGAAAGCAGGCCGGGAAAGCTGCGGTCCTATAGCTTCGCTTGACTGCCTCGGCACCTCGGTCTGGCGATGATGGTGAATGCGACGAATGCTAACCAGGCGTACAGCATGCCATTCGCGCAAAGTGAGTAATCACGATACGGCCAGCCGCGACTGGCGATAATAACAGCTGCGCAGGTTCGGTGCGACGCCGCCTCGTTGGGTGTCCCATGCACCAACTGCACTGCCTTCTCCATCGAATGCCGCATCCCCACACCCAAGCGCAAGAAAACACAGACATCGCGAGCCAAGGAAGCAGACGGCGTAAGCGAAGCAGGCGACAATAACGATGGTTGCTCGCCAGGGAGCATCTCGGTCGAGCCGCGTGACAAGACGACCGTCTCCAACTCAGAGGATGGCACCCCCGCAAATAACTTCTCCCACGCATACGCTGCCCAGCAGGCCGCCCACAACGGCACATACGTGCAGTTCATGAAGCCCAAGTTCGCCAGAGCCCCGATCAAGGAAGCTGGTCGCGTCGCATACCTAGGTGAATCATCGAATCTGTCTTTGCTGGTCCACGACCGCTATGGAACAACAGATGTAGTTCATTACCCGTTGCCTGAGAATGTGCGCGGTGCTAAAGCTCGCGTGAACGAGATGGACAACATGGAGATCGAGATTCTGCACCAGAGAGGCGCCTTTCTGCTACCGCCGAGGGCACTGTGTGACGAGCTTGTCGAAGCCTTCTTCAAGTGGGTGGCGCCAGTTGTGCCTGTCATCAACCGCAGCCGCTTTATGCGCCAGTACCGAGATCCAAAGAACCCTCCGTCATTGCTTCTGTTGCAGGCTGTCCTGCTGGCTGGCTCAAGAGTCTGCACAAACCCCCAATTGATGGACTCTAGTGGATCCACTACGCCGGCTGCCATGACATTTTACAAGCGTGCGAAGGCCCTTTATGACGCAAACTTCGAAGACGACCGAGTCACCATCGTTCAGGCGCTGATCCTCATGGGCTGGTACTGGGAGGGACCCGAAGGTGAGAGAAATTGGGGATTGCATGTTGTGAGGCTGACTGATATGTCGTAGATGTGACTAAAAACGTGTTTTATTGGACTCGAGTTGCTATCGTTGTGGCGCAGGGTTCAGGCATGCACCGAAGGTGGGTGATCACGAACGATATATCCTGCACAAGACTGACAGCAGCAGCGTTGAGGGATCACAGTTGAGCCGTTCAGATAAACGACTATGGAAGCGTATTTGGTGGACGCTCTACAGCCGAGATCGTTCAGTAGCCGTTGCCCTTGGTAGACCGGTCGCAATTGATCCCGAGGACTCAGACGTCGAGATGATCTCGGAGGATGACTTCATCGATGATGAAGCAGATCGCCCAGCGGAGCACCCCCCAGATCCAGTCCATGTTCAGTTCTTCATCAACTACGTCAAGCTGAGCGAGATCATGGGTCTGGTCCTTTCGCAGCAATATTCAGTGGCATCCAAGTATCGCAGGGCGAATGCCATTGACTTAACGCACAGCGACATGGCCCTCGCAGATTGGCTGCAACACTGCCCGCCTGAAGTGCAGTGGGATCGAACACGACACCATTTCTGGGCTGCGTTGCTACATGCGAATTACTACACCACACTCTGTCTCCTGCACCGCGCACACATGCCGCCAGCCGGATCACCAAAGTCGACCAACCTGGACGGTTTTGGCGAAGAGCATGCATACCCATCGAGGAACATCGCATACCAGGCTGCGGCTATGATCACGTCAATCATCGAGAATCTCCGAGCACATGACGAGATACGGTACACACCAGCCTTCATCGTGTACAGTTTATTTTCAGCTCTCATCATGCACGTCTACCAGATGAAATCATCCAACAAGTTGATTGTTTCAGCAACGGAGCAGCGACTGCAGATCTGCTTAGATGCCCTGAAAGAAGTATCCAAGGTCTGGCTAGTCGCGAAAATGGTACATACGCTCTTTGAGTCCATCTTGGGGAACAAGAGCCTCGAAGAACGTCTGCAAAAAGCCGCTGGCAGAAACCACAAAAAGAATAAGCCGCCCAGCGTACCACCGCCCCCACCAAAGCCAGCCCAAGAAGCTCCAAAGCGCAAGTTCGAAGAAATGGATTTTGGAGGTTTCCCGACTATCAATGGTCCACCAGCAGCTCAGGTCTCGTACGAACGATCACGACCCCAAACGCCTGCAGCCACGCCGTCTCGAGAGCTCCCACCACAGCCACAGCAGATGCCTCAGATGTCGGCGGGATCACCGCAGATGAACCGCCATAACCATGACACTTTCATGGGTCCTTCACGGTCTGGCACCCGTCCGACCACACCTTTCAATCCTTCCTACTCGTATCCTGGAACGCCCCCTGACTTGTTCCTGATCACCCGTGATACACCAAACATCAGCCAGGAGGTCTGGCAAAACTTCCAACCAGATCAGTTGTTCCCAGCAGATACTCAGGTCAACTTCCCTCAACCGCCGCAATCGCTAGTTGATCCAGCTTTATCACAGCCTCAGAACATGCCTTTACAACAACAACAAAACAACGGCAATATGCAGTCGCAATCTCAGCAGCCCCAACAACAGATGCAGAACCCGATGAACGGCCAGTTCGATCAGAACAACCCGCAAGCATGGGCGCAACAAATGGAGATGATGCAACAAAACCAACAACAGCACGGCGCGCAAGACGATACCTGGAGCAACAGCTCCAATGGACGACATAACCCTGTTGTACCGATGAGTCTGAATGTGGACGACTGGTTCAACTTCTTCGGTATCAACGGTGAGGCCGACATGTCGCACCTTTTCCAACATGGTCCGTCTTGAGAGGTCCTTGTTACCGTACATGGATGACACGCCGTCTGCATTTGTTGGAACTGGCGTTGTGGAGGGTTGCATAGCATTGGCGTTTTATCGATCAGCATCAGTATGGAGCTGGCTTACTCCGATATTTTTGAAGAACATCCTATATACGTCTTATCTCTATGCGAAAGGCAGTGTCGCTTGAATGGTAATAACATCCTTGGAGCAACGGAGGAATGTTCTGAAATAAAAGTGTTGTAATCATTTGGTGGAAGGAGCATTACATGTAAAACATCAAAGGCCAACACCAGTTATGAACAACAAGTGCAAGCTCGAGTTCAATTTGTTCCATTCACTCCGAGCAGCCATATGATTGGTCGTCGGACTATTAATGTCAATGTCCTCAAGATGCATTCGTCCAGCCTTGTCCCTCGTCACGAATTGCCTGAAGGCCCACCTTTCCGCAGCTCCCCGCCTTCAAGGCTGCCCACGATCAGCGCGCCTCGCCCAAACGGTGCTGGCGCCTTGGCTGTCGCATCGCATCAACCTCGCAATACCACGCGACGAGCAGCAGCACCGACAGCGCGATTTCGCCCAATCTCGGAAGCGACGATTGACGAGCATAGCTTTTGCAGGTCTGTACGCGACACCGCAGCATGGACCGTCCTGGTCAGTCTCCCCTAAACATCCATTGAGCCACATTCACATTGGCGACTGCGAGCTCGAAATTGCATGCTTGAACACCATGATTGCACTGTAGCTACCTCGGCGGCACCCATTACTCCCAATCGTTGGAAAAAATTGCCCCAAGCTTGCACGACGGTGGCTTCGACTGCCTTCCCATTTGTGTCGATCCTTCCATGATCGGCCTCGTCCTTTCTAATCGCCCGTGAATGAGCACAATGCTGACAGCTTCCCTCCTAACAGGACCAGGGCAACAACTACGTAATACATCTTCCAATATGTTCCAACTTCGACAGAACGAGAACCGCGCGCCGCTCGGCACCGCCACGAACAGACTCCAGAACGGCAAGCTGGGTGAGGAGACTCCGACTGAACAAGTGGACTTGCGTCGCTGACTTGGATGTGATAAGGCGGCGGACAAGCTCAGTGGGGTTCAGGTGCTTTCACTGGGCCAACAAGCGGTGCACCAGGGCTATCTGCAGCGCAAACACGAACAAACGGCGGACCTGCATCGAGCTTTGCGCAAGCAATGGGTAACTCGCAGCCACACACGCCGCTCAACCTTGAGTAAGTCACAGCACCGATGTCGATACACAGGGCAGGAGAAGATTGCGGCGGGACAAGCGCCAGCGGCAGCAGCAACAACAACGCTTCTCAGAATGCATCGCTGTCAAAGAAGAATCCATGCTAAACATTTGTGATTGCAGGGAGTTTCCGTCGTTGTCTGGCGCTCCTCAAGCACAGCAAAACACCACCGCTCAGCAGATGTGGGCGAACCCTACCCTCCGAACCACCCCGCACACGACCATCCAGCGACCACAAGGGCAGACGCCACAGCACGTGCAACAAGGACAAGCGTCCAATCAACAACTGCAAGGTCAAAGTAATGAAGATTCTCCGCAAGGCCAGTTCGGTGGTGCTGGTGATGACTACCGATTTGGTGGGCAAGGAGGGGTTGGACAGCTGTCTGGCGGTGCGCAACCGCAGACAGGCAACATCGAAGAGTTTCCGCCGTTAGGGAACAGTGCCGCGGGAGAGATCGGACCAGATCGACGAGCAGGCTTGATCCAGAACGCAGCTGCGTTCGGGGCAACTCCAGGCACGAGCGCTTTCCCAGGGCTAGGGCAGACACGAAATGGCCTGTCTAGTCCGACAGAGAGCCAGGGCAACCGATCATCAAATGCCACAGTGGGTGGAGGTCTCGCAGGCGCAGCATCGCGGACACCGTTCGACGGAATGCGTGCAACACCATCAAACCAGCAAGAGGTGTGTACATCAGCTCATTCAGGACGGCACAGCTAATTATCGACAGGGCGGTCAGAGGACAGAACAAGCATCAGGGAATCTGTCTTTCATCGGGTCTGGTATTCGAAGCGGCGGCGACGCCACGCCTGTAGGGCAACGGCCTCAGCAAAGTCAATTCGAGTCAGGTTTTGGTGGAGACAGTGTTGGCTCACCAAACACACAAACACCACTGCACAAGAAGCTCGCAGAGATGACAGACCAGGAACGTTACGGTCTGCCAGGGCTGTTGTCCATGATACCACTCGAGAGCCCTGACTACTCCTCGCTGGCGATGGGTCAAGACCTGACGGTCCTGGGACTGGATCTGAGTCGACCAGAGTGAGTGTGTCGATTGCTTCCACGATAAATTGCTGACACAGACAGTAACTCCCCATTACATCCAACATTTGGCTCGCCCTTCGTGGAATCCAACGTCAAGCCCGTAATACCGCCGGATTTCACCCTTCCCGCAGCATACACGGTTACGAATGTCCCACCACTACACTCGAAGATGGCCAGCTTCTCCGCCGAGACATTACTAGCTATCTTCTACCAGCACCCACGAGATATACTGCAGGAGATTGCTGCAGCTGAGCTCTACAATAGGGATTGGAGATGGCATATCAAGCTGCAGCAGTGGATGATGAAGGACCCCGATCTACCGGCGCCCATCCGCCTGTCACCAAAGGAGGAGCGCGGGTGGTATCTGTTCTTCGATGTCACGAACTGGAGACGGGAGAGGGTATGTATACACAGCGAATCTTGTACGATCTGGGCTAACAAATATGCAGAGGGAGTTCGAGCTCAACTATGATCATCTAGATCAGCGCCATGGCAGCCCTGGCATGGCAGGAACGATATAGTAGGCGCTCTTGTCATACCACTGATCGAAGGTTATTACGAAGGCGCTGGCTGTAGCTCGAGTGCTTCACTGAAGCCTTTGGCGAACGCTCAGGGTGGCACTTCGATCAACGAAATGCAATATTGGGCTCCGCTCTTCGCACAGCACTCGCACTCGAAGTAGATATTGAATCCTGTGAACGTAATGTTGAGTGATACCTTCCTTTGCTCGAGTCACGCGCAACTACCTTGCCCTGTAGCGTCGGCGTGACTGCTTTTGTTTATTCAACGCAAGAACACAATCTCTCCCTTTCTGCAAGACCGATTCATCATCAGCAGAACAAGGCTACTGTCTGTGGTTTGACGAAGCCAGTTGAGCACTAACCCTAGACCTGCATTGAGCCTCTTTTAAGCTGACGCGGGGCAGATAAAACCGCTTCATTCAACTCTTGTACAGGTCCACGAGTGGACGTCTGCAAGTCATGACGTCTCTGTAGCCGTTGGTGGACGCGGCTAGCTGCTTTGACTCTCGCAAGAACAGCTAGATATTCCAGCCAGGGTACACTCAACGACGCAATGCAACGTTTAGGAAACGTCAAACAACATATTTTGCTGGTCCAAACGTCAACGATGTGAAAACTGCTCGTCGAATCTGAGGCTCAACCAAAGTACAGCGCCAATCACACGACTCACTTACAACGAGGGACTTGTACAACGTCTCGACCACCAAGTGTACCCCTCATGCTTATGATTAGTCCCTCGAGCTCAGCTCAGACAGATATGCGACCTTTGGAAGGTCTTATCTCCGCATACGCCGCAGTAAAAATGTCTCTGGCTGAAGCGTCATTGAAGTATGGATTCGCGCATGCTTGCCGCATGCATAGGGCCCTTCCCCATGCTTTCCATGGCGTGGACTGGTATGTGCTCTCCACTGACCATGGCCCAGCATTTGGCTACGTTATCGGCGTCCCCTAGCATCCAGGTATATACTCCAAGGCTGCACAATGCTGTGATTTCAGTCCTGTGCAGCACTAAGCCGGGCTCATTATGGCGGGGGAGGTTCCCCTCAGCCCATCTCAGGTCAAGAAAGATGGACAATGGTGGCCCATCAGACACAGAACTGCCCCATCTTACAGGTCAACCCCTCCCATTTCGATACCCCGACGACTGTCATCTCTGAGAGCAGGGTTAAAGCGGAAGCCGTTGTCTACTATCAATGAGGACAAGGTGCCCTCGTTGAGGAGTGTTAGCACGGGGAGCCTCATAGTCAACACAGCCCTACCTTGCCAGCCGCCAGCGTGGAGTCACTCTTCGGAACACCTCATCCACATCCAACCGAGTGAAGAACTGCAAGCCCTGCAGTCCGTGAGCTCGTACTCTACAAATGATGGGTACGGACCGATGCCGAGGCTATACAGAACGCAGAGCCAATGGATGGCACCGCCGCCAGAATCCTACATGCCGAGCGGAATGCCAGTATGGCAAGGCCTAACGACGACCAATCTTGATAATGAAGACCCTTCAGAGCTTGGGGGGAAGGCGATGGCGGTTGGGGAGGACCTGTCACGTGAGGAAATTGCCAGTCTCTTCCGTAGAATTGAGGAGTACGAGCGGGAACATCCGGAGATAATCAACGACGCTGGTAAGGTCTGGGTTCGGGTTGACAGAGTCGGTCACGGCTTGACCAAGACTTTCAAGACGATGGGCTCGCTTCACAAGAAGCGAACTTTCGAAGCACGCCTGGGACACAACGTACCTGTTCAATCGCAGCTCAAGATCTATGAGAAGCCCAATACGATGAGGAGGATAGGCATTGTAGTACGCCACTGCTGGAGAAGGTTCAGGAATTGGTCAACAGGGAGGGACACGGGGCTGCAGGCGAAGAAGAATGTTGTCGACCACCCCCACCCCTTCATGAATGTCTCGATCGTATCTCTTACCCTGCCCGACCCATGCACGACAAGACCTCAGCCCGGACCGAGGAAGCTCTCGAGGGCTGGCAAGCTGGTGGAAGGAGCGGATGGCACGATGTACGTGAAGCCGGCGAGGAAGGACAGCAAGTTCTCTATCGGCGAGCAGCCATGGAGGCGCAATCCGAAGTTGTTCCTGGATATCTATCCGTCAGATCGCTCGGCAAATGGATCTGTACGTGGTTGATGTGGTAGCACACTTTTGTACTAGTTGTATCAGAGCCTGCGGGCGATTTAAAAGTCGCTCGTGTGGAGATGGTAGATCTGTAACGCTAGACAACCCGATTAGACATCAATGTTCTATAACCACCCCCAAGGTCTAGAGTAACAACCTCTATACTCACCAGAAGCTTCTCCGTCTCTCTGAAGAATTTTGTGATGCGATCATGGTCAGATGATCAAATGTGGTTCACGAAGCTTGCTTCAAGCCAATGACGTACCCACTCAGCTCCACATAAACACATCCATTGATCTGAACATCGACCAAATCTCGAATTGCACACTCACCGCACACACTTTGTGAACACCTCACAACAAAACCACGACACGAAACCACAACCATCGGCGCGAATCCCGACCTCGGATTTCTCTTCCCGACACCTCGTGTCGAGCACCAGAACCCCTCCGGCATACCCAAAGGAGCAATCTCCGTACCGTGGCGTTCTCCTCATTCACCAGTTGGCTGCATTCACCCGCTCCCAACCCCGGATAATAAAACCAATTGCCTCCCCAGCTTGAAATGCCTCCCAAACGTGCCTTGTTCTCCCTAAACGTCGACTCCGAAGCCGACCACATCTATCAACGCGTCAACGACCACTTCAAACCAGGAAAGGAGAAGACCAAGATCATTGAGACGAGCGGACCGACTGTTGGCCACACGGATCTGCAGTTCGTCACTAAGCCGTTTGAAAAGTTGGTTAACAGGGCTGTTGAAGGCGTCGAAGAAGGAACCAGGAAGAAAGTCCACAGCGCAGAAGGCGAACTCACATACTCGTCGCAACGCAGCTCCTCAGGAACCGGCAACACCACCAAGACCGTGAAAGCCGAGAGAGCATCGAAGCGCCGCATCGAGCAGCAGTACGACACCACGGACCTCTAACCCACCCAAAATCATCTGAAGATACAATCAATATGTCTTCGCAACCCCTCCGCATAGCCATCGGCTGCGACAACGCCGGCGTCAGCTACAAGAACGCCATCATCAAGGATCTCAAGGCCGATGACAGAGTCGCCGATGTGACTGACGTCGGTGTCCCCGAGAAGAGCGACGACACAGCGTACCCGCACGTCGCGGTCGACGCAGCCAAACTCGTTGCTGAAGGCAAGGCGGACCGCGCGGTGCTGATCTGCGGCACCGGGCTGGGCGTGGCCATCTCGGCCAACAAAGTGCCTGGCATTCGAGCTGTGACGGCGCATGATTCGTTCAGTGTGGAGAGAGCGATTCTGAGTAACGATGCACAGGTACTGTGTATGGGTGAGAGAGTTATTGGGTTGGAGTTGGCGAGGCGGTTGGTGAAGGAGTGGTTAGGCTATAGGTTCGATAAGAGCAGTGCGAGTGCGGCGAAGGTTGATGCTATTACGGAGCATGAGAGGAAAAACTTTGCAGGTCTCGACAAAGTCGACAGTGTCACCAGCTGCTCGTAGACCGTGAATTGGAGCAGGCCACACATACCGTAATGTCCTGGCAAAATGTATAATGAAGTCGAACGATTCTTTCACATACGATTATAGGACGTTTGAAGGAAGTTCTTCCCCGAAGTCTCACCGGATTTTGATGTGGACAATGTGCTACGATACCTGGTGACAACCACGATTATGTATTCCAGATATGTCAGCAGGGTTGGTTATCTGTCGCTCTCTTCCTGGTGCGGCCGTGTCCAAGGCGGGAAAGAGGGTTGTAATGACGCCTTGCCCTACTTGATTTTCTCACGTCAGCCATCCCACTTGTACTATGTATGTAAGGCCAACATCTCCACTACCCAAATCTCACATAGGACGTTAAATCAATCAATCAATCAATCACCACCCAGATCACAGAGTCCTTGTTCCTTTGTTGATCTTTTTCGTGTTATACCATTTCAGCAAGTCCATCATGCCGTCTAGATCGTTATTACTAGTAGGGCTTTTGCCGCTTATCGCTCTATTTTATGTCCAATACTCGAACGTGTTCCTATCCAGCAAGAATGTCGTGCCTCTGTCGCGTTCGAAGACGCCCATCGTTATGGCCTCCATACCAGCCTTCAGGTTAGTCACGGCTACTCCAACGATCTTGAACAAACATGTGACCTTTACCTCCCAAGCCATATGGAAAAGATCACCACCATTGCCGAAGGCCTTATTCAACTAGGCTATCCGGTCAGTTTCCTCACCGGCCCTGAGTTCGAAGACTACATCGAATCGATCGGGGCGACCTACGTTCCCATAGAAGGCAAAGGCCCCGGACTCATGGCCGAAGACAAGATGTCTACATTTCTGAGCTTACAAGGGGACGAGTTGGAGATCTTCGCGTTCAAAGCAATCTTCCTCGACGAAATCCCTTCGCAATACCGCACTCTCCAGCGAACTTTCACCGACATCCGCGACAAATACGGACCAGAGCAGCCGCTGATATACATTGCTGACTGTACATTCGGCGGCCTCGCACCCGTCTTGCTAGGCGCAGACGGCATTCGTCCAGATGCTGCCATCTCGATCGGACATGTTCCCTACGCAGCTGCCAGCAACGACACATTCCCCGTCAGATCTGGCCGTCACCCAGACACCAGCGCGGACTCGAAACGAATCCACTTCGAGGCACAGCAGGCACAGTACAACAGCTACCCCGACCGTGAGTGGAACGCGCACACTCGCGACGTTCTAGCCCAGATGGGCGCCACGACATCGTTTGCCAGTATGTTCGACATGTTCGCGTCCGCGTCGGACATCTTCCTGCAATACGGTGTCCCCGAGTTCGAATACCCGCGAACGGACTACCGCCCGAATCTAAAGTTCATTGGCGCACCGGTCACTGTTGGTATTGCTGAGCGTGCTCTACCGCAATGGTGGGGCGATGTGCGCGAGGCGAAGAAGGCCGGGAAGCGTATCGTGGCCGTGACATCCAGCAGTGTGATATTCGACAACAACGTCCTGATCATACCGGCGCTCGAAGCACTGAAGGAGCGCGACGACGTGCTTGTTATTGCTGCGCTTGTCACTTCCGATGTCGAGCAATTCGAATTCAAGACGCCCGAGAACGCGAGGGTTGCGAAATTCATCCCCCTCGATCTCGCTCTCCCTGAGGTGGGCAAAGTTTCTACATGGCTTCAACCAGTACTCACAGCATGTAGGTAGATGTGTTAATCACCAACGGCGGCTACGGCACAATCCAACAATCCCTCCGCGCCGGCGTTCCTCTAATCGTAACAGGCGTCGCCCAGGATAAATCGCACACTGGTGCGCTGATCAATTACATCGGCAATGGTATCTACAATGCTGTGCATGAAACGAGTCCGGAGATGCTCAGCGGCGCGTTTGAGGAGATATTGCGGAACCAGAGTTATAGGTATGTTTTTTCTTTCTTTCATCAAATGCTGGCACGTTGTGGCTGGAGTTGTGTGAGAGTGCTGACTGGTGTAGGGCGAAAGCGGAGGCTATTGCAAAGGAGTATGAGAAGTATAATGCTGTAGAGATTGTGGATAAGGAGATACAGCGGGTACTGGAGGGGAAGTTGCTTGAAAAGGCCTAGGTGAGCAGGGTAGAGGTAGAACAGAGGCCTGCACAGTCACATCAATCTCCCAATTGTTACATGATACGCAGCTTCATGATCAACTTTCTTGATTCGTGCCTTTTACCTTGCGGTTACCCTAAATTGTGCTATAGAATCGAAATCGCATCATCAAGACGCTCCCACATGCCACAAACACCCCAAACCCATGTCTCCCCAGTGTCTAGTTCTGCGATCCCTTACCACCAGTAAGCAAATCACCAACCCACTCCAACCACGCATTCCCATTCTCCGTCTCCTCGCCCTCACTACCCTCAGGGCTCTCAGGCGCAGCAGTCGGTCTTGGTCCCCTTGTAACTGTACCGAAGGTGGTCGGCAGGCTAGGGGAACCAGGTGCACCCGTTCCAGCTGGAGCAGTGAGGGACGGCGCCTCGCCTGTCGGGATAGGGGGAAGAGCTGTAGGGCCGCCGGCGGGAGGTGTAGGGAATCCAGTAGGCAAGCCGGGGAGGTTTGTTGGGATGCCGCTGGGGAGCTCAGGAACACCAGTTCCAGTAGGCAGGCCAGGCAGCTCAGTAGGAAGCTCAGTAGGCAGAACGGTAGCGGACTCAGTCGCGGTGGGCGTGTCGTTGGGATCGAGTAGGCTGAAGGATGGAAGTGCGGAGTCACCCAGCTGGCGGTACTTCAATTCCCTTCTCTTGATCACGGGAGTGGCGGTGGGCGCCAGCTGGTAGTCGATGTGCAGCGCCTTTGCCTGGCGCTTTGCCTGGTTGTCGGAGCCGGGGTAGGGGAATGGTAGAACGTCAGAGGTGCCGGTGGGAAAGGGGGCGCCGGTTGCTGTGGGAAAGGGAAAGGGGAGTCCTGAGCCGGTACCGATGGGTGGGAAGTTGGGGAAGTCGGATGAGTGGGGGCGGTTGTCGTTGTCGTTGCCGCCGAAGAGGGCTTCGAGGAAGTCGCCAAACGATGGTGCTAGCATATATTAGACGGTTATTGAAGGTTCAGGTATGGAAAGAAGCATACCTGCCACGGCGGAGCCGACGAGCGCGAAAACGAGAGCAGACTTCATGATGTGATTTGGTACGATCGTTCGAGTTGCCTTGGAGGTGTTACGATGCGCAAGATGACTGAACTGGAAGATGGAAAGGACTGGCACAGCCAAAAGAATGTAATGTCAAGAATGACAAGAAGCTTGCTTGCAAAGCGTAGCGAAAGACGTCAACACAGAATCAATGAAGATCGGTTGATGAGCAAGAGTACTTCAAGGCGTACCTCGATATATATCTTGAGGTCGACATTGCCAAACAAGATCAGCCCTCCGCTCATCTGCCAGACCCACCGGACATGCTGTCACCCGCAATCCCACACAAGCCAGTGGTTTGACAATGCTTGGGAGTTCACAACGGCTTCCATCCAAGTAACGCTGGGATCGGCTGCAAGCCCCATACTTTGAGGTCAATGCGTTGGGTAAACAGCGTGTCCAGGTTGTACAGTTACTCATCTTGACACAAGGAGCTTGTGTTGAAAGTATAGGCCGGATGGCCTTATGCCGATCTCAATCGCTGCTATGAGACCCAACCAGTCAAGCGTGAAGACGAAGATGTGCGTTTTGACCATCCTCAGATCATATCGCGCATCGTTCAGGTGTTGTTTGACGAATACAGCTTGACCCGCAGATAGATTACCGAACACACATCCTCACTTTCGCTCAAACGGCCAATAGACCCAACAAGCCGATAAACGCTGATCGTAAGAACAGGTTAGGATGAAGGGGTTCTGCGGGCCCGGGTCCTGCGTTTCAAGCGTACGCGTCTCAAGTGCCAAGCTAGGTCTCGCGGCTCTGATTGGTCGCACGTCTTGCTGGTGGTGCATGTTCTGTAACAGGTATACCGCCGGCTGTCGACAGCCTCATGTTTCTCTGAGTTCATTCGAGGTGTCGGCGCTATTTGGCAGGTGTTCGAGAAGCATCTGTTGGAATGTGGTAGACGTTGGTTCCACAGAAATGTTTGATCAGAGGAAACAGGACAAGCATTTCACTCTGTAACTCCATCTGCTAAGCAGAGCAGTTGCGCCAGTGAAAGCAATGAGTGCGCCATAGCCGCTGCCGTATGCAAAGCCAACTCTGAAGTTCTCTGCATGAAGGAGAGCTTCAGAGAGAGGACCAGAAGCGAGGTTGCCTACGCCCTTGCCTGCAGACAAGAAGGCGAAAATCATGCCAGAGTCAGCACTGATGTGCTTGTCTTTCGTATCCCGAATGATCCCGCTCCAACTGCTCGCCTGGCAGCCGGGGAATGCACCGTAAACGATGCTGAAAATATAGAGTGGTGCCCGTGATGTAGAAAAGCCCCACAGGATGAAGATACCAGTAGCTGAACCTATTGCCGCTACAAGAAGACAGTTCACGACATCGTACTTTTCGACCGCCACGCCCACGGTCAGAGATCCTACGGATGCTGCTGCGTTCAAAGGGATGATCGTTACAGTACTCTCGATCGTGCTGGCGCCGAGTGATCTGGCGAAAGTAGGCAGGTAGATCGCGGGCAGGAAGTAGCCAATGCCCTGCACGATGTTGCACGACTGTAGGGTCAGGAATTTCGAGTGAGTCCAGAATGACATGTCAAACTTGAACGGTAAGTTGACATGCGACTGCGGCAGTCGCGGCTTGAAGAGGAGGAGGATTGGAAAGTTCAAAACGACAAAGCTAAGTGCGCAGATTCGCAGCATGGTACAGAAGCCACAACTTTGAAGAAGCCATTCCAGGATGACTGGTAGGATTGCACCGGACAGACCAAGGCCGGCCATAGTTATTCCGTAAGCAAAGCCTCGTCGTCGAGCCCACCATTCCTCGGTGTGGAACAGGATAGGTGTCCAGGCTAGTCCACCACCAAGTGTGTAGATGATTCCTTGGGTAAGGATGAGATGAGAGACACTTGTGGAAAGCGACCAAGACCCAGTGCTAGGCACATGACAACGAGACCGACTGGTGTTGCCCATGGACGAAGGCGCGGGTAGCACTTGAGGACCATGAACCAGACAGTGATGTCCATGTACCTGATATCCATCGCACAGGCACCCACAATGGCAAGGTTGCTAGATCCAGCGAAGTCATTGCTGGTGTAGTACTCCTGGAAGACACCGTACGTCGATGGAAAGCCTCCTCTGACGGCGCATTGCAAACGGCTCCACGGCTAAAGAGGGTTCATTGTTCATTGAATGATACTTGAGCGCCGACATCGCGAACGTTGTCCTGCCCGTGTGCACATTCGTAGTTGTTGTGAAAGTGAAGACGATCACAACGGCGCACGATGCAAGTTCGAGGGAAGGCACAAGTGGATCCTGGGGAAGCTGCAGGGATGCGGCGGCTCTTAGCGAGGCGTGACTTGGAGTGACAGACGCGACTCGATGGCTGCAAGTGTTTACCAACAATCGCATTAACTGTATTTCTACACCACCATGGCGCAACACACATAAAACATCGGGCCCTTCAACGCCTGCACAAACAATGGACGACTCCCCACGCTCCGCAAAACGGAGAAAGCTCGATACGCCGAATCGCAACGGTACCGGCACGCCTACACAGAGCTCGACGAACAAGACACCCGCAAGGCTCTCTCGATCAGCAGCGAAGGCAAAAGGGGAAGCTCTTCCGGATGTATGGCAGGACACGACACGAAGGCGCAAGCCAAAGGACCAGCGCAGTGGCGCACCAGCGAAGCCTGCAGCGATAGAGGAGGAGGAAGACATCTTCGACGATATCGAAGGGGCGCTGGGGGTAGCTAAACCGCCCGCGACAAAGAACCGCCCGGCAAAGGCAGCGTCAAAAGAAGACACAACAACCGCAGACGAGCTGCAAGAGCCTTCTAAGACCCCAAAACGAGGCAGATTACGTTCCACCAAGAATGTCCAGAGCGCAAGCCGCAGCGCTTTCAAAGACTTGGTTAGCAGCTACAAACATGAGGAGGACCCAGATACAGATACTCAGGATGAGCTTGCCGAAGCTGCAACACCTTCAAAGCGAACAAAGACGCCTCGTTTGGCCGCGCGTAAGACACCGGCTGCAAGGTCGACTGGGCGGAAGAAGAAGGAACTGAGTCCTGAAGATGAGGAAGAGGAGGTTGATATGATGGAAGCCATTGCTGTCACACTCTCAAAATCGAAACGACGAAGCAAACCAACACCGTCACGCACAGAAATATCAGATACCGAAGATGAGCTAGCGAAGCGCCCTCCACCGAGTACCACCAAGAAGGCCGCAGAAAGGCGCCGACAAAACCGTGCCGACCACACCAACAATCGATATGATGTCGAAAGCTCGCCTGTACTAGAGCTTGCCCAAGACGACGACGATATGGAGGTGGATGGCAACAGCATACTGGAGAGCGTGCTCGACCCAACTGAACCAAGTCCTTTCAATAAGCCTCCCTCGGCCCAGAAGGTAGGGCCGGCGTCTGCCATCATATACGGCAATCTTCCAGCGGGTCGCGAGTTGGACCTGCTGAAGACCATCGTCATGGAGCGCATCACTGGCAAACGTCCTTCACCCCTGGTTGGTCTGGATGAAGAGTACAGGTCCGTCCACCAGCTTGTCGAGCACACTGTCACAGCAGGGGAGGGCAACTCGCTGCTTCTGATCGGAGCACGAGGGAGCGGCAAGACAGCACTTGTGAACAAAGTCTTGTCAGAAGTATCGAAGGACAATGCTCAGGACTATCACGTCATAAGACTGAACGGGTTCATCCACACAGACGACAAGATTGCACTACGCGAGGTCTGGCGACAACTGGGCAAAGAGATGGATGTTGAGGAGGATGGCAGCGGCCCGGGCAAGAACTATGCTGATACCCTTCAAACACTTCTCGCGCTACTGTCGCATCCGTCAGAACAAACAGGAGAGCATACAGACCATGTAGCTCAGGCAGTCATCTTCATCATGGACGAGTTTGATTTGTTCGCCCAACATCCGCGTCAGACTCTGCTGTATAATCTGTTCGATATTGCGCAGTCACGTAAGGCGCCTATTGCTGTGCTGGGCCTGACAACCCGGATCGACGTCACGAATAGCTTGGAGAAGCGGGTCAAGAGTCGTTTCAGCCATCGCTACGTACACCTGAGTCTCGCAAAGAGCTTCACAGCCTTTCAAGAGATTTGCAAAGCTTGTCTAACCATCCAACCCGATCAACTGAGCCTTGAGGAGAGAGGCATACTGGGAGGCGGCACCAAAACCACTCCTGCAAAGAAGTCGAAGAAAGGCCCAACGATTGATGTTCTCGGCGAATGGAACGCCAACATCGAGGTGCGCAGCTCCCTCCTTCCTCCTCACAATCTTACTAATGCCATCGCAGAAACTCTTCGCAACCCCCTCCTTCCTCACAATCCACCTCGCCCCAACCTTCCACCTCACAAAATCCATCCCATCAGCCCTGACCTCCTTCCTCCTCCCCACCACCACCCTCGCCCCCAACACGGCCTTCACACCGACCCTCTCCCTCGCTCCACCAGACTCAAAACTCTTCCTTCTTCCCTCCCTCTCAACCCTCTCCCTCTCTCTCCTCATCGCCACAGCCCGCCTAGACATCATCCACGACTCGGATACCTGCAACTTCAACATGGCGTACGACGAGTACATCACGCTCGCATCCAAGGCGCGCATACAGTCTGCCGCGGGCGGGCTGAGCGCTAGTGGGAGTTTGAGTAAAGTGTGGGGTAAGGACGTTGCGAGGCGCGAGTGGGAGGGGTTAGTGGAGTTGGGGTTTGTGATGCCGGTGGTGGCGGGGCAGAGTGGTGGGTTTGGGATGTGTAGGTGTGATGTTAGTCTTGAGGAGATTGGGGAGGTGTTGAGGGGAGTGAAGGGGGACAAGGGGTTGGAGAGGTGGTGTAGGGTCATTTGAGCGCTTTCAGAGCAGCGTGTTGAATGCAATACATCAAGAGATGGGTATGTTTACGCTAAGCCTGACGGCAGCAGTATCAGGACAACAGCTCAACACAGCCTCGTCAACATTACTACCTGTGTGCGCGTTTTGATCTGCTTTACCATGCGTAGAAAGAGCAGCTTTGTTGCAATGTCCGCGTGAGCAAGGTGGAGGAAGCGCGAGTGTTTGATTCTCAGCCGCACTGGCGGGCACACCTACTTGGTGAACTTTCTGGGTGTCCGAGTAGGGCAGTGCAGTCTCGGGTGTATGGATATTCCAGGCACGCCGCGGAACACGCAAAGAGATAAATCTATCACATGCTCAGGCAGAGCAAGTTCAATCTCCCAATTCAGCTCCTCTCAAAGGTCCACCATAAGCCACCAACCCATTCTCAACACAATACTCGGCAGCTTCCACCGCCACACCCATAGCCCACCCCCAAAGCGCAGACCATTCAACATGATCGCTAACAATCATGAACCAGTTGACAACAAGACATGTAGCCACCAAATACCGGGTCTCAGCCTCTTCAGGGTCCTCTTCAGACTCGAAGACTCTCCCTCTTTTGTCGTTGGTAGAGTGAGGTCCTTCGAAGACAGGCCGCTCGAACAAGGGTTGCTTTTCGTACAGGGCCAGCACAGCGACTTGCTCGCTTGTGCTTTGGGTGCGGGGAGGTTTCGTGGACGCCGGTTCGACAAGAAGGGGTTGCTTTTCGGACAGGGGTTGTTCTTCGATGTCGCCGACTCTGGTTTGTGAGGAGCGGCGCGCGCGCCGGATGAAGAGGTATGTTTCGAAGACTGAGTGAAGCTTAGTATGCGTTTGATGGAGGAGTATGAACAAGCGAGAAGACGCACTAATGACAGTGAGGATCTGAGCATAGATGTGGTATATGATTCGCGCCATTTCTGTGATTGCGCAGTGAGATTTCAGGCGTGTCACGTTCGTTGGAGGGGGGGGGGGGGCAGTGGAAGTTGAAGGGATGGAACAGCGAGAAATAAGGGAGAGTTGCATAAATTCAAGAAACTTATGGGCGGTGCGGAGAAGCAATGTGTGTACCGTGGTTCGTGGTGAGGGGGTAGTTGTACCCTGCCGCGAATGTGAGCAAACATCCTTGATAGGATGGTTGCCAGCTGACATCGAATGACATGACTTGAATTGTTCGCATTTGATGGGAGCTTGAGGGAGCCAGAGATGCAGTGCGATTGTTGTGTGATGGTGGGGGAATCAAACTCTTAATTGGTACAAGCCTGCCTACTATTTACATCTTCGCTTCGTACTCTTTTCTACGGCTTCTGAGTGGTGCCGGTGTGGGTTCCACGCTCAGCGTACGACCACTGGCCCTCAGGAGCGGGCTCCTCGAGCGGTTCCCAGCTGCTGCGCGTTAGCTGCGTCATACTCGAGGGATCCCATATACTTACACCCTGCTCTTGACCATCTCCTCAACAAGCTGGTGCTCAGCCTCAGCGACCTGGATAACCTCCTCGATCAGTCCAGCACCGATCTTGCTCTCCAAGTCAGAGATACTGTGTAAGATTAGCATTACCCCGTCTCCCATTGGCTGTGTCCACCTACGCCTCGATAGTGTACTGCGGCTCAGCAGCAAAGACAGTCGGCGAAAAAGTGCGTTCAGGCTTGTAATCCACGTCGCCCTTCATGGCCTTGACATCCTTCCTGCGCTCCTTCTGTGACCTGATGCCCTCAGGGAAGGATGGCGCGACCTCTCCATCCCACTCGGCTTTGCGGTTCTGACCGTAGTCGACATTCTGCACCTTGGGAAGGACGACAGAAATGCCGCCGTGACTCCGGATGGTGTGGAAGTGCTCCGGGTCCTCAGCGATCTGCGAGAGGATCTTCTCCTGCCATGCATCCCAGCCCTTTGGCTTCGACTCCTCGATGATCCTCAGACGGTGGCGGGTGAGAGCTTCGGTGGACTGGCGGTATACGGAGGACTCGGGGATCTGCTGGAGCTTGGTGAGGGTGCCGTTGTAGTGGTGGAGCAGTGTCGAGCGCGGGGACGGGTGTGTAGCGAGGCCTGTGAGACCGGTGGGGGCGCCGGCCTCGAGGAACTGGCCGGGCTTGACGGCGGCGAAGAGTCTTGAAGCTGCCCTCATGGTTGCGGGGGTTGTGGACGGCGATGTGTGGCGCAATGGGTGTTGGAGGTGGTGATGCCGTCAACCATTGAAGTTGCGCTCCACGCCAAGCGTTGCGGGAGCGTGTGCTTGACAGGGATGTGGCGCCAGTTGATCTCAGGGACATGCATCTTCGGCGACTGTGGCATCTCACCCCTCCACAGCGACTTCACTACAGAGGCGGATTGTTTCGTTACTTCGAGCGTCTCTTCTCCTTTGTCGTCCACGCAGTCGCGTCATCGGAGCATATATACTACGCGCTCACGCGCACACACGCGCACCCACGCGCACACCCCCCGCCGCTGTGTCTGAGCAGCAAGCAGCCGTCACAATGCGCTCCGTATTCTATTCGCTCCTGTCGCTGGCGACAGTTGCCTCCACACTTGCAGTACCAGACAATGCTCCCGCCGCGGCAGCGAGGAGAGCCGAGGCCGACGACGACTGGGAGGACAAGGTGCCAGACACCATCTTCAATGGCCAGACAGTGCCACCCATGCCGGTGCTCGACCTCAAGAGCCTGGACAAGGAGATCGGCAAGGGGAACTGGTGTGGTCCTGAACCTGCTTGGTTCGTAGCATTCACTGACATCCGGACAGGCTCGTAGAGTTCTTTTCGCCCTCGTGTCCACACTGCAGACACTTTGCGCCCACATACCAGACCGCCTACGAGTTCTACTACACATCCAAGCCCATCGACGCAAAAGGCGCACCCGAGGGCGACTCGCTCAACTCGTTCAAGCGCTTCTACGACTTCCACTTCGCCAAGGTCGACTGCATAGCCGCCGCTGACCTTTGTGCTGCCCACAACGTAATGAGCTACCCGTCGATGCTCTACTTCCGCGACGGAAAGGAGACACAGAGACAACAAGGATCGAAAGACATGAAGGAGCTGAGCCAATGGGTCGAAGAGCTGCTCGAGACAATACGCCCTGGATCGCGCAAAGAGGGTGGACCAAAGCTCCCAAAGGCTGGCGACAAGTCTATCGAGCTAGGGCCTGAGACAGAGGAGGTGGCCAAAGAGAAGGAGAAGGAAGAGGCCAGGCACAAGGAAGCTGCCAGCTCCAAGCTCGAGAGCCTCAGGACCGAGCCTACCAAGGCAGCCAAGTCTACGCCGACACCCGCAGAGGCCAGGCCTGTGAAGGCTGTGTCGACCTTCAACCCATCCGGCGTCTCGGAGCCGCTCACTGCAGAGAAGTTTCAGACCGTCATCACGAACACCCTTGACCCCTGGTTCGTCAAGTTTTATGCGCCTTGGTGCCACCACTGCCAGGCTCTCAAGCCAAACTGGGACAACATGGCGCGCCAGATGAAGGGCAAGCTCAGTATTGGAGAAGTCAACTGCGACGTTGAGAAGAGGCTCTGCAAGGACGCAAAGGTCAGGGGTTACCCTACAATGCTCTTCTTCCGTGGCGGCGAACGCATCGAGTATGAAGGTCTCCGCGGCCTGGGTGATCTCCTCGACTACGCCAACAAAGCAACCTCAGTCGGCGCTGGAGTCGAAGACGTAGACGCTGCGAGCTTCAAGGCGCTTGAGGAGAAGGAGGAAGTCATCTTCGTCTACTTCTACGACCACGCCACAACATCCGAGGACTTCGCAGCGCTCGAGCGCCTGACCCTCAGCCTGGTTGGCAAGGCCAAAATCGTCAAGACGAACGACAAGGCCATGTGCGAACGCTTCAAGATCTCCACCTGGCCGCGCCTAATGGTCTCCCGCGACGGAAAGCCCACCTACTACCCTCCCATCACCCCCAAAGAAATGCGCGACACCCGCCAAGTCCTCACCTGGATGAAATCCGTCTGGCTCCCGCTCGTTCCCGAACTCACCTCCTCCAACGCCAAAGACATCATGGACGGCAAAATCGTCGTCCTCGGCATCCTCAGCCGCGACCGCTCCGACGAATTCATCCTATCCAAGCGCGAAATGAAGAGCGCGGCAATCGAGTGGATCGACAAGCAAGACGCCCTCTTCCAGCTCGAGCGCCAGGAATTGCGCGACGCGAAACAGCTCCGCATCGAAGAAGCCGAAGACAAGGAAGACGAGCGCGCGCTGAGGAATGCGAAGGGGATTCGCATCAACATGGACGAAATTGAGCGGCCGCGTGTTGGCTTCGCGTGGGTGGATGGCGTGTTCTGGGAGCGCTGGGTTAAGACAACTTTCGGCATCGACGTCAAAGAAGGCGAGAGAGTCGTTATCAACGACGAAGATGTAAGCATCGCCATTCCCCCCCC